TGTATGTATGTATGTATGTATGTATGTATGTATGTATGTATGTATGTATGTATGTATGTATGTATGTATGTATGTATGTATGTATGTATGTATGTAACAAGATGAATCGATGCACCATTATGCTCGAGTGGAAGTGCCAGATTCGTGCCGACTTATTCGGAAGGGTTGCGCTCCTGTTCGCTAACATGCGACTCTGCAGCTGTAACGTCGGTCTGACCGTCAAGTCCAGGATCAGTACTCATGACTCTGTACCTCACAGGGCCACCTCCATCCTCAAATCCCCTCATCTCTACGTTATGGATGTCTTTAAACCCTATCTTCTCGTAGAGCCTGGCCTACCACAACCTCATCAGCTTCGAAATATATGATTTATTCGGTAAAGAACTCACCGCTTGTGAGTTTGTAGTGCTTACACTCAAACTTGAACCCCTCTCCCTTGCAGACTCTTTCAATCGGTTGAGCAACGCCGTACCAGATCCACCGCCCTGATACTCGGGGCGCGTTCCAAACGTCTCAACATACAAAGAGTCTTTCTCATATTTCCTGTGAGCTCGCCCCCGAGGTAAGGCATAACGTGTGCCAGGTGCCATTCACGCACAGAGTCTGTGATGCCCTCTCGAAGTGAATCAAACATCGGTTCTTTGTCGGGGCTGAAGCAGAACGTATCATCAGCAACACGAGACAATATGAATTTAGACGAGACAAGTCCCCTTACTGTTGGCTGTACATCTCCTCCCCGGGGGGCGAGACACATGCGACGCTAGCAATGGCAGTCCCACCTTCTACGCTATCATCTTTGACCCTTGTGACCCAGACTTCGCAGTCCACTAGAGTGGCTCTGATGTCGACGTCGTGAGACAGCCGCCGGAGCTCAACACTTTGCCCATAGAGCTGATTGGTGAACCTGTCGTTCAAGAAGGCATCGAGGAGAACCTTAGAGCATTCTGACTGCTCTTCGACTGTGTAAAAGTCAGCGAGGCCGTCACAGAACGAACCATGTGCTCACTGCTCGGGTTGGTGAGACAATCAACGCTCTCGATTGTGAATTGTGTGCGGGACATGTTGGGTTATGGACTTCTGCTATATAGACTATTATTTGGTCAGTCATAGACTCCTACGACGTGAGACTGTAATCGTATATCCATCTGTTTGAAGATATAGTAAGCTACAAATCACTCACCTGTGGAGTATAGACCTGGGTTATTCTGGTACAGATCGTTGTTGCAGCTTACTATAGACATATCTGGTCATTCTCTGAGTGCCAACGTTTTTCCTCCACGAAGACCACCATGCAGGATCGTGAAAGGAAAGCAGGTCGGCCATACATTCGAGTATCGAACCTTCTTCCCTTCATAGAGTAGATCAACCGTTATACGAACGTCATCGTCCATGAGAAACTTTGGAAGTATGATGAGGATATTATGCCACAAAGTTTGGTCGTCTCAGGCCAAGAGCCCCCTGTGGCACAATGCCGACTCTCGTTCCGACCTGTTGAGCCTCTACTTTATAATGTACCTTGCTAACAAGAATTATATAATGGCACCAGTCGCCTCATAATTACATCATCATCATCGCATCATCATACCGCGCTCCCTAGTACAGGCTCATATGTCAAGCAAGGAACGTGAGCGCACACATGCATCAGGATGTAATCCGCGATAAGGCTGGAGGCAGCATCACTAGCGTACTGAGAGAGAGATGCAACAAAGACCCCATGTTAAAATCAATTCATCTCAATAGTCATCCTTGATGAGCTCCATCCTCATCGTTATTTGCTTCGGAAGAAGAGGCTCTCCAACTCTCCAGCCCACAGTCATTACACATCGTCCTGAGCCTCACAGTTTCTCCGCCGTCCTCATAGCTCAACTCTGCGTTATGAATGTCTTTGAAGCCTGCCTTCTCATAGAGCCGAGCCTATGATGACCACCAGAACATCAGCTTCTTTGCGGCCTGCTTGATAACACCGAGAGGAGAACGCTCACAGTACGCTCATCCTCCGTGGCCAAGCCCAGCCTCCCGCCACTTTCCCTAGCATGGTCTTCCAGTCGGCTGAGCAACGCCGTGCCCAGGCCACGCCCCTGATACTCGGGGCGCGTCCCGAAGTTTTCAATGAAGAACGTTTCAGTTTTGAACCCAGCTGTGCTTTCGCCCCCAAGACAAGGGATGACATGATTGGTATACCACTGCACCGTCGAGTCTGGAGTACACTCTATAAGTTCGTCAACCATGGTTTTTTTGTCGGGGCTTCAGAAGAAAGAAAACGGGTGTCAGTAAAAGAGTTTAAAAATAGACAGCAGAATTCGTTGTGCCTACTGAGAGTCGAATATATCCTTCCCTGGGGGAGAGACACAGGCCACGCTTGCAATGACACTTCCACCTGCTACGCTCTCATCTTTGACTCTCGCAACCCAAAGTTCGCAGTCCACTAGTGTGGCTCTGATGTCGACGTCGTGGCACAAGCGCCGGAGCTCGTCGCTCTGCCCATAGAGCTGATTGGCGTATCTGTCCTTTGAGAAGGCATCGTATAGGACGTTGGAGCACTCTGATCGATCTTCGACTCTCGGATTGTCAGCCTGGCCTCGAATAATATGCACCAATAATAAATGAAATGTATTTACTGCTTGGATTGGTGAGACAATCAATGCTATCGATGTTCAGCCGTGATGAAGTGGGAAACATTTCGGAAACGAGATAGGGATTCTGGTGGGTTGAGATGATGCGAGGGTAATTAAGTATTTGTGTAAGCCTGACTGAAGATACTGATGATTGATCTAGGATTCGAAGTGAAGATCGGAGCTTGATATCAGCCTTGGTATCCTTCTGAGCTGAGTGTCAACTCAGCTCTTTCCCTTATGAAAGTAAGCTAAAGCAGTCGTAACATTGGATGACATGCGAACCATACCTGAAGGGATTGGTAAATCCGGAATCCAGGCTCGGAACCGGCAGCGGCCATTCTATAATTATATCATCGTGCTATGGCTCCATACACAGATCTGTCAGTCGTCTTGAGCCTCCAATATTGGATGTGCACTGTCGAGAAGGTTTACTTTTCGTCACAGTCATTCGCACAGGAGGGCTTTGTTCATAGTTGCCAGCAACTGCTGCAGTATGTCGTTACTAGCTGCATCTGCTACAGGATGGAATACGGATGATCGTAATGTGCATTCAACACGATCTGCATAGGAGCTCTTGCGCATAAGGCAATCCCAAGAATCATCATTCTCGCTTCATCATCATCCTGTCCCTCACTGAACTCTACTCTGATACATGATCTATCTAGCTATCGCTACTACAATCTTTCTTCATTGTCCTATACAACAAGGGCCCCTCTCCATCCTCAAGGTCGATATGTCTGTCATGGATGTAATGGAAGCCTGCACTCACATAGAATTTGGCCTATAATTGTAGATCTCAGCATTAGTGTAGTGTCGAAGTCACCAGGATGTAAAGCTCACTGCGCTGGGAATTGAAGTGGCCAAGCCCAAGATTGAGCTCCTTTCCCTTGCAGACATCTGCCTAACCCGCCTCTCTGATACTCTGGGCGAGTCCCAAACATCTCAACATGCATAGTGTCTTTTCGAAGGCCGCTGTATTCTCGTCTCCGACAAGGTGTGGCTCGACGTGAGCGGTATACCATTCGACTCCTGGAACCCCTCGCTGAGTGTGGCGAGCATTGCGTCTTTGTCGAGACTGAACAAGATGGTATCAGCATGAAACCAACTACAATGGGCCGGGGGATTCTCTCGCCCAGGGGATGACCATGGAGAGCTTGACCGAGCTCTCTTATGTTCGCCGGGGTCAGGAGGGTACCACGGTTGGCATACGTGTTAATTTTGTGGACCAACGGCTTCTCTTGTATGACAGAGAGCTTGCAAGAGCTATTGGTGGCATGTGAGGCATGTCTTTTGTGGTATCGATCATTGAGAGTGGTACTAGGAGGGACTTTGAATCGATTTTCCACCTTAGCGAAGCTCTCTTTGGGATGCGCTCGCTTGTATTGGACTGCCGAGTCGATTGGATCGGCCATTATCGAGGTACGTGGAATGAAAGTATAGAAATGTATGGGAAACATAAACACGCGCGGTGTTCGAGATGGCCACATCATCGGGATGGCCGCGGATACGAGTACTGTGCGTGTAGTACCTCATCATATTCATCACAAAGAAGGAGGTCAAACGCATAATATAGAGTGGGGTCCTTTTATCAAGAAGTCCAAGAAGTTCAAAACCACACAGGGCTCTTTATGCTAGGAGCTGGCAAGTCGTGTAATCAAATCACAAGGATACTCGGTCACAAAAAGATCTTCCTTGTTGAGCTTCGGAATCTTTGGGGAGTAGGGGGAGAAGTTGGGCCTAGTTGGATCATAATATGGATCACGCTCCGTCAATACTACACTAATAATCTATGTAAACCCTACTTGCTGGCTGTCCATCCAGAGTCGTTACTCATGATTCGGTACCTCACCTCATCTCCTCCATCTTCAAAGTCCAATGCGCCGCTATGGATATCTCTAAACCCTGTTTTCTCAAACAGCTTGGCCTGTGATAACGTCATCAGCAGGGTTCCACCCGAAGATATCAGAGGGACCTCAACTCACTGCGCTTGCATTACTAGTGTCCAAACCCAGCCTTTCTCCCCTTTGCTTTGCAGATTCTCCCAGTCGACTGAGCAATGCCGTCGCTGATCCACCTCTCTGATACTCGGGGCGCGTGGCAAGCGCATGAATAAACAGAGAGTCTTCGTTAAAGTGGCCAGCGCAAACGTAATGGGGATTGAGGTGTTTGGCGATCCATCTATCCACAGACTCGGGGATCTTCTCTGTCAGCCTCTCCATCATCTCTTCTTTATTGTTATTGGGACTAAATAGCGGCAGCAAACAGTTGTGTCAGCAAGAAAACACAGAATGACTGTAACGACATCAAGACTTTACCTGTCACTGAACGGAGTCTTCCCGGGAGGAGAGACGCAAGCTACGCTCGCAATGGTTGTTCCTCCAGCTGCACTCTCATCCTTCACCCTCGTTACCCAGAGCTCACAGTCCATGGTAGTGCCTTCGATCACTGTTTCATAGAAGAGACGGCGAGCGTCAGCACTGTTGCCGCAGACTTTCGCGACATATCTGTCGTCTACGTAGGCATCCTGGAGGACGGTAGAACATTGCGATTGCTCCTCAACTGTGCGAACGTCAGCTGGGTCAGCAATTTAGGTATGTGAATGATCGATTTACGGCTTGGGTTCGTAAGACAGTCAATGCTGTGGATCTCAAGCTGTGTGTTAGTAGACATACTGTAGGCTGTGAATTAGAAGGTGTTGAATGTTCGTCGAGAGTGTGTGGAGTCGGTTGAGTGGAGACCACCATTTATATACACGATATAGATGGTAAGACTGTATGAGGTGAACATCGTCTCAGCTACATCGTCCAAGTTGCGCAAAGGAAGTAGCTTTCGCGCGTCCACTTTTCTTTTGATCGAATTCCAGTAACGTCCACGGTCCTGGGAACTGAGAAGGAGAGCGGTGCATAGATGCTCCTGGTGCACATTCACAGGTTGTGAAACGTTCATCTTCACATCATTCGCAGACCTTCCTCCCAGGATCGATTCTCGTTTGACAATATACGATTGTTGTCTTGTATTTGATGAGAATAATTGTATGTTCTTCTTCAGGACGTGGTCGTTAGACACTAGCTGTGTGTCTGGGCGTGTGCTGCAGCATCATACATATCATTATACATAGCTTGTCGCCTCTGTTATGTTTCCTTTCTGAGAAGCTCGGACGCGTCGCCCGTTCCCATGCCGATCGTTCAACTATTGTGCGAACATAACGTCAGACATGACCGTCTGATCCCTTATGAAGTGTACATGATGTCTCACTGTTCTAGAGGTCATACTCTGGCTGCATCGTACCTCCTGTCAACAGCCTAGCCAGAAGCACCGCCCCCTTGTCCTCTTCCATGCGACTCTGCAGCGCCCCCTGGGTACTGTACGAGTACTCGAGTACATGGGGTCGTCTTGCTTCGCAGGCTCTCCTCCATCCTCAAAGTCCAAGTCGGCACTATAGATGTCCCTGAACCCTGCCTTCTCGAAGAACTCGGCTTATGATAGCGCTACGTCAGTATCAATGATGACCTTGTACCGTACGAGTACAGTCATAATCAAAGCTTGAGACCGCGACTCACTGCACTTGCGCTGGTAGTGACGACCAAACCCGACCTCGAGACATCTTCATGAGCAAACTCTTCCATCCTTCTCAGCAGCGCCCTGCCCGATCCGCCTCCTTGATATTGCGGACGCGTGGATGTAATCATCTTCCAATGTATACGTCATGTCGTCTTGGGTATAGGGATGGACATGATTGTACAACCATTCATCCGCGGGCCGGGGCAGCCCATCGCGATACGTATTTCATGCGTCCTCGGCAATGCCAGAAGTTTGCGAGATTCGATACTGTCTCGCATACTGTTGTAGTGGGCGGCTTTCACATGCCGGACTCTTTGCTTCTGTGTTCCAATGATGATGGTTCGTTACTCAAACATCTATAATCGGCATACGCCTGCTGGTCTCGAAATGGACATCGTGGTCCATAGACGAAAGGCAAGAAGAATCTCAAGACTATTCGGAGTGACAATCCACGTACCCTTCTTGTATTGTCGAAGGCCGACGATATTGCGCTCTTCGATCACAAATAGAATGGTTTATGAGTGCGAATGGATGTACAACCTCCTTGCCAATAAGACAGCTCCATCAAACCTTGCAATACTCAAAGTGTCTGCTGGTCGAGAGCAGGAAAGCTACATTTGAACAGGGTGCATACGTGGAGTTACTAGCAATGTATGAATCCTTTGTCACCACTCTTGGCGGGTTTCGGACTCCTACAGAGGTGTTCTCGAAGAGGAGGCTGTCAATGAGACCGTTTCTGAGCGTGTGAACGTTGGTCACCCCCGGCCAACACTTACCACGACATACAAACACGGACGCGTTACTACTCTGAGGCTGTGTGTCCTGTGTATGCGCGACAAGCGGGCGACTCTCCCAGGGAGACGTCCTTTCTTTCCTGTCTTCACCTTCCCATCCTTTTTTCTTCCATTCCTCTTCCGCCTCTCCAACAATGCTCCCTCTAATCGCTCTCGGGGCTCTCCTCGCCTCTCTCCACGTTCAAGCAACCTCCTATCCCCGAGTCGACTCCTTCTCCGGCCAGTCTTTCTTGTGCGTCTCGCACCTCTTCCGTTCTCGAAAATGACTGACTAATATTAGTGACGGCTTCACATACCCAGCAGAAACCTATGACAATACCACAAAGTATATATTTCCCCCCTTGTACACCGAGAAGCCTCACTGACGATCCCCCAGCGGCGACGTCTTCTGGGCCACCGCCTCCAACACTTCCCTGATCTACCTCAACGACGACAACCACATCATCCTCAAAGTCGACAACACCTCCTCCGTCCCATACAACTCCAAACGCTACGCACCCAAACTCTTGTCAAAATCCGCTTATGACATTGGCACAGTGTGGGTGTTGGATGCGGTGCATATGCCTTATGGGTGTGGGGTGTGGCCTGGATTCTGGACGCAGGGATCGGATTGGCCGAATGGAGGGGAGATTGATATCTCTGAAGGGGTGAACAAGCGGACGAATAATATGGTTGCTCTACACACTGGCAATGGGTCAACGTGATTATGATTGCCATCTTCTCCGCAGCTTGTGCTCATCCAGGAATAGCTGCACTGTCACGGGCGGATCCTCCATGTCTGGCTCGGTCACCTTTGACAACTGCGACAACTCACTCAACGGTGGCTCGGGATGCACCATCAACGACACCGACTCCAAGTCGTACGGCGAGGGGTTCGAAGCAGCTGGTGGTGGTGTCTATATCGCAGAATGGGCAACGGACGGTATTCGGGTGTGGTTCAAGACTGTTCGTTCTCAGGCCTGATATGGATGAGATCAAAGTAGAGCTGACAAAAAGCATAGAGATCAGATGTGCCCAGCTCGTTGACCGTCAGCGCAGATAGTATCGACACCTCATCTCTCGGCAGGCCCGTGGCAGAATACAGCTCCGACTCTTGTGACATTGAGACCCTCTTTGGCTGTACGTCCCATTTCCCTTCTCATAAACCGCCACAACCTTCCACTAACACCCCCCGCAGCCCAAACCCTCACAATCGACATAACCCTCTGCGGCGACTTTGCCGGCGCCCCCTCCGAACTCGCCCTCACCTGCCCAGCCCTCTCTGGCGACGCCACATGCTACTCCACATATGTCATCAACGACCAATCTGCAAACTTTGCTGCGGCATACTATGAGATCACTTATATCAATGTTTTCTCGAGCAGTTGGTCGGCGGGGCAGAGTGGGGGAAAGGTGACGGGGACAGTCACGGCCACGGCGGGGGTTGGGACCGGGACCGGAAGCTCGGGGGAGAATACGAGTAGTAGAGGGGAGGAAGGGCGGGCAGCTGCTGGGGGCCTAATGGGGCTGGCAGGGATGTTGTTGGCGTTTGGGGCAGCAGTCTTCTAGGGTGCCAGTAACGGGTTTGATGATTATGACTGGCGAAATGAAGATTAAGCGGAATGAACGACGCGCCTTCGACAAGCTCAGAAACTATAGCTGCAAGCATGCATATATCGGTGTGAGTACCTCAGGATCACCTCTATTCACTGTTGCAACTACATCCTCCGACATTCTGGAAGAGCAAGAAGCTCGACAGCACTCTCTGGTCTATTCGGATCGATCTTCTCAAACCTGCCGGGAATCAGTCATGAGCTTTTGTCGGTATCGAGCAAGAGAGACATACTGGGCAGCCCTCCTGGGCAAATCCTGCTCATCCTTCCAATCCAATCCTCTTCCTTTCCAGTCTGTCTTGATGAGATTGACGTATAGCCTCCAGAGGACGGCGTAACCTTTTGTAGTCATGTGAATACCATCGCTATTGCCCAAATCAGCGACGTCCTGATGGGAAAGGTGGATATACTCACATGAAATAGGGAGCAAGCCCGTCCCCGAGTCCTACCTCCTTCTCCATAGCCCCCCAAAGATCCAACACGCCAACCTTCCACTCCTTCCCCTTCCCCTCCCTCCCCTCCGGGCCCCACTCCGCCCCAAGCGCCTTTACAACATCCACAAACTCTTTCGTCCTCTCCAACGTCCTCTCCCTCCGCCCTCGTTCGTCCATTTGAGGCGCATACACCGGCGGTGGGGTGATGAGCACGATATTGAGGGCTCGGGGGTTTTGGGCGGCGGCGTATGGGGAGGAGGGAGAAGTGAGGGAGGTGAGAAAGTGGGTGAGGTTGGATTGGAAGTCTTGGATGGTGTTGTGTTGGGGATTGGGAAGGCTCGTTGCGTCGTTGGTACCTGACAGTAGGATCAGCTCAACCATTGATCAATATGTAGACAGGTGCAGAAAGGGACGAACCGAACCAAATACTGACCAGCCGAGCGACTGGTGCATTCTCCTCCTTCCTAGCGAAGACCTCGTCAAAAAGAGGCCTGGCCCTGTGACTCTTATCAGTATCCATGCTGGTGGCAAACAGAAGGGAAGCACTGACCATTTGGATGTATAACCTCCAAAGCCTCGGTTAAGGATATCGAGCTTCTTCGTGTATGCTTCTGCACCTCTGTCAGCACCTATCCCCAGACTTCGACATTTTCGATCTTGAGTGTTGTCGAACGCACTTGAAAGCTGCTCATGCCATGACCCTGGTACGTCCTGACGATTGGTAAGGCTGTCTCCCTGTACGTACGTATAGGACGTCAGCTGTCGATAGGGCAAAGTGCGTAAGGGATGGGGTGGAAAAGAGAGCTTACGAAGAGGATGGCGCAGTCCATGAATGTTTTCGCCATTATCTGGAGGGAAGAGGTGCTTTTGATCGCGAGTGAGGGCTATTTGCAAGTGTCTGTAGAGCCGTCGAAAGAAAAAGACAAGAACACGGGAATCTTGCGGGAATCGGCGCATCGTGAAAAGCAGGAACGGCTTTCAGGAGTCGCCGACGGAAAGCCGAACCTACGAACTTGGGCTTGTCCTTGTCTAAACATCCTGTTGTGCATCAGCTCGCCCCATAGATCCGGAACGCTCACTCTCGATATCTATCCCCTCCTCTTCCCATCTTGCTCCCACTCCCGCCCGACCTCCTTCACAACATCAGCGAACACCTCCCGCTCTCCTGCGCGATTGTCTTTGACCCTGTGAAGACGTTCGAGGAGATCAGAGGGGAAGGGATGAAGATGCTTGGGACGATGGTGGGTTCTCGAGCCGCGCGACTTAACTTTTTGCAGGAAAAAATGCGAAAAGAGTTCGCCAAGCTCAACAATCTCGTCGACCTCCCCCATCAACACGCACACCTCCTCCTCCAACAGTGCTTACAGCAAAACATCCGCCACCTCCAACGCAGTCTCAAGACCGACGACTTTGGCGAGGAATGGAAGAAGATGGACGAGCGGTTGTGGCAAGAGGTTCAGAGGTTGCGGATGAGGCAGAGGGAGAATGCGCCAGAGGATGAGGAGAAGGGGAGGTTGTTGTCAAGCCTACCGGCTAGGTTTGGAGGATTGGGGCTTCTATCGTTTAACAAAATTGCACCGTTGGCTTACAAGTCAGCGCAGGAAGCCTCCGACTCCTTTCTCGCCAAGATCGACCTCATCCATCTCCTCGACCCTCCCCCCACCCCCACCCCCCAACGCGTACGGTGTGCGAAGCTGTGGTCCGAGCAGCTGTCTTCTTTCATGGAGGCGGCGACCCAGCCCGAGCGAAAGCACTTGGTCGAAAACGCGTCGAAGCTCGGACGGTCTTGGCTCCGCCAGATCCCCTACTTCGAACTCCTCCGTCTTTCCAACCACGAGGTCGCCGCCGGCCTCCACTACCGACTCCTCACCCCCGCCTGTTCCCCCGTCTGCTCCGCCTGCGCCAACGAGTCTGACCTCGGTCACGACGAAGTCTGCCGCCTGCGCGAGACATGGTCTATCCGCCGACACGACTCGATCAACCGAGTATTCCAATCCTACCTCTCCCGTGTCGCCGGCGCCGTCGTCTCTCTCGAACCATCTACCCAAGAAGGGCGAAGGAGGAATGATCTGAGGGTACGAGGAGGAGGAGGTGCGCTTCGGAACGCCGACTATGACTTGAAGGTCTACGGTCTCGAGGATAAGCACATGTACGTGGTGGACGGTAGAGGGAAGCCAAGCGGGATGGAGTGGTTGGATTGGGTGCAGGGACGCATCGTGGCGTGGCTGTCGAAGAGGGATGAGGAGGTGGTCAAGAAGGCGCCGAGGATCTACGGGGGGGCGTTCCGCCCCCTTGTTCTTTCTGCGGGTGGTCTGATGAGCGAGGCGACGGCGGTGGAACTTAGGAGCTGGAGGAAGGGAATGGAGCGAGAGGTGTGGCAGGGGATGCAGAGTAGGGTGGGGATCGAGTTGGTGAAGGCGAGAGCGAGGACGCTGTGGATGTGAGGGAGTAGCTAGAGGCGAGGAAGGTTTTTTATTGACTTGGCGAGTATGGCCGTCTTGTCTTTTTCCTTCTGTCCGACATCGCCTTACATAGAGCCTAAGTACATAGAACTGATAAGACTTACAAGATCTATGTAACTCTCTTCACCCTCAAGCCACTTGATCTAATTACACGGGAGGCGAGGTGAGCAGAAATCCTCAGCGCGGTGGGATCTGATGCGTAGCTTCCCTCGAACTCCCCTTACTTTACTCCCTGTACAGCCAACGCATCCAGGATCGTTCTGAAGCATGATATGATATTCCGCGAGCAGAAAAGAATGACGAGCAGAGGAGCAAAAAAAACGACGGCACCCGGGATTCCCAGGTGGTCCCCCACCCTGGTACTAACCGAGCGCTCTCCTAGTTGACTTCGCGGATCAGACGGGACGCGGTACTTTGAGGAGGCTATGGCCGTCGATATTATTGTTTAGCACACAGCTAATAATGCCTATGTTGACAATGCTGACCGAACCCAACAACCCGAACGGAGATTTTGAAAGGGGCATTCGTCCTTGCATCGACCTGCATTCACCGCTGTTGCACTCTTCAGTGACATTCCTCAGTCGAATCATCGGGCCATCCGTTCGGAGGGCATTGGCCGACTTCGTTCGGCTGTTTGAGGTCGGTCGTTCCTACTCTCTGTTCCTGTCAGTGGCTGGTTTGCGTCGCCATTAACTTTCAGTATCATCACTTCAAGGTTTCTCTTCTGCATCAACATTTTTACCTTCGGGGTCTTCGGCAAACATGTCGACAGTCCGCATCCACTCTGTTGTCGACCTTCTTTTCAATAATGGTATCGCCAACCCCTTTGTTCAGTTTGCCGTGAACTACTCCAAAATCTATCCTCGAAGACTATATCCCATCTTCATCGCCGTGCAATTGGGAACGTTTGCCCTAGTGCGATATCAACACTCAGAGATATACCATGTGAGAGGCAAAAGTATAGAATGACATGATCAGAAAGCTGATGTATGATTCAAGTCTGAACTGCATCATATCGATCAGATACAACGTTATGCGAACGGTGATTGGGAGTATCACCACCCGGACATCACATCCCCAACTCTTTGGTGGGCTTGCATGATTCTCATCACATACTTGATTCTAACTCTTAATAGGCATGGGATGATCGCTGCCCCCTCCTACATCTTGAACATAACCCCAGGCCTCCACTCGCTGCGCCTCTTCAGTCTCATCCAAACCCTCATCTTCCCCGCCCTCCTCACCTTGCTTACTTTGCCTCCCTCTCCCTCTTCCCCGCATGCTTCAAACTCTTCCCGCTTTTTGCATGCTCTTCGGAACCCTTCAGAATACGCCCTCGTCATCTCCTTCAATCCGCTTCTGGTGCAGGTACATCACAAAGTCGATCCTGGAATTACCGCCCTTCTCTGTCTAGTGCTATCCTGGGGTCTCTTGCGCAAAAAGAAAACTTGGGCGGCCGGGGTGTTTGGGACTGTGGTGGGAGTGTTGAGTGTGCCAGGCATGATTTGGATGGTCTTCCTGGCGGGGTATCGTGTATGGGAAAGTATGTCTTTTGCTCCCCTGCCCTCGATCAAGTACGAAACTCACAGCATGCAGCGAGACGTGACTTTACTGGTATCGTCAGAAAAAGTGCACTATCGTGGCTCTTTGCTATCTGCGTCTGGGCTCTTGCTTGGACTCTTCCCTCGATCCCTTTCATCAGATACGGTGCGTTCCTTGTCTTACCGATAGTTGTTGAGCTGACCAAACATCTCAAGACACACCAGGATCCCAGAAACTCCAAAAAATAGCTCTCCTCCGCTACATCATGATGCCTTTTGTGGATACCTACTTCACTTGTTCGTTCTATTCTGTCTCTTGGATCAATCTGAAGCTGACTGCGATCTGAAACAGACCTATTCTTGAACCAAAGCCCATTCTTCTTTTCCTATCTCCTCACCACCGCCTTCTCCTCCTGTTTCCCATCGTCCCCTTTATCCACTGCGTCCTGGTCAGGTATCACCGAGAGCGACAAGCTGTTAGTAGTCTTCGTCCTGAGATTATTCCTCTTCTCTGAACAGCTCAAGGAAGAAGCTATCGAAGACGACGTGACCTCTCGCTTGACGCAAGACGAAAATTATCTTTCGCATCTGGATTCGACTCCGATAGAAGGCGGTGAAGATGGGGAAGGTAGAGCTGCCAGGATCGTAGCGCGAACGCCTTGGGGGCGACCTTTAGGCGAAGAGGAAGTAATTTACACTACCCGCTGTTCCCCTTTTCCCATCGCCCCCGACGGTAGAGAGCGGACGCTGACCGTGAGTGAGGAAGCCAGGCAGCGGAATGAAGCTACTGGCAGAGTCAAGCATGCTGGAAAGATTGAGGTGGGGTGGGATCTTTTCTTCATTGGGGGGTTGGTTTTTATGGGTCTTTGAGTGATTGTATGCGTACGTATAATGATGCTGGAAAGTCGAACATGGACTGGAAGCGAGTATTTCAAAAGGGCCTCGACATAGAATCAAGTAAAATAGCGAACTTCCCTGGGCTCCAACACACATACCACACAAATACATGACCGCCATCTACACGTATCCAGAATTATTGCCCACGGAAAGCCGAACACAACGAATTTGAACGTGTCTGAACATTCTGGTGAACGATTGAGGGGTGTGGTACGGTGAAGTGTTCTGTGAGCCTATCATACATACGGTTGTTTAGATGTGGCAGCTGGAAGAGCTGTAATGTGGCCCGCTTCTATCATTTCTACTGTCTACATTCCGGAAGAGCCAGATTGTCCAAGACACTCTCCGGCTTGTTTAGATCAATAACGCTCCAGCTAACATCTTTGAGTCTCGCTGTAACGGCCTGCCGACTGCCGATAGTGCCGAACACCTTCAGGCGACCAAGTCCGCAGAAACGTCGTTGGGAAGAGGATCCATGATCATACTCACCACTGACCCATGGTTATGTCTAGGTGTTATCATATAGTAGAATAACGTAGATCATGGTCAGACTTGAGGTGCTCAATTTGATATCTCACTCTCAACCCTGTCTGTTGTCCTGTCCCTCATGATGACAAAGCCCTCGCTGACTTCCATCGACGGCCATAGCCTCCTCAAAGTACCGCGTCCCGTCTGATCCGCGAAGTCAACTAGGAGAGCGCTCGGTTAGTACCAGGGTGGGGGACCACCTGGGAATCCCGGGTGCCGTCGTTTTTCCTTCTTTTTGCTGTACCCACCTTCTTTTACCCAGGGCCCAAGAGGAAATGAGTACAGAAGCACGTAGCGGCTCCATTTGCTCCTAGCTCGTCCATATCGTATCCCCTCCTCAATACACATACCATATAAATACATGACCGCCATCTAAACATCTCACTGTATCTACTGGTTCTCAGCCGCCCGTTGTTGCGCGTGGAACTACAAGTCCAATCAGCTCTATCCTTCTTACACGGGCTCAGCCTAACAGCCGAACAGAGGAAGGACGCAAAACGTACAATATCTTTCAGCTGATTGTTGGACTCTTCAAACTGCTTTTCCAGGTATTTCGCCTGCATCCCTGTATCAGCACAATCACTTAGAGATAGTCGGGGAGCATACCTTCTTTGAGAGGTTTTGGACATCCTCAGTCAACGACTTTTCCTTATCCGCATGTTCCTTCTCCACCTCCGCTCTGGACTGTTCCACAAACCTGCCGAACATCAGCTACTTCCTACCCCTACCCTTGGCCCTCGTGTTCTCGTGCTATCACTCAAACACAAAAAAAGGAACTCACATCTTCCCAACGCCCTTATACATCTTGCCCCCTCCCCCCTGCCCCTGTCCATCAACACAAACAGGCACATCCCCAATCTCCCTCCTCGTCAATGCCAATATCTTCTTTTCCTTGTCTTTGGAGGCGATCTGGGAACGGACGATCGATAGTTGTTTTTGGGAGGAGATGGCTTGGGTTTGGATTTGGGTTAGGATCTGTCGTGTTTGTTAGCCTTGAAGACGGAATGGAGAAGGGGAGAGGATGGGGAGCGTACTTTGCGGAGGGTATCGTCTGAGAGGGCCGACATTGTCTTGCTTTCTATATAGATCTTCTCTTGCTTTTTATTCAGGTTCTAGTGATGTCGGTAATCTTTCCTGGGTACAAAAGCGTGTCTCTGGTCGTGTGCGAATGGTCAACGTGATTTGTTGTGAGAAGGACAAGATGATCTAAAATAGCCTCAGACCAGAGAAGAATCGACGCGAACGCGAAGGATGCAACGCTGCGGCGATGGCCGACATTACCCCGGGTCTTGCTCTCTATCATGCAGGCTGCAGCGCTGAGCTTCCCACTCGGAGGGGTAAGCTTGTTCATTGGATGTTCTGATAGTATACTGTACTCGTAGTCCGTGATGCAACTTCTTATTCGGTAGTATAGGTGATGTCAGCAGTTGATGGCTTTCTCTGCTGGCAAGGTGGATGAGACAGTCGGAGACGATGCTAGAGTCTCCATTATTCTACACGTCTTATTGATCATTTGGATTTTCGGGGGTCGACCAAAATTGACGGCAATGTATCTGCTGCCCACAAGAAAGTATGCAGGGGGTACGGTAGATACAATGCAGGCATATATCCATGCTCTCTTTTGCTTTCACAACGCTCCTACGTCCTGTCCATCAACCCTTCAGATCCCCTCTCGCTTAACCCTGGAGCTTCATGACTACCCCACCATCAGCATTAACCCCTAAAGCGAAGAAGAGCGCCACTCACTAGCATTGATCAAGTCTCCCTTCTCGGCAATGTACGCCTCCCTGGCCTTGGCCTCGTCCGCGCCGGTTTGGGCGACGATCAATTGAATCTCTTCCTCGTTCACCTTGAAGTCGGCGGGCTCAGCGGGAGCGGCAGCGTCGGTGGATCCCTCGGCAGACCTATGACGGTATCAGCAAAAGTCCTGAACAGCCCCACGGGCAGGTTCCCGCAACGACCCCGCCCCAATCCAATCCCCAACAAGCACACTCACTCGTCCCCAACCAAGTCCTCCAAAGACTTGGGCACACCATCCTTGAACCCTCCCTGCGCGTGCGCCTGCTGGGCAGCCTGGCTGCTCGCCTGCAATTGCTGCTGAGCCAACTGCTGGGCCTGGCTGTTGGGGTCCTCCACCTTGGCCTCGCCAAAGACAATGTAGCAGTCGCTTCCGGGCGACTTGTAGACTTCGGGGTCGGCGACGACGAGGAGGACGTTTCGGGCGCGGCGGAGGGTGACTCTGGTGATGCCCTGGACACGCTTGAGGCCGAGACCTTCGAGGGCCTTGCGGGCCTTGCGTTCGGGGCGGGAGTGGAGCTCGACGGTGGCGCCGGCGGGGAGCTGGTTGTTGCCGTCCTCAAGGGAGAGGTTCTCGATGTTTTCGATGGACATGGCGGATGGTTTGTATGGCGGTAGAGGCGAGAAAAGAGCGAAAGAGGAGTTTGGGGGGGCAGCCTGATGTGGCATTTCTGATTATGTAATGCACCCGGGCCGGGGCGGCGATGGCCGGGGGTTATGTCAGCCTGGAATTGGATGACCGAAGTTCGGCTTGGGTGAATTTGCATCTCATTCTGTGTTTGCATCTCATCTTGCCATGGCCTCCTTCTTCCGCTCCAAGGCCGCCTCCACCAAGACAGCGGACAGCTCCGCCTCCTCCATCAAGTCCACCGACGCAAACAAGACACACGAGGTGATCCTCGTCCCCGGCGAGGGCAGCACCGTCACTAAGAAGTGGGAGTATGATGAGCACCAGCTCGCACAGGTATGCCGACCGTACTACGCCCTAGGACTTTGCTGACCATCCCCAGATCGCCGAGCTGCAAGAGGCGCGTCGTCTCACACTCTTACATTACATGACCAATCTAACGCACTCCACAGTACTCCAAGACCCTTCTCCTACCAGCCACCGACGACTACCACCCCTGGGAAGCACGTTTCCTCGCCGATCCCGGAACGCATCCCCGCTACATGCGTGCGGCGAAATGGAAGCTGTCAGACGCGAAAACGAGGATCAAGGGGACGTTGGAGTGGAGACGGGAATTCAAGCCCGAGTTGATCGGCCCGGAGGACGTTGGTATTGAGGCGGAGAGCGGGAAGATGTGAGTGAACGCTTCATGTTTCTTTTGTCTTTCGAAGGAGAGGCGAGGTTGGAGGAGAGGCAGCGCAGGGGAAGTGTGGTCTTGTTCGCGTCCGAGAAGATAATTTCGCGTCATGTCTTGGCACTTTCGGCCAAATCGGCTTTGTGCCATTGCGCCCCCTGCACTCTGTCAATCTCTTCCTCCCATCCTATCTTTCACGGAGGTCATTTCGAACACATTTGTGACCAGAAAACGGCCCAGATCTGATCTGCCGAGCGCGTACGCCGTTCTGGTCTATTCTTTCGGCTATACGCGTCTTTGACCCCCGAAAAGTGGCACGCCCCGCGTTTCTCGGCTCCTTGCTTTTTCTACTTTCTTCCCAGTCCAAGACATAACTAACCCGAAACAGTATCATCACAGGCTTCGACAATGACGCCCGACCTATCATCTACATGCGCCCCGGCCGAGAAAACACCGAAACCAGCCCCCGCCAGATCAGGCATCTCATCTACAACCTGTCCGTATCTCTCCCTCCCCTTTTCTATCTACACCAGCTGACCCGGACTGCAGTGAACGCGCACTCGACCTCATGCCCCCTGGCCAAGAACAAGTAGCTATCATTGTCGACTACAAATCAGCCACCTCCCAATCCAACCCCTCCATCGGCACTGCCCGCAAAGTGCTCAATATCCTGCAGAACCATTACGTCGAGAGGCTCGGGAGGGGGTTGGTGGTGAATATGCCGTGGTGGATCAATGCCTTCTTTTCGGGTATCTCGCCTTTCATGGACCCCATCACTAGGGATAAGGTGAGTTATACGTTTGAAGAGGAGGGGTGGGAGCTGATGAAAAAGTAGATTAGGTTCAACCCCAAGTTGACAGAGCTCGTACCCCCTGCTCAGTTGGATGCCGAGTTTGGTGGAGACTACAAATTTGAATACGACTTCAAGCACTACTGGAAAACCCTCACAGAGTACGCCCCATCCCCTCATTCCTATTCATTTCAGCAGAGCACTGACAACAGCTCCCACAGATTCTGCCACATCTCCCCCGACGGTACGCGCTACAACGACCAAAAGGAAACAATTATCCCTCCCTCCGGCAACGGCATCAAAGCCGCCCTCGAGGGCTACGTCCCCCGCCAAGGCGCCGTCGTCTCTGGCGATATCGTCAAAGCCTCCTCCTCCGGGTCCGCCGCCGCCGCCGCTGGGGGCGTGAGGAACGCCCAAGATACAGCTGCAGGCGGCCACGGTACCGCCGTCTCTTCCGGCGCTGCGCCCCATGGCGTCACGTCGGAAGAAGCTGAAGTTGAGGATCAGACGGATGCGCAAAAACTTGCTGCTGAGCATGGGACCTCCACCCACACTGGAGCAGCAGGAGAAGGGGCAGGGGCAGGGCTGGAGAAGGATATGGAGAAGCTTGCGGTGGAGACGGCGCCGGGAGAGCCGGTAGGTCGGGAAGAAGCTGCTTTCGACCACAAGTCTAGTGAGAAGGAGATCAAGGAGACGCTAGCTCAGGCTTAGAGTGCCATTAATAGAGATGTGTTATGTGTGTCTCATCATGAGGGGGCTCAGTCTTACATTAAATAGTATCGTCAATAGAGACGTGGTACAGGATGGTGGGTATGACTTCGACTGATTATAGCTTTCGATTTCCATGCAACGTCACTCGATTCTTGAATGTCTGATGGCGTGATGGCCGTGCCACTTGGCTCACCTAAATCGTGACCTTGCAACTCAACAGAGACAACATGTCACGGATCTGTATACAACAAAAACCGGCCGAGCAAGGGGGCCATGGGGAGCTGGCACCACCAAGCACCTACAGGATTGCCGAGACTCTCGCCCAATGCTTAGTGTGGGAGAGGGTGGCCAGGTTCAAAAGACCCATGAAATATGTCTGCATCTATCAGGCCCGTTTAACTACTACAAAATGTACCCAAGCAACCCGAACACGTCCTTCTGAATAGTATCTCTTCAATCTTAAAATCTTTCTATATCTTCGATTATAGCATTGGTCCCTTCCATCAAGCAACGTCCTCAGCAGCATCCATGTTCAAGATGATCGCCTGGTAAAACCTAGCAAACTCGATCAAATCATACGCATTCGAGTACTCATTGATTGTATGCGCTCCTGCCGCACCAGTCATGGGCGTGTATCTGTATCGGTAGATGTTTGGCGTAAGGTTCCAGTAGCGTCTGGTATCGGTGTTCTACGTCTCTGGTCAGCTTCAGGCGTCCAAGCTGAAGGAAGAAAACTTACACCAGTAGACATGAAAGGCGCCATAACGATATCCTCCCCCGGTCCCAATTCGACGATGGTCCCATCTTCACTGACCTCCGATCGACTGGCCCAGACACCCCTCGTCGTTCCAGCCAACACCCTCCAAGCCGGGTCTTCCACCGACACCGGGCTATGAGGCGAAGGGTCGGTAAAGTAGCCGAACGCGACGTCCAAGGCGACCTTGGTAGAAGGGGTACCAGAGAAGACGGTCTCGCCGTCAAAGCCGATGAGGGTGATGTTGTATTGCTGGCAGACGGGCTTGAGAACTGAGATCGTGCGCGCTTGGAGTTCCTCGTGGTTGGAGAGGAAGTTGACGCGGTGGTTGACGATGGCTTTGACAGATTCCGGCTGGGGAGACAAGTCAGCTGGATACTGTGTGGTATGAGGGAGACTCACGAGAGCGTTGACTTTGAGACCGCCGTTGATGATATCAACAGCTTGGGTAGTGCTCAACATACTCCTGATACTATCGCCCTGCCCAGGTCCAGCAGGTGCACCACCCATCCCGCTACTGATAATCTCCTCAGGCAAACTCTTCCAAGCCTTCACATCCCCATCCTCTGCCTTCACGATCAGCCCCTTCAAGCTCTTCGGAATACCTTGAGCGAAAGCGGCGGCACAGGTCACAAACTCATACACTGGCGACTCTTTGGCGATCGTGGCCTCGTGAGGGTGGGATTCAAGCTCGGCGATGAGAAGGGAGATGAGTCCGATAGCAGTGTGGGGAGGAGGGACGGACGAGTGACCGCCAAGGGTAGAGACGGTGATACCGAGGTCGTAGTGGCCTTTCTCGGCGACAGCAGGGGTAGCGAACTCTTGGCCCCAAGTGTTGATCAAGCCGGAGCCCTCGTCAATGAGACTTGGGAAAGGTCAGTCTAGGCACTAGCGGTTGAAGGGAAGGTACCCACAGAGCCATGGAGTTCTTGCCATACTTGCCTTCCAGGTATCTGGAGATAGCAGGCGCACCGACCTGACCACCTCGTTCTTCGTCGGAGCCGAATCCGAGAATGATGGTCCTCTTGGGCTTGAAGTCGGTAGTCTTGATAAGATGTTCAAGCGCAGACATGACAGCTTGCAGGATTTCAGTATTGAGCCATTTCGAGTGGGAAAAGACATACCGATCAGACTGCTCTTGGTGTCGGATGACCCTCGCCCGTGGATGGACGTGCCATCGTACTCGCCCCCGAAGGGATCGTGGATCCACTGATCAAGAGTAGAGGGGAGGACAGGCACAACATCTGTATCCCCGAGTTAGCGCAAGGTCAGTTGAAAAGCGATCAGCGCACCTTGATGGGCAGTGAGGAAGAGGGGCTTGAGAGACGTGTCGGAACCCTTGATCTCGTAGACGAGAGCCCAGTCGGTCTTGGTGACTTCCGCGACACCATAGCTACGGCATAGTCAGACTCAACTGTCCAGAAAGCAGCAGACAACGTACATCAGAGGGAATGTCTTTTCAAGGAAATCATGGAATTGGGAGAAGATCTGCCATCGAGGATCTTCATCCACCGGGCCCATCTCGTCAAACATCTCTGTGGGGATCCTAATCTGTCGCATAGTCAGTGATATGCCCAACAGTATGATACCTCGCTTACAGCATCCTGGAGTCTCTTGATGATAACATCCTTCTCCTCAAAGATCCGGGTTGTATTGTAACCCTCCGGCATGATAGGCTCAGCTTGCACACAGAGCCCTTTCTTTACATCCGCAGTAAAGTCAGAAGAGGAGAGAGAAGACTCATTGAAGACTATCTGCGGGATGGACAAGGGCCAAGAGGTGACCACTGCAGAGGTAGCGAGTAGACCGAGGGCGATAAGAGGCCATCGGCTCTTGGAAGACCTCTCGACGGGAGGGACGTCGTCAGCCGAGACTGGGAGGTAGAGGGGGCCTTTTGCCATAGCGAAGTTATGGGAAGAATGTATATGGCTGCAGATGAGAAGAAGAAAGAGAGAGAAGATAGATAAAGATAGAGACGCATGGGTCTAATCCACCAGAACATTGCCCGTACGTACGAGCGGCGAGTGACTCTTTCGCGCATGTCCGAAAGGCGGTCAGCTCCGAGTATCGGTCATAAGCGGTAGGAATTGACCGAGCGCTTGAATCTTATCTCGGGCCCCGGCTGGACTCCGCTGACGAGTAGGAGGGTAAAACAAGGAAGTGGGCAGGAAATATGTACGTAGGAGGGGAACCAAGATGGCAGGCGCATGGATGGATGCTCATATCACCTCTGACATGCCCATCTGCTCAGTCACAAATCAAGTGATCAACTGCTGGTGGCACACTATACCACCACGCATTACCCCTACGAGTCCATTTGCTGCACGGCTGCCGTCATAGGCGGATGCCATTTGCTCGCCTCAACACGCAGCCACTAATGTTGTCTAACCATCGTCAATGTCGACGAGTGACTATTCCAGATTGAACGACCAAGAAGCGAGTATGGTGGACGATGAGGTGCTCGGTCCGCCGCCGATTGCCGATATTTGTCTTGCAGTATGCTGCGGGATGTTCGAAGTATATGTATAATTGGAGATGTATATAGCCATCTTGAGATATCTTCTTTCTCCCAAAAAACGACTCATACTATGACTCAGAAACGACCCAACTTTCTCGTCATCCTCGCCGACGACTTGGGCTTTTCCGACGTCGGCTGTTTTGGGAGCGAGATTCACACCCCCAACCTCGACAAGCTTGCCAGAGAGGGTACCAGATTCAGCGACTGTGTGTCCCATCAATTAGCTAGAGAAGTGTTGTTGCTGAACTAGATGTAGATCACACCGCGTCGGCATGTTCGCCCACGAGGTCCATACTTTTGAACGGGACGGACGCGCATCTCGCAGGATTGGGCGTCATGTACGAATTCATCGCAAGTTCAACCATCGTTTTTTCCACGTCTCTACTGGGATCGCTCTAGGCTCGCGACCCGGAACGATGGAACAAACCCGGCCACGAAGGATATCTCAACCACGACGTCGCTGCTCTGCCCGAGGTCCTCCAAGATGCCGGTTATCATACCCTACTTTCTGGCAAATGGCATCTCGGCTTCAAGGAGGGATTCATCCCAGCCGGCAGGGTTTTCGATAAGAGCTGGGCATTATTGCCTGGGTGTAGTAATCATTTCGGATGGGAGCCGGCGTACGATGAGGCGGGAAGACCGAAGGTGAGTTCTGATTTATTTGGTACGTCGCTATGTCTAACAAAGCACAGGTTGTTGGGCATCATCCCCCGTTGTGTGTCGACCAAGCGACACGCTATATGGTGTGTATGATCTTCTTCGAACGTGTGGGTAGTAAAGTTAACAAAACTCGTAGCACACCAAACAAGACCAACTCCCCCGACGGCTTCTACTCTTCCCAGTTCTACGTCGATAACCTCCTCAGATACTTTCACGAACGTACCTCGTCCGAGCAAGATAAAACTTTCGCCTGTCTCCCCTTCTCCGCCCCCCACTGGCCTCTCCAGGCCTTTCCAGAAGACCCCGACAAGCACAAAGGCCTCTACGACGCCTGACCAGCGGTCCTTCGCCTTCAGCGCTTGGAGAACCTGAAAAAGCTAGGCTTGATTCCCAAGGACGTCGACCCAGCTGAGGTAGTGGCCAATGGGGCGAAGAACGGGGAAGAGATGAGCGTCTGGGAGAAGAAGATCGGTATGGTGCATGCGATGGATAGGGATATTGGAAAGGTTGTCGATTACTTGGAGAAGAACGGGGAGCTGGATAATACTGTGGTGATCTTCATGTCGGACAATGGGGCTGAAGGTGCTGCTCTAGGTAAGTCACGGTGCTGCCACGATGGTGACCATATGATTGACGAGTGGTAGTTTCAGAGGCTACGCCGACCATGGGCCCGAGGCTGCTGGAAACAATCGACAAGTACTATGACAATAGCTACGAGAATCTCGGCAACCACAACTCTTTCATCTGGTACGGTCCCCAATGGTCCCAAGCTAGTACAGCTCCGAATCGACTAATGAAAGCATTTTCCACCGAAGGTCCGTCCTCTCCTGTCGTCAGCCTGTCGTCGTTTTCGCTCTTCTCGCTGACTTTGGTCATCAGGCGGGATCAGAGTACCTATGCTCATCCGATACCCGGGCTTCAATCACCTTCCTCCCGGTTGCATTCACCACCTGCATGGACCTTATGCCCACTTTCCTCGACCTCGCGGGCGCTCAACATCCCCACCTCCCCCACCGAGCGCGTCCCTTACAGAGGACACCAAGTCTACCCTGTGAGCGGCAAATCGTGGGTTCCAGACCTGCGTGATGGGCACACATTCACTGACAAAGATGGCGACGAAAGTGAAGCCGTCCACGGAGAGAACGATCATCCCGTCGGTTGGGAACTGCACGCCCGCGCGGCTCTACGCAAAGACAGATGGAAGATTGTCAACCAACCTTTAGGCGAGCATGGTACGGGTGGCTGGGAGCTGTACGATCTCTCTACCGACAGAGGGGAGAAGCACTATCTAGCTCAAAAACTGCCTGACAAGTTGAAAGAGCTGGTAGCGGACTGGGGACGGTATGAAGAAGAGACGGGGACAGTATTTGGGCTGCCGATTAAACATGTTAGGGGGCATGGGGAGCTGATACGGAAAGAGAATGTATCAGGGGATGTAGTGGAGGATCAAAAAGCTTGAATTAGGGTTGGGCACCGGAGGAAGCTGGGGCATGAGGCCTGATGTGACGTACGAAAGACAGGCGCTCGAGTCAAGCTCGAGTAGTGGGTACGTAGCTCCAGATGTAGTACACGATATCATATGTAACAGTTTGATCTGCAATGGGTTGTGTATCTGAATTGGGCAAGCCAAGAACGATGTACATCATGTTCAGATCATGACTCATGTTGGCCTCGCTATCGTCTGGACCACACTCTGAGTTTAGCAGAGCATGTACAATTTGTTTCTCCAAACATCAAGGGGGTGTAGCTCATTTGGCAGAGCGCGTCATTAGCATTCATCAACGGAGTGTATTTGACGAGGTACTGAGTTCAATTCTTAGCTCCTCCATTCTTTTTTTGGCTTTTTCTACACTTTCTCTTCTTACCCTCTATCCCCGATCTAACGAGTATACTGCAAGCAGAGAGTATGCTACTGGTGGAAAGCCGAGCACAACATCGTCGGCGATGTCCAAACATGATGCAAGCCAGCGTGACACCTTGTCTCTCATTCTCGCAGAAAAGGTGTTGCCATCTCTCAACCTATTCCAGATATGCGTTTCATGATTCCAGATATCATCAATACATTTGCACTATATCGACCGACGATTTACCGCTATCATATGGTACATACAACACCTGTCACGTTCGACCACCCATTCGTCATCACGATCGACCTATCCACCTTCCAAGTCATGCCATGCTTGCTTATTTCCTACATTCCGAATGCCACCATACCCTCCCGCGGATCGAAGAAAGACCGAGTCTCTTACCACTCACTGCTCGCTCACAAAGATCGCCGCATAGCCCTACCACCGCCATCAGCCCTCCCTTCTTCTCCATCCCCAATCGAAGAAATGCCAAACTCACCATCCCAGTCCTCATACACATACTCGTCACAAACACCTTTTTTCCCTCCCTCTTTGCCGTCGCAAAACCCGTCGCGATCTGTCTCGCACCTGTACACCCTAGCGGATGGCCGAGCGCGATGGCGCCGCCGACGGGGTGGACGATGGAAAGGGGTAGGCCGATGTGTTTGATGGACATGAGGGCTTGGGATGCAAATGCCTGGATGTGTCATGTCAGGGCAAGGAGGATGGGAGGGGAGAGGAGAGGAGGAGCTGACTTACCTTGATCTCGTAAAAGTCGATGTCTTCCTTGGAGAGACCGGCTTGGTGAAGAGAAATCTGTGAGTCTTGCCTTTGCGAACGACGGGATAGAACTGGTGAGGTTGGTGATGAATGGCATTCTTGCTGTTGCCCTTGTCAGCATACGCTGTGTTGTGTTCGTTTGCCAGAGGAGAAGAATCGGGGATAGGCCGCGATGCGAGATGGGCGATCCACCGGCAGGCACTCGGGGAGCCGAGATGGACAAGACTCGAGGCTACGCCGTATATATACACCCTCTCGGGAACAATCCATCACTTCACTGACCATGTCTCCCCTCACCCTGCAATCCACCCTCCCCCTCAACGACGGTCTGTCCATCCCCCACATCGGCCTCGGGACTGGCGGTCTCAGCGGGCAACAGACTACCGACGCAGCCGCCTACGCCTTATCGATCGGGTACAGACTCTGCAAGTGCCATTTGCGTCCCTTTACGTCGCCCCCACTGAGAGTAGTATGTATGTAGTCGACACTTCCCAACATTATGGAAACGAACAGCGTGCGTACGGTCCATACGCGTGAATATGGGGGTTGTAGAAGGCTGACAAATTATGTGTCGTAGAGTTGGGACAAGCTATATCCAGCACACCCATCCCGCGCTCCGAAATATTCATAGCCACAAAGTACAAACCCTCCGCTATGGAACCTTCCTCCGACCCCTCCGTCCCCACCCCGCGCCACTCTGATGAGGAGATATACGACTCTATCAAGGAAAGCGTGTCGAAACTCGACCCGAGGGAGGGGGGGTATGTTGATTTGATGTTGTTGCACCATACAGGCCCTGATCGGGAGGGGAGGGAAGCCGGTTGGAGGGGATTGGCGAGGGCACAGAAAGAGGGGCTGGTGAAGAGTATCGGTCTTTCCAACTGGTACGTTCCAACTTTGAACACTCGTGGTGAGCCCGATCTCTGACAAGGAAAGCAGTAATATCAAGCACCTCGAGACGCTCCCTGCCCCTCGGGCTTCTGTCGTCCAGCTCGAACTCAATCCTTTCTGTCAACAACGCGAGCTCACAGCTTATTGCGCTTCCAAAGGAATCATCTGTCAAGCATACTGCCCCACCGTCAGGTACATTGAAGACAAGATCAAAAACCCGATCATCGTCAAGATTGCCGAGAGGCTGGGGCAGAGCGAAGGACCTGTCCTCTTGAGGTGGAGTCTCCAGAAGGGGCAAGTTTTTCCTTCTCTCACAGGGGTCTTGATGGAAGAGATGCTGATGCTGCTTTGACCAAGATTCATACCCATCCCCAGATCTTCGAAACCTGCGCGGCTGCAAGACAATCTCAGAGCCTTCAGCTTTGAGCTTTCCCCCGAGGATATGACAGCCCTCGATACCCTCGACATGGGCGCGGCCGGCCGGCTCACTGTGGTAGACCCTGACAATCTTCCAGAGTAGTTGTCGTATATATCGTCTTTTTCTGCGTATGCGTATAAGAGATGTATAGAAGGAAAGGATAGATGCTTAGAGATGTAAACATGGTGATATTTGATTGGAGGCAGGCTGCTAGACCTGAGCGGCCCCGGGCTTCATTATCATCATCGATCCTGATAACCTCTCCGAGTGAACCGTCCAAATCGTCGAATCGTCAATTGTCCCATAATCCTCAGAACGCTGCAAGTGAATGCGGTAAAATGATACATACAAAAAGTGGTTATACACTGCTTTTCCCTGGCTTCACCACTTATGCCCAATGCCCCCAAAAGTCTCCGTTTCTATCATTCTTCGTCCTTCATACCCAACCGCTGCTTCTCCTGCGCCAGGGCGACTTCTCTCGCGTGCAGCTCTGCCTTGGCGAGTGCTGTAGCCTGTTGTTTTGACGGTTGGTGATAGAGCACTACACTCAACATCAGCTCTAGCCCATGCACAATAGAAAAAAGTTCAGGGGGGCGACTCACCAACAATATACCTCTCCATCAAATGGAAACCATTCAACGCCGTGATAGCCTCCTTGGCATCGTCCGGCGACTCATACACCACATACGCCGTACCCTTCGTCTTGAGTTCTTTGCCGTCGGTACCGAGTCGGATCTGGCGGATGGGACCGTATTTGCCAAAGAGGTCGTACAGGTCTGGGCCGGTGATTTGGAAATTGAGGTTCTTTACGCTGCGCCATCGTCAGTAAGAGTTTGTCGGAGTGGGGAGGGGGGCTTACAAGAGGGCTCTTTGGGAGAGGGGATCTTGTGATCTTTGCATGTTGGCGGTGGATACACTTGATGTTCGAGATTGACGTGAAAGACAGAGGTGGATGGCGCGGAGAAAATCGAAAAACCCGCGGAAATAATGTATCCATTCAAAGATTTCCACTCTCTTTCTCTCTTGTTTCTCTCAGAAATCTCCAAAATGGCCTCCGTCGTCGCCCTCAGCCTCCCCCTCGCCCCTCCCCCCGCTGGCTACTCAAAGCCCGCCCCCAACAGGCCCTCCGCCCCCGCCCAACTCCCCGTCTACCCCGCCGGCCCCTCCTTCATCTCCGCCGCCCGCCGCCAGCTCCTCCAGCGCTCCTTTGCCCAGGACGACGAGGCCGTCCTTGCCGCCCGTGCCCAGGCTGCCGAGGCCAAGAGCAAAGAGTTCAACGAGGGCGACCTGTACCCCGGTCTCGGTGAAGAGGAGGAGCACGAGAGTGTCTTGAAGACCGACCCCAAGGAGTGGAAGAAGCAGGACCACTATGCCGTGCTCGGTCTCGGCCACTTGAGGTACACTGCCAACGACGACCACATCAAGGTCGCCCACCGAAGGAAGGTGCTCCGACACCACCCCGATAAGAAGGCGAGCCACCACCAGGGCCAGGACGACTCTTTCTTCAAGTGTATCCAGAAGGGTAAGTCGCCTTGTCATCTATTGGGAAAGTGCTGATGAGAGTAGCGCACGAGACTCTCACCAACAACGACCGTCGACGTCAATTCGACTCTGTCGACTGGAACATCAACGACGAAGTGCCTGACTGGAAGTCTCTCTCCCCCGAAGACTTCTGCAAGCAGGCCAACGCCGTCTTTGGCCGCGAAGGCCGATTCTCCGAGCACCAGCCCGTCCCCGCTTTCGGCGACCTCAACTCCTCCAAGCAGGACGTCGAGGGCTTCTACAACTTTTTCTACAACTTTGACTCGTGGAGAAGCTTCGAGTGGCACGACAAGGAGGTCAACGAAGGTTCCGACTCTCGTGATGACAAGCGATTCACCGAAAAGAAGAACAAGTCTGAGAGGGCTAGGAGAAAGAAGGAGGACAATGCCAGGCTCCGAGAGCTTGTGGACTCTGTGCTTGCTGTGGACCCCCGTATCAAGCGAATCAAGGCCGAGGAGAAGGCGGCTAGGGAGGCCAAGAAGAAGGGCGGTGCGGCCCCCAAGGCTTTGACCCCTGCCGAGAAGAAGAAGATTGAGGACCAGAAGAAGAAGGAGGAAGAGGAGAAGAAGGCTGCCGAGAAGAAGGCCAACGAGCCTAGCAAGGCCGAGAAGGAGGCTGCTAAGAAGGCCAAGGAGGCTGCCAGGAAGAACTTGAAGAAGTGGAAGAAGGTGCGTCCATCTTTTCTCTCCTAATCTCATACTGACCATGTCGTAGGCCATCGCCACTGTCATCACCGACTCCAACTACTTCCAAGCCGCCGGCTCCGCCCCCTCTGCCGCCGTCATCGAAAAGCAGCTCGCCGAGCTCGACTCTCTCGTCGAGCTCCTCGAGCCCGAGCAGGTCAAGGACCTCAAGGAGAAGATTGACAAAGCCGGCAAAGGCGAGCCTGCCAAGGCTGCCCTTAAGGAGAAGGTTGTCGAGCTCGGTGCCAAGGGTGAGGGCAAGTTTGCCGAGTTTGCTTAGAGCGATCTAGAAATGTAGAGATGAGTAGATGGGGAATGCATCGGGCTTTAGCTCTTTGCTTTTCAATGTGCACATGTTTCAGAGAGGAAGGCGCTGCCGAGAAACGTTCCCACGTTCCCGTCTCTCCGAGAAACGTTTCCCGCCCTCCACGAACAGCGGGAAGACCGGGCCGGCCGAGAGGGCCGAGGGGATGCATGTCCGTCCGTCCGTTCGTCCGTTGCCCACGCCCTTGAAGGGTAAGTGCGGGCGCTTGTACAGTACTAATACTGTCAAAACTATAGTAGTTCTGTGTGAAAGGTCCAAAACTCGACGGGCTGGAGAAGGCCGCCCTTTCGTTCTGGTCTTGTGATAGATTCTTGAAGTAGACGGAGATACTGTACAGTACTGCACTCAAGTACTCGTATGGAGGAGACCTGAGGCGCCGGACTCTTGCGCTTCGCTCTTTCAGCGGCCCGAGGTGTGACCTGATGCTCACGTCCATTTGTTCCAGGTTACATAGCCTGCATGTGCATAGAAATTAACAGTTGATGGAGGTTCAGAGTATTTCGTCGAGGAGTGAGAAGCTACTAGACCACTAAGCCACTAGCTACAGTACAGTCCCTGCTCGGTTGCTTTGCATCCGGTCTCTCGTACCTCAAGACCTGCCAAAGCCGCGCTACACTACTGCGCATCAGCGCAAACGATCTATCGTAGGTATCTTACAGTACTCGTACTTAAAGTGACAACGTCGTGCTCCGCCCATCCCTCATACAACATGAACATGGTGCGCACGTTACCCCCCTTTTCACCACGCCGGACCGCGAACGTTCCACAGCGGGCACCACGGCGATACACCCATCAGCCCGCCGAGCCGCTCGCGCTCTTGCCTGACGTCAGGTCCGTCCGGGGCGACGACGGACGCTTGGTCAAAGTCTATCAGCGCCAGTTTGGGACAGGCCGGATCGATGTCCCCATTGCCCTCGTTGCCCTCGTTGCACTCGCTGCTCTCGAGCCGGTACCGGATGTGGCGGGTCTGCAGATCGTTGTGCGCCACCCCTGCTGAATGAAGCGAATTGTAGAGCCGGATTATATCGGGCCTAGTGAAGAAAAGACGCATCAGTGAGGCAGCTCGAACGCTGGAACGCTCGAGCGGCCGAGGTCGACAGACGAGTGCTAGAACTCACTTGAGGATCGTAGGAACATGGCCCCATTCATCGCACACTGCGTTTCCTAATCGTTCGAGGATCATCATATAGACGCCATTGGTCGATCGCCAGAGCCCATAATAGCCGGGGGCAGCTTTGCTCGTCATGTTCGACAAGCACTCTTCATAGAGGTTGGCCTCGTGTTCCAGTGCTTGGATCGACTCGTTGGCCCCCAACCCAGCGTCAAATACATCTCCCCAGTCAAGTGAGGATGGTTGGACTATTTTGACGATGACTCGAATAGGTCGACTGCCGTAGCTAGGCAGCGGTGGTGAAGGAGTGGAGGTCGCAGTGGAAGTCGATCGGGTCAAGGAGGGAATCGACGAGACCGACAGAATCGATTGAGGACTGTGGTCGGAATTCGAGAGCTGAGAACGGGGTGGGGTCGATAGTTCGGGATTGTAGAATAGACCTTCGAATACGTCCCACAAGTGACCTCGATCGACGTGACGACCGATGTGGACCGACGGGGTGTCAATCGGCACGGCGCCTACAGACTTGCCCTGAATAAAGGCCTGCAAGGGTCGGCCAAGTAGGGCCTGGTGAGGCAAGAACGAGGTGCCGCGCATGGGAATGTACTGGCGGGAACGGGGGACAAAGATCTACATGGAAACAAAAACAACTCTTGGTCAGAATGACCCGGCGGAACGCAACGTGACAAGCAAAAGCGAACGACTTACAACGGCATCATCGTCCTGTCCAGCTTTGACATCAACAGTAGCAGTGCCAGGTGGCATCTCCCCGTCCGGTGCAGACTGACGCTTGTCGTCAGCGAAACCGCATTTAGATCAATGTAAAGAGCGACAACTCACCTGTAAAGGAGTATCGTAGAGCGGTGGAAGCGGACCTCGCGTTTCTTCATCATAGCTGTCGCTGACTTCTCCCAGATATATACTTGCGTCCGCCGCGTCACTCCCCCGCCTAGGATGCTGTTTACCGCCGCTGGGGGCACCCCTGTTCCCTTGAAATTGGGATCCTCGCCCGGCATCTGCATCATCTCTACCGCCCCTTCTCTTGCCGGACGACCCAGCAGACGGTCCATGGGACGGCCCTCCCTGACGGTCGGCCCCGGGAGATCTGCGATCGTCTCGGCGAGAAGGCCGTTGCCGTTCCGCTTCATCCTCCGCCTTGCGCTTCTTTTTGCTCGAGGCTCGCTTGTCCCTGAGCGTTTTCCGGTAAGCAGCGATCTGCCGTTTGGTATCGATATAGTCGCCCTGCCACGGTGAAAGGAAGCTTGGGATTTCGGGCGGAATGCCATCGTCGGGCAAGGCGAGAGCAACCATGGCGGACGCAAGGGTGAAGGTTTGTGATCGGGGCGGGCAGGGAGGTGTGTCAGACGGTGGTGGTGGGGGACCAGGAGAGTGCACTTGAGAACCGGCATTGCCTCTAATGACGTTGGATACGAGGAGGGTGGTGGCGTTGGCCAAGTAGAAGACAAGGGTCGCCGAAGTGTTGTGCAGTGTCGCCCAGCGGCATCTGTTGGCGTGCGTCTGAGCCCATATCTGATGAGACAAAATTGCAGAGCGGTCAGAATCATCACAGCAGAAGAGGTTAGGGGCTCTCACTGACCTGAAACGTTGCTTCCAGTGGCACCTCGGGGCCGGCAGTACTCCTCAGCCTTGTCCCAGCTGCCGAGTTGTCGATCCAGATAGTGAAGCCCTTGGTAGGTCGCCCGTTGCTTGGGGGGCCAGTCCTCTGGCCCGCTGCTTCGACGGTCATTTCCATGCCCCGCTCTAACAACACTTTTAATCGCTTGAGATCTTGCATGCCTTTGGTTCCCTCTGATGACTTCAGCAATCTATCTGTCACGCCAGCTCCCGCGTCCAGGATAGAATGTGACCATCCTATTGGGCGAGACGGAGCGTGACCAGCGTTGAAGTTGCGGGGATCACTTATGTACCGGTTGACAGCTCTTGTCAGGCCGACCCGTAACGCGCCGTCGAGCTCGGCCTCGTACAAGAGCTCTTCCGAGCCCCAAGCACAGTTGGATTCTTGTACCGTCGTGTTCCAGTCGCAGAGGGCTTGGCGTGTATTTCGGTCGACGGCATCGGTCGGAGATGCCTGGACGATCGCTTGATCGAGCCTGTCGAGGAGATAGAGGCGGGTCGCATCGTCATCATGTACGACGGTGATGCCACGGCTGAGCTGAGGAATAGACTCGAACAACGGACGGAAGATCTTGCTGAGATCGGTAGAGCAGGTGGATACGGGTCCAGTGGATATCCCTCGAGACAAAGAGGACGATCCGGCAGGAGCGGGTGCGACCCACTTTGCCAGGCAGTCCCATCGAGATTCTACGTCCGGAAGCGTTGAGTTTGCGTGGGCGGAAATGGGCTGATCTAGCTGTGGGGGGAAAAGCTTGTCGAAGAGAATGACTTTGGCTTCATCGGATAGGGTGGACAGAGGGCGGGTGTGGCCGAGGGTGAGTGTGTGATGATCTGCGATAGCATGATGTAAATCGTTGAAGACCGAGGGTTGTACGTCTATACGAGGCATCGAATGGAGGACAAGCACAAGGACGAGGAGGACGAAGTAGTGAAATACTGGGCGTTGTTGGTTGTTTACTGCAATAACGCCGATACAACCGTTTGCAGAACTCCGCAGATGTGGCAGTGGCCCGTGGCAGTGGCTGTGGCCGTGGCACAAAGTCAACCGCACTCTGTTACTGCTTCAAGGCCTTGCTCAAGAGCGCAGAGTCGATAGTAGAGTAGCTTGGTACGTGGTAGACAACAGTATACATTCTTCAAGAAAAAGGGAAAGGAGAAGAAGAAGAAGAAGAATGTATTTCAAGATCAACGCCTCAAGTACAGACAAAGTTAACGCTAATCGATATTATATAACCCAGGTCCACCACACGAATAAGTCACAGGTTGTGGAAAAACGTACCCTGCACTTGCAGCTCCGCTTTCCAGCCTTGATCTCTGCTCCCAGACCTCTGATCTTGGACCGGACGGCAAACAGCGCAGAGCACTCGACCTCGTGTAGATCTCTGTACCACCGTGCCCGTGGGCACAGGGCTGACCTGGAAAGGTATAAGCCGAGCACTCACAATCGCGGGGAACAAGCCAGGCCGCCTGTCTTGGCGTATCATGCGAGATCCGGGAGGGCAGCGTGGCCACACACGTTTGTGCCGTTGCGCTGCTCAGTCTCATCGCTCGTCGCTCGTCGGGGCAGACGTCCAGCAGGACCATTACCGCCAAGACCAGTGGTCCTTGTCATCACCCCCATCGCCTCTGGCGTAAGCCTCAAGGGGCCGACTCGTCCCGGGCCAAAGGACCCACGGGGTTCCGCAAACCTGCCAGACCTTCGTCGGTCCGTTCCACAGGAGCCAGCCATCAATTGACTTGCTGGTGGGGCGACGAACGTACATGCGTCGGATGGGGCGAGTTGATCCTCGCTCGGTGGGTCTGGGGTTCGCCGCGCTACGGGTTTGTTCTTCGTTTTTAGGAGATCGGCAAGGGTCGTCAGATTGGCGAGCCCTGGTACCCCTGGCCGCCCTGGGGCAGGGCTGCGTGCATGGCTTATTGGCGGGCCAAAGATGACTGAAAGGAGACAGCGGGATGGAGCTGCCGCCGGCGTTGCGAAGCCGGTCGTCGCTTTGAGCAGACGATAAAGAGGTCGAGTGAGTGGGTGACGATATTGAGCGGGTCGAATAGTTCAGCAATTGGTTGGCTGCTAGTGTGAAAGAACATCTGGTCAGCGCAGTAAGGGCACAAGGGCTCATAGCGAAGGGGAGGGGGGATCGAAAGTGAGGTGGGCAGGAAAGATGTACTGTAGAAGATATGAAATGTGAAGAGTGTATGGGTATTGACTGTAAGGTGGTACTGTAACTTACGTGGAATGCCGGAAGAGTACAGTATGCCTCACGGCGAGGGGGAGCGAGTCCCGACGCGCGGCGGGCGAGATCCGCCAAATGGACGGCCGAGGACGAGGACGATCGGAGCGGAACAGTCACATGTCTGCACATCGAAACGGACCTCGAGATGACAGAAAGTGTCGAGCTGTATTGGCGTGAGCGATAGCTCGCAGCTCATGATGGAGAGGTTGTAAACTTACAGGACTGTTTGAGTTCTCATCCCAATCTTGGCAAGCCCACAGTCCCTCCCACATGATGTAGCAGTCTACTCTACCTCCTTCTACGACACCTCTGAACACTTCCCATATCGCCTCTTCAATTCTTTGACCTTGAGAGTTATCAGACAACGGCGAAGCGAGGAGTACAGAGCCAGACGGGGAAGGGGTATTGAAGGTTTGGAGTCACGCGTCAACACGCTGTTTCTTTGACTGCTTCGCGCATGTCAAAGGACGCCGGAAGGCGTGTTTGTTTCTCCGGAGATAATGGTCTCTACAACTTTGGGTATTCATTCCACAAGTATGCTCAAGATACACTTTCACAATGACAGACTACAAGAGCTTTATCGGCGACGGCATCAGGACATTGATACAATCTACGGCAAGCGGATTGAGTGAGGCGCATGCGTTGTATACGCGGTATACCACGCCGCCAGTATCCACGTCAGCGTCTGTAAGTACCTCTCTTCTTCTCCCTGTAGCTGGGACTGCATGCTGAGCTGAGATACGATAGCAAGCTCAAACAAACTACCATCAAACACCAACGAGTAAATGTCAATGGACATTTCCACACCAACCCCGGAAAGACGACACCTCCGACATGGCCATAACCTGCGCCGTCCGAATCAATACGGATCTCCCCATACCGACCACGTGCACCTGTTCATCCCTCCCCGGCCGTCCCCCACCACCTAGGTATAGCCGATACCCACCACACAGCGATGACGAGGAGAAAGATATTGATGAAGAGGGTGGAAGAACGGGGAGAAGAAGGAAGTATGATTGGGAAGCTGGGATGCTTTGTGAAGACCATAGGTGTGCGAGTTGTAGGATGTTTTTGGATGAGGTGGGGGTTGTGGTGGAAGATAGAGGGGGGTGGGGGGTGGTTTATAGTGATAATCAGAGCTTGACAAAGACGAGGTAGGGATACCTTCTTATATTCATAGTGAGGGAGTATTGATATAGTATGTACGCGTCAAGGAGGATGCCTTCACGTGGGTCTCCTAGAGCGGGGGTATTCTTACACAGAGCATATAACACTCCGGAAAAACCAGCGCCGAGCATGACACTACGCCGTCCCACGATTGTGATGAGCTTTACAAACGACAATAAGTACTCAGGATGTGCTAGTAAATCCTGCAACATCTTCCAGAACAGTCAAATATAAAGCTTCGGATCATCAACAGAAGACTTGAAGACTTGTAATTTACTTTCAGTGTCTTCCTGACGTGCCTCTGGGAGTCTACTTCCAGAAGAAGCAGGGCATCAAAGGATCATCGACACCGAAGAGGGCAGGTCTTCTCATGATACTCAGCTGCACTGACGACCACACGCAAGCAGATCTCCCACCACAAATATTCTCCACCCATCAGCGATCAAAGTATAACGACTCGGAAGACGAGGCCATAGCAACATGCCAGAAAGCGATCACTCAACATTATCGTCTTCTGCGACACAGAGAGCAACTATTGCGCCATCAAGCGATTGGCTCAGTGCACTCAACTCTGACCAGCCGGCGGTCTCTCGCCTGACATCGTCTTCATGTTCTGTCTCTCTTGTATCCCAAGCATGGAAGAGATGGAAAGAACCCCGTGCGGGGTACTCAAAGAAAGACGAAGCCGAGCGGTGTAAGGCGATGGTCTGCAAGAATCCTCGTTTGCGAGAAGAGGTCTGTCGCTCCCCTTGTCCTTTGCAAGTCCCAGCTGACTCATTGCAGCTGATGAATAGCGTTTTCAAAGGTGGTATCTCTCGAGTAGTAGACCCATCAGAGCTTGCGCAGCGCACGTGCCTTGAGCCCGTGATTTCATGGTGTTCCAGTGAATGCGAAAAGCCCGAGAGCTGTGAGGTAAGCTGTGACGAGCATCACTGTTTCAGCTGCACGGGTGATAAGGCTTGGATTGATGTGCTAGATGGATGGGTTGACGTCGAAGATGAGATATTAGAGGAGGTCGATGATTGCGGGACTGAGCGGCAGGGGTGGTGTCACACGTAGTAATTCCCTGAGTAGGACAGTAGGATAAGAATTGACTATGTACGCCGCGCGTCCTTCGACCAATCACACAACTCCGCGCTCATGCCACTTCAGGGAATTACTACGTGTGACAGGTGGGGCCAGCCCGAACAAGCTCGTTAGCAAAGGGACTGTCTTCTCTGTCGATCGCCAAATATGAGTGTGTATTAGGGGTTGAATGCTGCGAATTCTATAGATGCTACGAGCTCGATTCAATACCATGGAAAGGGAGATGAAGGAAGCTTTGTGCATGTAGTAAGCCGGCGGCGGCAGAAGAGATGACGTGAGCGCGTCCACCGCCACACATCATGTCCTGAGCTGTGTATATGCACCACATGTCAGCCAATGCTACCCTGCACTCCTGATGGTATATACATATGCATGATGGTGCTTCAAGGATCATTGTATTACCCGTTTATGCAGGAGGGAGCGCGACAAGAAGGCACATCTTCCTGACGCGCGCGAAGACAGATAACCGTCTCCCCTTGACCGCTCGTCACATCAAACTTCGCCCGAAGTCACTCACACCCTCAATAATGACTGCAGACATTTCCTCATGCTCTCAATTCCCCCTTCCACCCTCCTAGAAGAGCAAAAAAAAAAAAATAAGGAGCAGGCAGGACTCGAACCTGCGCGCCTGACGGCATTCGATGAAGGAATTAACTAATTCTAATCGAACCGAGTAACCACTGTCGCACTACTCCATTGATGTTTTGCTTGCTTGACGGCTATCTGAGAGAAAGGTATAGGAGGTGTTGCTTGAAAGCGCAGGTAAATCTGTGTTGGAGCAGTGTGTTGGAGCAGCGATGAAGCGATGATGGATGCTCCAGGATGCAGGATAGAAGCGTCGGCAGCCTCGGCACATGACTACAGGCAGTCAGTCACGCTCGGGCATCAACCATGTCAGCATTCCCATCGAGCTGTATCAGTCACGTTGAATCACGACAGAGCCCGCAGAGACGAGAACATGGAACACGTGTATGACATCGGCACCGTAAGGATTAAACATATAGGATCATATCCACGACGTTCAGAGGGGGGGGTATAATTTAAACATGAAAAAAACCAGTTCTTCATGCTCATGAAAACGAAACCACGCAAGAAACAGCAAACAAAGCAAGTAGAATTGGGTGTATCGATAAAAGGCAGGACGCCCGAGATATTTTTGTTCCAATCTAGGAAATGCAAAAAGATCCCGGGGGATGGAGTCAAAGCAGCGAGATATCTATAAAGATTGAAGGAAGAGATGGTAGAGGATGACGGTACGAGCCCTCAGTACGTTTAGTGGTACTTGGCAAGGGCGGTGGTGTAAGTCTGACCAGACTCACTGTCAAGAGCATCAGCACTCTGCCTCACGATTAGGGAGACAGGACTCACGTAAGAACACCGTTAGAGACCAAAGCCCACTCGTCAGAGAGACCTTCACCGGTAGAGTACGCGTAAGCGTAGATTCGGTCATCGGCCTGGAAGAGGTCGACAATGTCCTGGATGAAGGTGTTGATCTCGGACTGGTCGGTACAGGGGACAAAGTCGGTAGAGTCGTCGACACAAGCAAACTCGGTAACCCAGATGGGCTTCTGGCCAAAGTTGTTGTAGTAGTAGTCAATGTCGGCCTTGACACCGTCCATGTTGTTCTTGTTGATGTGCAAGTTGAGAATGTCAAAGTCGGTAGAGATCTGAGACTCGAAAGAGCTCAACCATCCGATGTACTCCTCAGCGGCCTGGTGGCACATGGAAGGAGAAAGGAGGAGAGAGCCCTTGCCCTTCCACTGGGCAATGTTGTTCTCCCAGACGGTGACGGCTGCATACGAGTTAGCGGAATCAACGGCAAAATGCGAAGGAGCATACCATCGGCAACAGCAATGTTGGAGGAACCGTCAGTAGAGCAGTCGGGCTCCTCGAAACCGATAATGTAGGCAGGAGTATCGGTGATGCCCTGGAAAGCGGCGAGTCGAGAAGCGTCGGTGTCGTCGACGGTACCACTATTCCCATGTCAATATTTCATTCTGTCTTTCATTGTCCCAGACTTACGCGCCCCAGAGCATGTTGACGCCGATAGCAGCAGAGCCAGTGTGGCCAGAGGGCACGGCGTTCCAGTCGTACCACCAACCTACAGCAAATCAGAACTGACATCACAACCTCCAGGAATAGCACTTACCGATGTGGTCACCAATCATGCTGTAAGCATCACCACCGGCAATACCAGCCTTGATGTTGTTAGGGGTGTAGGCGCTGGTAGAGGTCGAGGTAGAAGCCGAAGAAGTAGAAGAGGCCGAGGTGGAGGAGTCGGACTGCGCATACAGTCAGCTGTGACCTCTTTTTGGATTGATCCCGACTTACAGAGACTTCATAGGCGGCGACGGCGGCGACGCTGGAAGAGGCAGCGGCGGTGGTAGAAGCGGTCTCGGCAGCAGCAGGGGACTCGACAGAGGTGGCGGACTCGGTGGCAGACTCGGTGGCAGACTCGACGGCAGAGTCGGTAGGGACAGCGGCGTCGGAGGAAGACTCGACGTCGGAAACAGCGCTGGCAGCATAAGTCTCGGCGGCGGTGCTGGTGGCGGAAGCAGTCTCAGACACAGTGGCAGAGGCAGAAGAGTCCTTCACTCTGCAAGTGGTACCTCGTCGAACGACCTTTCTCCTCTTCTGGACCTTGGGCTTCTCGGCGAGGGCTCGAGGGTTGGCCGCAGCAAGCTCGTCACGTCGCTGCTCGACGGCACCGGCGATACGCTCGTGCTGGCCGACGGCTCGTCGGTGGGCAGCGGCTTGGGGGTGGAGAGAGGATCGCGCGAGGGCGGGGGTGGCGAGGAGGGCAAGCACGGGGATGAGGGCGGTGAGCTGCATTGTGATTGGTTTTTTTGTGTCGAATCAATAGGTCGTCGAGGGGGTCGTTGGGGTGAAAAGAACGTGGGGGTGAGAAAAAGAGTGTCGGGTGTCTAGACGTCGAGCCGTAGTGTCGAAAGAGATGAACAGAGAAGAGATAAAGAGTCGACGAACCACGTTAGCTTTGCACTTGCAGGATGAACAAAACGGAAAGCAAAAGAATTGTTGTTGTGTGGCGCGCTGCGATGGGCTCGAGCAGATCGCAGATTCAGATGGGCACTTGTTTTTTCTGGACGCATGTTCGAGACCCAAACAGACACTAGGCCGCAGTAGATCGCAGGGTTTGCAGGAAAAAGACAAAGGGCAAACACCGGGGCACACGATGCACGACGCGTTTCACGGCGACAGAGAAAGGGAGAGATGTGACTCACGGGCAGTACGTACGAGTTGCGAGATGCTCAAGCCAGTTGAGCGGTGTATGTATAAGTTGAGGGATGAAATTGAAGAAAAGAGAGAGAAAGAGGGTTGTTGTGCCCTGTGCGTGACAGACGCGTCAAGCCCTGAACACTCAGGGAACGCAGTAAATATAGAGCCCAGACCCGACGCGGGGACCGCCGCTGGGGCTCACGTCAACGCGGTGGCTCTTGATGCACCCCCAAAAGAGAGCCGGTACGTAGCGAAAGAGGAATGCTGGAGTCCTGGGGGGGCCGAGTACACTTCTTCTCGGCGGCCGGCGACGTTCAGTGATCTCGAACTTCGAAGACCTCTGCGCACTGTGTCCGGACCGAGCGCATCGAGTTCTGTAAGCGGCATGTTCTTGGCATCTAATTGTTTTGGTCAGATTGCAGTCTGAGCACGTTCAAACGTCGGGTAGAGAGCCATTTCCGACAGCGTACATCTCGATACCTTCCAGTGTTGAATGTGAATTATCCGGACGCTGACGGGAGTGCTGTGGTTGCCTGAAATATCACTCAACTGTGAGCTGTTCCGTCAGCTACCGCGCGCGTGTCGTACGTCCGCCTTTTCTCCCGTCTTCCGCATTAAATCATCTCCGCCATATCTCTACTCACTCCATCCCAGCTACTCATCATCATCGCTCCACAGCACAATACAACATGAGCGACCACGATAAGGCCGAGATCAAAGTCCATCCCGACTGGAAAGACGAAGTCACCAATCCCAACGGCGACACTGATCTCATTGCTACCACTGTGACTCTTGTCAGCAGCAACCAAGTTCATTTTCACGTACCCAGGTACCTACTCATGGCAAACAGGTATGTCTGTACCATCGTCACTTTCCGCCCAATCTCACTTTCTCGCTATTACAGTCCTGTCCTGAAAGATATGCTCTCCCTCCCCACGACCAACAAATCCCAAAAAGTAGAACTCTCCGATGACGCCCTCGAATCTGCTGCCTCCCTTGCATTCTACCTCTCCGTCCTCATTGGAAAAGATGGCAAGGTCACTTTGGAGGAAGGGTACAAGACGAGGATCGTGAGGACGTGTCATGCTGCTATACTCCTGGCGGTCAAGTGGGAGTCGGCCTTGGTTTTGAGAGGTATTGCGGAAGCTTTATTGTCTTTCAATATCCCTTCCAGCCTCGAAAAGCATAAAGAAGTTCGGGCTTTGGATATCTTCTTGCTGGCACACGAGGGGGACATGACAGCGGTTGCTGCGACGGTCTTACAGACATATGAACCTAATATCGGGGGCGGCAAGCCTAATCCGAGTCACTGGGGAGGCTACCTATTCAAAGAGGACCTATTCAAAAAGGAAGGATCGGCGTTCAAGCTGGACTATCTCAACCACGATGTGTGGGCCCAGCTTGGGACGGACTACATCTTCGCCCTTACCAAGAGCCAGAGCGACAGGAATGAGGATGGGATCTATCGCTCTATATCGTTTGCGAATCATCTGAAAGACATTCGTAAAGCACAAAAGCAATCTCCGTTGTCGAAAGAAGAGTGATACCTTCAGACGTCTCAAACGCTTGAAATGTTCATTAGCCATGTATAAGATCTGTGCACTCCGCGAACAGGCCAGGTCTCTTCGCTATGACAGTGTCCAGATAATACAAGCGGTTTACAGGATGTTAGAGGCTGCTACTGTGCTCAGTATATATACTCGTACTATACTATGTTTCTTGTCGGAGGTCGAGATACAGCTTGAGAACTTCTTCTCTTGATTCCCACAACACGGCCCCCGGCTCTGTCTCAACTCCAACCCCAGCATGACCTTCACTTCTTCCATCTCCTGCGCCAACTCCTCGTCGCCGTCTTCATCGCTCGACTCGAGTCTTCCACCTTCAAAGTCTATGAGGCACAGGCTACCGTCTGTCTGCGCGACGGCAAATCTGACGCAGCTCAAGATCGTGTCGAATCTTGCAGACCTGAGCCGAGTACGTAGCTCGTTCATGACATGAAATTCGACCCGACATTCTAAAGTGGCTCGGGAAGCCGTCGAAGTGCGTTTCTCGTCGCACTGTTGATCGTCGCACGGCCCTCTTTACTTCCCGCCTTTCGTCTTCCGCACCTTTAATCCTCTTCTTCAACAGCTCTCTGTTGTTCATTCCGCCTTCCATTTCGCAAATAAACACAAGGGACAGAAATCAAAGTCCATCCCGACTGGAAAGATGAAGTCACCAATCCCAACGGCGACACTGATCTCATTGCGACCACTGTGACGCTTGTCAGCAGCGATGAGGTCCATTTCCATGTACCCAAATATCTACTCATGGCCAGCAGGTGAGTGACATCGAGCTCTCCTTTCTATCTAATCTCACCCTCTTGCTGCAGTGCCGTGTTGAAAGATATGCTCTCCCTTCCCGCCGGCAATGAGTCCCAGAACGTCGAACTTTCCGACCGTTTTCTCGAAAACTCTTCGCCGATTGCGTTCTATCTTTCCTTGCTGGTTGGAGAGAATGGGAAGGCTACTTTGGAAAAAAGACATCAAGGGAATATTGTGAAAACATGTCACGCTGCTATACTCTTGGCGGTCAAATGAGAGTCGGTGCTGGTCTTGAGCGGCATTGAGGCCGCATTGGCGTCTTTCAACATACCTTCCAATCTCAAGGGACATAAAGAGGTCCGAGCTTTGGACATTTTTCTTCTGGCTTCCAAAGGAGACATGACCAGTATCGCAGCGGATGTCCTACAGACGTACATACCGGAGATCGGAGACGGTAAACCTGAACCCAGCTATTGGGGAGATTATCTGAATCGACAGCATGATGGCCAAATATTGAAACTGGATACTTTGAAATCTGACATTTGGGCTGAGCTAGGGACCGACTACGTATATGCTCTCAGTAAGAGTAGCAGTGGTGATTCGATCCAACGATCTGTTTCTTTTGTAGAGTCACTAAAGCAGATTCGTTTAGCTCACGAGAAGTCTCGTTCGAGAGCATGGTAGTGCGGGTACACTTCGCATATGCATTTCAGTACATCAATCCCATCAATCCCACACCTCTGCACCGATGTTGAAAGAAAGCCACCCAGCCACGCTTACGGGCAACTTACGGGTCACGTGGTTTTGAGGGACCAAGCGCGTCGCTTGTTGTTTGCGGCACGCGCCGGCGTTCTTTCGTCTGTCCATCTTTTTGTCAAGGCCTATATTTTATTCAAGCCAGGACAACGACAATGGCGGACACTTCGGTCACAGAGGACATCACCCTCCAGACCCTCGGCGACGTCCACTCGGACACGGACGACGAACACGTGGCGGAAGCCCAGGCGGACCGAGCGGGCGGTGCTGAGGGGCTCGTGAACGGGGATGACGGCAAGGAGGCAGCAAATGGAGAGGCTGTAGAGCATGAGGAGGCTGGCCATGGCGCTGAGAACGGAAAACCTGAGGAAGATGCTGCGCCCGTGGAAACCGTCCAGGAGCCCGAGACCAAGGAGGAACCAAAGAAGGAGGCATCAGGCGTGATGAAGGTGCTCAAGAGCGGCGTGTTTGGTGGTGAGTGGACATGATGTTTCTCACGATATCCGTCCTGATATGGCTAAAACATAGCAGGCGCTCCCAAACCGAGCCCCCCTCAGTCCAAGGCTGCTACCGGTGCCGCAGCTTCAGCTCGTCTTTCCAGGCCTTCTTTGGCGCCCGTGAAGACTGGCCCTACCGCCTCTAAGCCAGCAACTTCAGCTACCAAGCCGACTAGTGCTTCTTCCACGGCTGCTGCTCGACCCACCCACGCTTCTCGAGCATCTGTCACGACTCGCCCCACGGCAAGCACCACTACCAGACCTTCAGTGACCAGACCCACCGGCACCTCGTCCACTGCAGCCAAGCCTGAAGTCAAGCCCAGGCCGACTACATCTGCTTCCGACAGGACTGCAAGCTCGAGTACTGCCCGACCGACTGCATCTTTGACTGCCGGAACCGCTTCTCGAACTAGACCTGCTCCTAGCAAGCCATCAGTCCCCACTGCTGCGTCTGCCCGTACGACTACAACCACGGCGACTCGCCCTACAGCCACTCGACCTGCTGCTACGAGTACATCTACCCTTGTCAGTAAACCCGAGGCGAAGCCGACTACCACCACAGCTTCCCGGGTAACTCGACCTTCTACTACCACCACCACTCGACAGCCCCTCACTGCCCAGCGCACGGGCACTTCGACCACCGCTGCCACCCGTCCCGCTGCTACACGCCCTGCAGCCGGCCGAGCAAGTATGGCGCCTTCCACCACCGCCCGAGCTCCCATCTCTGGCGTCCCTCCAAAGGTACGAGCTGGGTCGGGGCCGAGTGTCGTGGCTGGAGGTGCGAAGGAGTTGACCGAACTTAAGGGGAAGGTGGGGGAGTTGGAGAAGCAGATTGAGGAGGAGAAGGTGAAGTATGAGGAGAAGGTTGCTGGGTTGGAGCAGGAGAAGCTGGAGCTGGAGGAAAAGTGAGTTTATCTAGCTTTCTTGGCTGAACCAGCTGACATGGGATTAAGGCATGTGAAGGCGATTGAAGAGCTTAAAGCCGAGATTGAGGCTGCCACTGAAAAGGCTGGTGCCGACGACGGACAGGTACGTCAAGCCCCCTCTCTGGAAGGACGTAGCACTGACTTTTGAGTAGCTTGAAGAGCTGAAAGCGTTGCACGAGACACAGCTCAAGGCTGCTGAAGAGGAAAAGATGGCTATCATGTCCGAGATGATGTCCAAGCTCCAAAAGTATGTCTCTTCCCGGCTGTCTCTTCCCCGCTGTCTCTTCCCGGCCATGAGAGCGTGCGCTGACAAATCACCAGACTTGGTACCGAGTACCACTCTGTCCAAAGTCAACTCAAATCCGCACAAGCCGAGCTTTCATCTTCCTCCTCCGCCCTCTCAACCCTCCAGACTACCCTCGAATCAACCCAATCCGAACTCGAGTCCCTCCACTCATCTTCCCAGACATTCGAATCTTCCCTCGCATCCCTAGAGTCTTCCAAAGCCGAGCTCGAAGCGCAACTTGAGAATGTCGAAGCGGAGAAGAAGGCGCTGGATGCAAAGCTTAAAGAGGGCGAAGCGGATGCCGAGAGGAGTTTGGCGGATGCTTCTGGGCTTGGGGGGAAGGTGCAAGAGCTGGAGGAGAAGATTAAGCAGCTTGAGAATGAACTTGAGAAGGAGAAGGAGGCTTTGAAGGCTGAGGAGGCGAAGGCGCAAGAGACCAAGGCTGTGAGTGACTACAGGATACGATGGACGGCGCTTATACCACCTTCAGACTCTTGAGGCCGAGCTCGAAGCGCTCAAGGGCGACCGGGCTTCCCACACTGAGGCTCTTGCTCGAGCCACTTCCGACCATGCTGCCAGCAAAGAAGAGCTCGACGTAAGCCTCCTCTTCCTCCAATTCTACCAATCTGACCGTCCCGTAGGAAATCAAGATCGCTCACGAACAACTCTCCACCACCTACGCCGACCTCCTGCAATCCTCCTCCCGCCACCCCGAGGATATCGCCGACCTTCAACGCCAGCTCTCGGAGGCTACAGAAAAGCACGAAGCTCTGCTCGTTGATGCTGCTTCCCATGCAGGTGCTAGTGAGAAGACGGCAGAGCTGGAGAAGAAGGTGGAAGAGCTCGAACAGGCAAGGAAGGCTGGGCAAGAAGAGGTTGAGGCGCTGAGGATGAAGTTGGAGGAGGTTGAGGTGTTGCAGGGGTTGAGGAAGGAGGCTGAAGAGAAGGAGAAGAACTTGAATGAGGTGCGTTGACCGCGATGGCTGGAAATGAGGCTGACTGTTTGTAGATCATCTCGGGTCTTGAGGCGGAGATTGAAAAGTCTAAAGCCGAGTTTGAGCAAAAGTACAACTCTGCTTTCGAAGACGCCAAGGTATGTCATACCACCTCATGCCGACTGGATACTAACCCAGTCGACAGGCTGCCGCCGACAAGGAACACCAAAAAGAACTCTCCTTCTTCCGCACCGAGATCGCCACCTCTCAAGGCCAACTGCAAGAAGCCCACACCGCCGAGATCTCGTCCCTCCAAAACGCCCACTCCACCTCCCTCTCCGAGATTAGCGTCCAACACCAATCAGAGCTCACAACCCTGGAACTGTCGCTGCAAGCTGCCGCCCAACAAGTGGAGCAGGACCAGAAACGGTTGGAGGACGTCAAGGAAGAAAAGGAAAAGCTGGAGGAGGAGGTGAAGAGGCTGAAGAGTGAGGTAGAAACTGTTAGGGCTGAGGGTGAGGTGAAGGGGAAAGAGGCGAGTGGTGAGCTGGAGGTGGAGCTGAAGAGAGTCAAGGGCGAGCTGCAGCATGTGACCGATGAACTGAAGGGCGCACGAGAAGTGAGTCCATCGCATAAGTTTAGGTGAATGTTGCTGACGTTACTACAGATGGCCGAGATGAACAAGTCATCTTTCCACCAGACCCTGGAAGCCATCCAAGAGCAGCACCAAGAAGAGGCCAGGGAGTCTGCTGAAAAGCGTGAAGCGCAGTTTTCCGAAGAGAAGAAGGCTCTGGCGGAAGAGGTGGAGAAGGTCAAGGCGGAGACTGTCAAGCTGAGATCGGATCTGGAGGATGAGCGGGTCGAGAAGAACACTGCCCTTGCCAAGCTCTCGGTATGTTGATCCATGGATCACGGGGTTTTGCTTACCACAACACAGGAAAAGGTCGCAACGCCCCCTACGTCGCCCCACGCTGAGCTTCCCAGCTCACCTTCCATCACTCGACTGCACGAGGCTCACAATGCCAAGGTCACACAGTTGGAGAAGTGCGTTTTCGTGGTTCTTGTTGTCAAGGCAGATTGCTGACGCTGGATGTTTAGTGAGATTGGCAGACTCAAGGCGTTGCTCTCCAAGACTCCTGCTGGTGCTGCTGCTGTGGCCGCCGGGGACCGTGGAGATGTTGGGGAAGAGAGCATGGAATTTACGGTACGTCTCCCGTGTCAAAATCTGATCGGTGAGGCTGACTCGATACAGGACGATGAAACGATGACGTTTTGATCTATTTGTCTATCTCATACCTTTTTCCGCAAGGAGTTGACTCGATATGAAGAGTCTCTCAAGGACGATTGTGCATAGTCGTGTGTGGTACAGAAGAAAAGGTTTATAAACAACTTGTAGATCCAGCTTGGGATGGCGATACCGAATATCAGGTGACTGATCTTAAAGATACCATGCATCATAGCGTTCACACCGTCAGCTCGATAGCTCTTCACTCTCTTGTGACTGCAATGGCAAGCGGAAGCATCGACAAGCGAACGTTGGATGAACGCGAAAAGCTCGGCGAGTGCCGGAGGTGCCAAACATAGTTGGGTGAGGGCGCAACAACACTGGATTTCGTTCTTCAGGGTCCTTTCTCTTCACCATCGCTCTCAAATATCTCGTCGCAATGGGGGACAATCCCTCGGATGGCCAGCTGCTCGCCCCTCACACACCCCCTCCCCGCAACGATGACCTGGTCAGCCAGGGCTCGCCGGGCACGACAAATACCGACAAGCCCCTCATCAACAACACTGCTGCCGACGCGCGCACCAATGAAGAGTGGACGTTGGCGGAGCAGCTCTTGGCAAGTCGGCAGTGGTATAGGACAGGACGGAGCTGACAACTGAGTGCAGGTTGATCACTCGTTGATCGAATCCCGGGGACTTCTCCCATACAAATCCCTCTCACTCGCCTATCACCACCTATCCGTACGCGGCGTCGGGGGCCTCGACAACATCGAGTACGGTACCACCATGTCTACCATCCTAGCCCCATGGCTTCTCCGCACGTATCGCAAAAAGGCTTCGCAGCTTGCGACTGTGCGAAGTGATCTTCCCAATGCCGAAACGAGCGAAGAAGACGCCATGTCCTGGCGACCTGGATTGGTCAAGCCGGCGGGAAAAAGTGATCCCGGTCTCAGGAAGGGGGAGCGGTATCTGTTGAAAGACTTTTCTGGTTTGGTGAAAGCAGGAGAGATGATGCTTGTCGTTGGACGGCCGGGGAGCGGTTGTTCAACCTTTCTCAAAGCTCTGGCGGGGCATAGAGACGTCTTTGCCGGGGTCGACGGGTCGGTCAAGTATGGCGATATTGAAGCTGGCCCAGACTTCAAGCCATACGCCAGAGAAGTCATCTTTAGCTCGGAAGAGGATCTACACGATCCCAACCTACATGTGGGCAAGACTCTCGACTTTGCTTTACGGATGACCACACCGTCCCGTCGATCTCGGATACCAAACAAAGATGGCGGAGAGAGTATGTCGAGAGCGGCCTTTCAGGAAAAGAGAAAGTGGGAGCTGTTGAGAATGTTTGGGTTGCTGCATACGCACGACACCAGAGTCGGAGATCAGTACGTCCGAGGTGTTTCAGGTGCGACAATGATCTCCGTCTTTATTCACTCTTTACTGACGCTCTGCAGGCGGCGAGCGAAGACGCGTATCGATAGCCGAAGTCGTCACCACCAAAGCTTCTATCCAGCTATGGGACAATGCCACCCGCGGACTCGATGCCGACACTGCTCTCCGTTTCGCCAGAAACCTTCGTACCCTCACCGACATTGACCGCAATACAACCGTCATCAGTCTCTACCAAGCTGGCAACGGCATCTACGACCTCTTTGACAAGGTTACTGTCATTGCAGAGGGGAGGGTGATCTATTACGGGCCGGGTGGAGAGGCAAGAGCGTATTTTGAGAACCTTGGATTCGTGCATCCCGACGGGGGTAACACTGCCGACTTTTTGACAGCCGTCACAGCTGTGAGTGTCTTTTCCTCGTTGCCAGTCTAGTGCATGTACTAAGGGGTCTTCAGAGGAATGAACGTCAAGTCAGACCCGACTTTCAAGGTCGTGTGCTCACTACCCCTGCCGAGTTTGCGACCGCCTATAATCAGTCCGACATTGCCCATCGCATGCGCCAAGAGTTGGAGGCTCACCTGGTGGATCCCAAGGTCGCCGATGATACTCAGAATGCAAAGGCTATGATACAGCTAGAGAAGAGTAGCTGGGCATCCAAGACCAGGCCGGAGGAGGTCAATTTTCTTGATCAGGTGAGCATGCTCAAGCCCGACCAGTCTCTGGCTAATGGTCTGCGTAGGTGCGAGCGGCAATTACACGGAATCGACAACAGCGATGGGGTGATAAGTGGACATTTTGGATGAGGCCTGCTACTCTTCTGCTTCAATCTCTCCTTGCTGGCTCGGTAAGTTCAGTCTCAAGATCCGGCAGTAGCTGACAAGATGATCAGATGTTTTACAAGATACCAATGTCAACCGGAGGCCTGTTTCTTCGTGGCGGTACTCTGTTTCTTTCTCTATTCTGTGAGCACCCTCCGAGTAGCATCATGCCACTATCATGAACTCATCCTCCGCATAGTCCCATCTAGCATCAGCTTTAGCGAAACCACAGCTGTCTTCTCGGGCCGTGCAGTGCTCTCCAAACACAAAGGCTTCTCAATGTATCGGCCTTCTGCTCTCCTAATCGCCCAAACTCTGAACGACCTACCAGTCTACTTCGTCATGCTGTTGATGTTCACCCTCATCATCTACTTCATGACAGGGCTCAAGGTCGGGGCGGGCTACTACTTCACTTATCTCTTGTTTGTGTATTGCACGACCCTCTGTACGACGGCTTTGTTTCGATTCATCGGCTACTCTTTCAGCACTTTCAACGGCGCCTCGAAACTCTCTGGTTTCGTTTTCCTTCTGCTGTCCACGGTGAGATCAATTTTGGGACTAGCGCTTGTTTTCTAATGCTGACAACGTCGCAGTATGCTGGCTATCTGATCTACATCCCGCAAATGCACCCATGGTTCTCTTGGCTCCGTTGGATCGACCCCTTCCATTACTCCCTAGAAGCTCTCATGGCCAACGAGATCGACGGCCTCAACCTGCAGTGTACAGCTCCGAATCTAGCGCCTTACGGAGGCGATTATGCCAGCCACAGCCAGGGCTGCGCTATCACAGGCGCAAAGCCAAACGATATCGTCCTCTCTGGGACCGCTTGGCTCGACTCTGCTCTCAGATTCTACAAGAGTCATGTATGGCAAAACTTTGGGATTCTCGTCGGTTTCTGGGTCTTCTTTCTGGTTCTATGCGCATACGCCATCGAAAAGGTTCCAGCTGCGGGATCCACCAAGTCGGTACTGTTTTACAAACCTGGAGGGGGCGGCAAATATATACGACAAGCTCAGAGAAAAGGTGAAGCCTCGAAGCATGAGGAGGATGGACCGGGGGAAGATATCAAGTTGAATGATTTGAATGGCGTGGGCTCGGAGTCTTTGGCTCCTGCTGATGTCCACGCAGCTCAGTCGTGAGTCAATGATCAGGCCGTCTCGGACTGCTGCTAAAGACAAGTAGCGTTCTTACTTGGAAGAACCTGTCCTACACCGTGAATGTCAATGGCGAGCCACGCAAACTCCTCGACAATGTCTTTGGCTACTGCAAAGCCGGTACCCTCACTGCTCTCATGGGCTCATCTGGCGCTGGAAAGACAACCCTCATGGATGTACTGGCTGCCAGAAAGACGGAAGGCGAGATCCAAGGGGAAGTATTGATGAACGGAAAGCAGTTGCCGGTCTCTTTCCAGCGTGCTACAGGTTACTGCGAGCAGATGGACGTCCACTTACCTCAGGCTACCGTCAGAGAGGCTTTGGAGTTTTCAGCGCTTCTCCGGCAGCCGCGGCATCTATCTAACAAGGTATGAGCTTTTTACGATATCGCCTCGTACTGATAGTATTGTAGGAGAAACTCGCATATGTGGATACTATCGTTGACCTTCTCGAGCTGCAAGATATTGAAGATGCTTTGATCGGGACACCTGGTGCTGGGCTGGGTATCGAGCAGAGGAAGAGGTTGACCATCGGCGTGGAGCTCGTCAGCAAACCGTGGGGTTTTCTCTGGTTGGCTACTGTAGGACCAAGATGCTGATAAACCATAGAACTCTCCTTTTCCTTGACGAACCAACATCTGGTCTCGATGGCCAAAGCTCGTATCTCATTGTATCATTCCTACGAAAACTAGCGGCGGCGGGGCAAGCAGTTTTGTGTACAATACATCAGCCTTCCGCCTCGTTATTCGCCAGGTTTGATCAGCTTTTGCTTCTGAGGGGTGGCGGGCAGACTGTGTACTGTGAGTAGTACATCTTGTGCATTGATGGGCCTGACAAGTTGTAGTCGGCGCGGTCGATCAACTTTCGGACTACTTTGAGAAACACGGCATCAGCATCCCCGGAAACGTCAACCCGGCAGAGAGAATGATCGAAGTAGTCTCCGGAGATATCTCAAAAGGCCATGACTGGCATCGGACGTGGCTTGACTCTGAAGAATGCAGAGCACGCGCAGAAGAGCTGGATGATCTGATTGACACGGGGAGCAAATTGGCGAGTGCGGTAGAAGGTGATGAGTTTGAGTATGCTTCTACCAAGGGTGCCCAATTACGGTTGGTGACCAAGAGGGCTTCTGTCCAGCTTTGGAGGAACACAGAATATGTCATGAACAAAGTGAGTTTCCCGCGGGGTTGGGACCACTGAACTGATACCGTAAAGGTTACTCTACACATTTCTGCCGCCCTTATCAACGGATTCAGTTTCTGGAAGCTTGGTGACGAGTGAGTACCGCGACTGGAAACAAGTTCACCCGTTCTGATAACATATATAGCTACGCGGACATCAAAAATCGTATCTTTACCATCTTCCTCTTCGTCTTTGTCGCACGTAAGTGAACTTGTATAGAGACCGGTGTATACTATGCTAAAGGCCCTCAGCTGGTGTCATTGCCCAGACTCAACCCAAATTCCTACGCAACCGAGACATCTTTGAAGCACGCGAGAAAAAGGCCAAGATATACTCATGGCAAGCATTCTGCTTTGCTGAGATAGCAGCAGAGATCCCATACCTTCTGGTTTGCGCGTTGCTGTACTTTTCCTGCTGGTACGTTGATCGAAAACCACCCGATAATGCTAATCAAAACACAACAAAGGTATCCTGTTGTTGGGTTCAGTTTTAGCCCCGCCATCGCTGGACCCGTCTATCTTCAAATGACGTTCTACGAATTTTTGTACACCGGTATCGGCCAGTCTATAGCTGCGTACGCCCCTCACGAGACGTTCGCTGCTTTAGTCAACCCTCTTGCCATTGGAGGTGAGCAGCCCCGAATAAGACAGCGGTGGACACTGACGAGTCGTATAGTCATGGTGATGTTCTGTGGCGTATTGGTACCTTATGATCAGATCACAGCTTTCTGGCGATATTGGAGTGAGAATCCACTCACAAAATCTATCAGCTCACTGACTGTTGATTTTAGTGTACTATCTCGACCCTTTCCAGTACTTGATGGGTGGCCTCGTCTCTCTCACCCTTTGGGACCTCAAAGTTCACTGCTCCCCTGACGAGTACGCTGTCTTCGACCCTCCCTCTGGCATGACCTGCACGCAGTACATGGCCGACTTTCTCTCACATGCCCCCGGGTACTTGAGCAACCCAGAGTCAACCTCAAAGTGCGAGTATTGCCTGATCTCCAAAGGAAGTGATTTTCTGGAGGGCTTGCATTTATCAAGGAAGCTGGATGCGTGGAGGGACATTGGAATTACGTTGTGAGCACTTCGTCAATCAGAAAGCTCAATGGTAAGCTGATCAACACCAGTTTATTTGTCGTGTCGTCTTACGGAATGGTCCTGCTACTTCTGTGAGCAATTTAACCCTTGCTCGCGCTTGTACACTGTGCTGATGTAGGTCATAGCAAATTGAGAAGCAAGCGATCAAAGACTGCTCAATAGAGGTAGAGAATTATAGAGATACATGAACCTAGTCACTTGTCCATCTTTGCACTTTGAACCTCGATCAAGTTAACGAATCAGCTGTAGTACATCATGTCATGTACGAAGATTATACAGAAGATTACGAGTACAGTACGTGTATATGGAGATAAATTACGATCAAGATTATTAGATTTGTGTACTACCCCGATACCCCCAACCCCTTCATTAAATAAGGTCATCAACCCATCTGCGGGAAGAGTTGGCTCATGCCCGAGTCGGGCCCGAGGATAAAGTCCCAAAGAGGATCACCCGTCCCTGTCACAGCATTATTCTCCATCATCGCATCCGTAAACAAGCCCACGTCCTGATACGACTCTGGCATCCCAAATACCTGTTTCCTCATCAGCATCGCCCTTAGAGAGATAGAAAGAGGACTCACAGCAGGATAAGGATGTTCCATCTCTACCGCCGGCATATTCTGCAGCTGCACCTCCAGCCCATTTCTCAGACGCTCCAAGACCGGTAACAGACGGCGATAGAATCGGTAGGTAAAGTACAGCGGATGATCGTTGTGCGCGCCGAGCATGTTGCTGCACATCTGCATGATGCTCTTGAGGGCTGGCAGGATACGGTCCCAATCCGCCGGGGCAAACGCTAAACGCGCCTATATATCCTGTCAGTTTGAGGGGACAGGGTGAAGGATGTGGACGCACCTGGTAGAATAGAGCCCCCGGCATGGTCACCCCGACACTGATCATATCCGACCAGAAAACCAGCCCCCCATCGGAGAACTGCGTCAACACTTTCGCAAGCTTTTCAGTCATCTCCACAATCCTGCCTTTGACCGCCTCTGTGGGGCCTTCCATTTTGATAGCTATCGCCCGCATATGCAAGCACACGATGGTAGTCACAATGTCTGCCATTTGGCGGTACATCGGCGAGAGACGGTGGGCCAGTCGGCTGAGGTCGTTGACGAGGGCGGTTTCGGCGAGCGCGAGAGAGTTGCCGAGCGTACCGCTGGGGACTTCGTCGGTGTGGGGGATGGTGGCGGGCAATTGGCTTGACGTGTGTGTATTCCTACAGCATATTGTTAGACGCCTTAAACCAGTGACTTTCGAGGGACGTACGCTACACTCCAAGCTAGGTAAAAGTCGGCAGGGGTATTCAGATACTCGTGTTCAGCGGCCCACTCGAACGCCTCGTCGAAGCCAAATCCAGGAGGCGGCAGCATTACCGGCTGCCCAAATACCCTCGCAAATCCAGCATCCATGACTGCACCCTCATCAGCTTACTCCCTGCCCCAAACTAAACAACCGCAACTCACTCAATAGCGCAATCCAAGTCCTTTCCCCATCCAGCACCTCCCTCGCCTCCTCCTCATTCTCCGGCAAAGGCCTCTCCTCCTTCTTCCACAACTTCAGATGCGCCGCTGCCCTCACCGCCACCCCACTCTTCATATACCCCGATTTATCATTCGGCAGCCCCCAATACGCCAGAATCATGAGTGCCTGGATGGACGGCTTGTCGACGGCGCCGGCCATGATCATGCGGTTGAGCAGTACGTTGGCGTGATTGTAGAGCGGGCGGCAGATTTCGGGGTGGTAGAATCGGGCAGAGGCGTAGAGGATGGCGGTGAATAGGGTGTCGGATGATTTGGCGCGGTCGTAGGTTATGTAGACGGTGTCGATACCAGCCATCACCGGACTGAGATGTTGCGCAAACCTGCAGAAACGTCAACACTCGCCCACCCACCAACCAAACAAAGACACTCACTGGGTATACATACTCTGCGCTTCGGACTCACTGACCATGCCGAGCTCCAAAGGCGACAGGGAAGACTGCGACGACCCCGCCTTGACCGATTTTGAAGCAGCCGTCGACCTGGCCAAATCCGACGGATGAATCGAAGGTAACAACGGCCCCGTCGCCCCCGTCAACCGTGGATTATCCAACGACCTCGGCGACGGTGACCTCGACCCCTCATTACTGTCCAGCCTCGGTGCACTATAATCCATTATATTCGTGCTCATCTGGCCTGCGCGGCGGCGTCTGTCGGACGACGACCACGAAGACGTGGAGGATTGGCTTTTGCGGGTAACGTCAGTAGCTGTCGCGGGTGGTCTTTGAGAGATATTGGAGTTGATGGGGGGTAGATGGACAGGTGGGGGAGGGGGAGGGGGGTATGCGCCGGAGCGATAGTGCGTGTTGCTCATCATATCCGGCAGATCCATCGTCACCATAGACCGTCTCTCACTGGTGGAAGCAGGCGGCAGCATAGGTGGTAGCTGTGTAGGCAGCTCTTCATGTTGGGGATAAGAGTGCTGGGATTGGATAGAAGACTCTGGGGGATATGGGGGAGGTTGGTATGATGGGAACGACGGTTCGGGTTGTGGATAGGAATGGGATGTTGGCTGCTGTATATTACGGGAGAAGCTGTCTGAATAGCCGGATGGCTGACTTTGATTCCCGACTCCCCATGCTACTGTACAGGTCAGCAATGTCGAGAGAGGGCCAACATCGACTTACCGGATCGCTCATAGCTTGCGCGTTCCGAAGACATCATGCCCGCGGGCGGCAACGCCTCATTCGATTGATACGCCATATGCTCGTGTCGTCTGTCGTCGGGCACACCCATGGGTACTGTGGATGTAGGCCCAGTCTGGTACTGTGCACGGTCTCTGCTGGGCGAGCCTTGGGAATGCGAATGCGAGAATGAAGCCCGGCTTTCCGACTTTCCACCGTGTTCTGGCGTATCTTGTTCGTCCTTTGGTCTGTAAAGGCTCAGCATGGGTCCCTCTGCACTTCAAGTACTCACTTTCCGCGCGGTCTTCGGACATAGTCACAATCCAGGTTGTACTTTGTACATCGCGCACACGGATCTTTCGAGGTCAGCGGTTTATCAGGACACGGCAGGCATCGCGTCTTTTAGAGGTATCAGCTTCATTCCAACGGTATCGATGGTTATCCTCACTTTGAGAGCCCGGCAGTTGACGCAGCTGAAAAATACTCGTGAGCTTATCATCGCGACACCAGGCGGACATTAGGCTGTGTAAAAACTGAAAGAGTATGACGCACGCTTCACGGGGCCGCTTGATGAGGGTCGTCCTGGTGTACGGCGAGGGGTAACCATGTGCGCCGCCTGGCTGGTACTTGGTGTTCATATGTCGTGCGAGGGGAGTGGATGGCGAGGGGGGAGGAAGAGAAAAAGCGGCTGGGGGGCGATGTTTGGCACTCGACAGCGGCGTCTGCGCTAAACGCCGAGGGGGCGAACCTTATTCGGACATGCGAGAGACTCGGAGTCATGGCTGGGTGGTTGGAAGCGGGCGAGGGGGAGGAGAAGGGATGGCATGGGGTGCTCCTTATATACCACACTGTCCTTCGAGAAAGATGCGGGACGAGAGAGTTCGTCACCATCACCTAAAGGGTCGGATGTCGGTAGTCACAGCAACACATGCCCTTACAGGGTGCAGCTACGTCCGATTCGGGCCATGGCGGTGCTCTGCACTCTGCATGGTCGGTGCGTCGGCTGTCTAGGGGGGCAGGGGGCAACTGCGGATGCGATTGCAGAGCCGAGATGTAGAAAGCCAGAGCATCAATCATGTTGGGTTCCCGGCGGCGCCCTGTTTGCGGGGGGAGCTTGTTGTCTCAGATATTCATCAATATATGTACCAGGTGGGGACTTGTAACCAATCCAACCAGCGATTAGGATGGATAGACGGGTACAAACAACAGGAACATACAAACAAGCAGCCGTCGATGAAGAGATAATCGGCTGTCGGTGACGGGACCAAGCATCTTATCGACGGACGTTCCTTCACGGCTTCACGGCATCCCTCGCTAGTTTCTTCTTCACTACCGGTTTGCGATCTCTAGCAGCCGTCTATCGACAATCGCCATCATTTGCCTCGGCCCATCACATACATGCATCAGTGCATGTTGCTCATTTATATTCAAGGCCCCAGCGACGCGATCAAGCTGCGATCAAGGGTTCATCGACACCGACCCCGGTTGCGCGGCCGGCCTGCGGTGCGGGCTTTATGCCTGGTGCTTGAGATTGTTAGAGAAGTACTGGGCCTCAGTATTGGTCTCAGTACAGTGAGGGAGGGTTTGCCAATGGTCCCGACATACCAAGAGCAACATTAACACTACATAGGTAGTACGCACTGCTCGACCGTATCAGTGGTACTTCATAGGGCACTTGCCGGCAGACATCCCGTATGTCCCGACGATCTCAGCCTCCCAATCGACAAGTCAGCGAGAATGACCAACAGTCCCCAGTCATCCCCTCGCTCGCATGGCACTATACAATCTATCTATCCACCCATCTCCGATATTCTTTCTCAAGTGTCAGAACAACAACACATCCAGCGTCGGATCATGCTGGATAGCTTCCCTAATATGACAATCCTCTTGCCCCATATCATGATAGAACCAGACGTACGTCAACATCTACCCCAACGTCAGCCTCTTCATCATTCGCTTGTTCCACTCGGGGTTTAGGAGTGAGGAGGGAGGGGGCAGGGAAGGACATACGCGATGAGCAACCTCCGAATTATCTCGATCCCCAATATGTCCTTTCGCATACCTCAAAAACCCCACAAACCCCTGTCTCTGGACCGGGTCTGTACAAGCACAAGCGGTGATGAGGAGCGGCCAGAGCCAGCCAGTCAGATGTCTGCAAGCCTGTCAGGATGGTGACCTGTCAAAAGAACGGAAGAAAGGAAGGAGGAGACTGACCCGATTTCTGTAACAGCCTCAGACAAGAGCTCGTACACTGCACTGACTTGTGCAATCAGGTCCGGCGAGAAGAGGGGCACGTGCTGGGTTTTGCTCATCACAAGTATCAAAATAGTGAGTCGCCATATTCGCTGTCAACTTGTGAGCTGTCCAATACACCTATTAATGAGGATGAAACTTACCCCACCATAGTACACCCTACGTGTATCCCGCCTGCCTTCCAGTCTACCGGGCCAGACGTGCTCCAACTCGCTCCGGAAGGCTAGTACCTCATAATCCAACTGTTCCCTCTCCATCTTCCCCATCTCCCCTTCCCCCTCAACGCCCTCGTCCCCACCAGCCGCTGCTCCAACCTTCGCAACAAACCCGATGGCCCGTGCAAAAGCCAGCATCAGGATCCTTGGCGTCCCAAACATTGTTTCGATCGTATCCGGTATATACTTGGAAGCCGATGAGCCAGGGGACGTTTTCGAAGCTGTGAGGGCCGAGGAGGAAAGGTGTCGTACCGTCCGTCAAACAAGCTGATTGTCTTTCAGTCTCAAAGATGGAGATGGTTGATAATGATATGGATGCAGGAACGTACCGTATAGTTCAGCAACAGCTGCCATCTCCGCATAGAAGGCGAAAGCCAACGGCTGTAAATTTTCCAACCTCTCCATACCCTCCTCTACCATACCCCACCCGATTCTGTCCTAGCCCAAGACTCCTCCCCGGCCCACCCCTCTCTTTCGACCGTCCCACCCACACCTCTACCTGCTCCCTCAACATCCCCGGCCTAGCAGGGCCCTGTCACGGCCTGCTGGGACGCAGCAGGGGAGAGGACGGGAAAAGGTGATTTTGGAGGGGAAAAGACCTTTTCGGTATTATCGCATAAGGAAAGAGTAGAACAATGAGATATGAATTGAGTATGTACACCGCGCGTCCTTCAACCATCCACACAACTCAGCGCCAATGCCACTTCAGGGAATTACTACGTGTGACAGGTCCAGCGCCTCAGAAAGCAGCAGAGTGAAGCCCACGCCGGCGAGTTTACCGGTGATGGAAAAATCGGTTTTGGATTTGAGGAGGTGGGTGTAGGAGGGTAAGATGTTGGGGCGATGACTCCCGGCTGGGGACGAGGGGGCGGAGTAGGAGCTGGTGGTGTTGGGGTAAGTTGGAGGAGTAGGATATGAAGGGGAGGAAGAAGAGGTGAAGAGGGCGGTGGCTGTACACAAAAGGCGGGCTTGTGGGTCATGGGCCAGTCCTGAGAAACACCGCCGGACGAGGGAGGTGTGAAACTGCAAGAGGCTCGAAAAGTCTGTAAACGTTGAAGAGGGGAGCTGTCGACAGTATCAATATGGATCAACGGAAAAAGTGAGAGCCGTACTTTGGTGATGAGCGATTCTGCGAGAAGAGCAGTATCACGCATCAGCCTGGCAGGAGTATAAGCCTGCATGAATCAGTATTTTATGGATCACCTACTTGCAGTAAGCGTAGCTCTGAAATCTCTCTTGCCATAGCTCGTGATACTTGACTCCTCATAAGATACTCTTCGTACTGAGGCGCTATCACGGGCGCTGGGTAGGACACGTCCGTCTTGGGATCCAGAGTCACTCGGGAGCTACTGGCGACTGGCTGTACATGTAAGTTCGCCTATAGTCAGGTCAGCCAACGTTCTCTCGATCTGTCTGACATCACTCACGGTCCCCTGCCACTGCGGACTTGCTGTACGCGTACGCTCAGACTATGGCAGTCTGCAGCAGTACGCCATCTCTTGAGACGGAATCACAAATCATGAAGCGAACTTGACGAGAGGTAAAGTCAAGACAGAGGATGGCTCACAGCTCGGCCCATCTATCGCACTTGACACGACTCAGAGAATGCGCCACGAATCACCTCGTGAGACACTCACAGCCCATGTCAAACAGCCAGACTTCTCTTAAAGCAAAGAGCTTATAGAAATGACGTATAGTGGACAGGGACATATTGCACAGCAATGAAGGTTGCCTCCGCGTTCTCTTCATCACTACCTTGGCGCATATCGGCGGCGCAACGCTCGTACGTCCTGTGTAGTAACTTAAGCGGCACGGGGAGAAAGTGCTGATGGCGCGAAGCCGGACGATAGGCTTTATGATGGAGTCGACCAACTCGCCTTTTTCACTCAAAAACAAGCTTGTTCAAATCGAGAAGGGCGAGTCTTCTCCTCTCCCCTCTCTCCTCGGATCGTCCTATAACAACCTCATCCCCCAGATTGTTATTCTACATCAAATCCGAGCTCCGCGCCATCAAATGGCGCCACTACAAACTCCACTTCTACAACCAACCCCAAGTCTACTCTCCCCTCTCCCCCGGCAAACTCGAGTCGCCACTCATCTTCAACCTCATCACCGACCCGAAGGAAGAGATCGACGTGGCGACGGGACAACATCGGATGGTGGGTGCGATGATGCGGATGAAAGAGGCGGTTTGGGAGAGGCCGCCTAGGGTACATACAGCCTTTGCCGCCTGCGCCGGCCGCGGGGTATTGGATTGGGGAACGGTGTAGGGAGTGAAGAGAATGGGATTTGAAGAGTTATACCTCTTATGATCTTTATACATGCACACTACACGTGCAGCCCTTGGACAAGTATTGTACTACAGTCTTCAAAACGCCTTGTGCGTCCAATCACCACCCAACATAGTCCCCTTCACCTTCATCGCCCTCAATCCAGCGGCATCACAGCTCAGGGGATCATTACTGATAATCAACAGATCGGCTCGGTCGCCTACTTCGAGTTTTGATTTCCCATTCTACCCCCAGCGTCAGCTCTATCCACGCTTTGAAAGAAAGGGGACTTACAGAAGTCGAAGCCGCCCAAGCCACCTCCAGATCAATGATCTGTTCTTTGCAGAACGGATTCTCCTCGTCCCCTGCCCCCGCACGGGTAATAGCCACAGCCATAGCCTCCCACGGCTGTAAAGGCGCCACCGGACAATCACTCCCCATCTTTATCGGGATCCCCGCATCGACCATCCACCTAAACGCATACGCCCTCCCTTCCCTCCCCGGCCAGAATTTGTGGCACAGATCCCGGTCATCGACTAGATGACAAGGCTGGATAGACGCGATAATACCGAGGGATTTGAAGAGGGCGAGGTCGGAGTGGGAGAGGAGTTGGGCATGTTCGATGGTAGAGCCTGGTAGGATGGCCTCGGCGCGGGCGAGCGTTTGGAGTGTAAGTTGATTGGCGTGGTCCCCGATAGCATGGATGGCCATCCTAAACCCATTATCCGCCCCTCTCTTCACAAGCACCCCCAGTTCCTCCGGCTCATACGTCTTCATCCCAAAATTCCCCGGCGTCCCCGGATAAGCATCATGGCAGAACGCCGTCTGCGACCCCAAAGACCCGTCTGTGACGATTTTGAAGGGACCGACAGTGATGAGGCCGTTGGTGTTTGGAACGGGGTCGCCAGTCTTGAGGGAGAGGTTGATGGAGTACTGGAGGTGTTCGGTGTACATACCGACGTGTACCCGGAGGGAGCGGAAGCCTTTGGCGTAGCGGCGTTGCCAGTTGGGGATACCGAGGTCCCATTCGAGGTCCACTATCTCTGTCACACCCAGAGACCTGTCAAGTATCAGTTCACCACAAACGAGGAGAGGAAGAAGGAACTCACGCAGCATATCTCGATTCGTCCCAAACCCACTCATCCATAGCATCCACATCCACCTTTCCTATAACCCTCGCCATCGCAAAAGCTTCATGCTCGAATAGATACCCGCTATGTCCCTCTGGCTCATACCCCCCAAGTTCCAGCCCTACCGAATTCGCGCAGATGGAGTGGTAGCCATTGAAGAACAGGTATATCGGCCTCTTGGTCGAGATCTTATCCAGCGCCTGGCGCGTGAGCACCTCGGGGTCGGGCCAGCCGGCGTTACGCATATTGATGCCCCTAAAGTCTCTGCACCCCTTTACAGCGGAGTATTTAGGATCATCGAAAGCATCGAGGACGCGGTCGAGGACGTCTTGGGCGGACTTGGCTGTTTGGAGGTCGAGCCGGTGGGAGTGCAGGGCGTTGAGGGTGGTGTGGGTGTGCCAGTCGATCAAGCTCTGTTTGGAGTTGGCAGTGGACAGAGGAGTGTGGAGAGGAAGCTTACGGGGCTGATCCATTGTGCGTCTAGGTCAATAACATCGATGATTTCGTCTGCTTCTTCCTCTTGGCTTCCTGTTTCAGTGATGCTGACGACGGTGCCGTCTTTGACAAAGACAGAGTAGGTACTGCCTGCGGGATAGCCAACAAGATGGGCATTGCGGATGAGGGTGGTGGGCATGGCGGGTGGAGATGAAAGATGCATGATGCGATGGAATGTCCCCTCTGATCTCAAGAAGCGCTGTGGTGAAAGTTGTCGAAATAGCCGCGCGTCCAGTGCCTGAAAGCCGATTGATAAGATCGGCGCTAATTCAGAGATAAGAGTATAGATCTCGTGCAGGGGGGGGGGGGGGGGTGAATTTTGACCACTGCGTCTCGGGGGCAGGTAGGATGTACTGGGAGGGGCATTCTCATAGACTTGCCCCTTCCCCACGCCCCACAGCAAGAAAACACCACAGTGGAGCCTCTCGGCCGGGCGCCCAAAGAAGAAGGGATCGATGGATCGGACGTGGTGAGTTGATTGTCTGGTGGAAACGGTTCTGTCTGACAATGATGATAGTGAAGAGAGCATTGGAACAAGATCGTTAGTCGGTGTATGTACCGCTCCCGGCCAGATGGCTGGTCTAGCCTTCCAAATAGAGTCGATATGTTGGATAGAAATGACATGCACAAGTACCGACATATACAAAGCGAAACTCAATATCACCGAAATACCTCTCACACGCATTGACGTCCATTACACCTACGACATGAGCGCTATAAGACCCAGCTCCCTATCCAGAATGTCTCAGCGATCCTTCTTCTCACACGAAACAAAGCAGTGGAAGAACGTACCGCCTCACTTGATCTCCCACAAGCATCTCCCCATAATCTTCCTGCTCCCCAAACGCCTCTTCCGCTTTCTTTCTCAGACTCGGAATGGGGGACAGTTTAAAGTCTGATGAGAGGTGCCAGAACTGTCAAGAACACTTCGTAAGCAATGGTTTGACGTGTGGGGGAAAAAGGGACGTACAAAGGTGGAAGAGATACGGATGGAAGGTCTATCCGGAAATTCGGCCCGTCTTCTTGCGAGCGTCTACATCCTCATCAGTCGCTTGAACAACCTATCGAATCGAAGCGCTTACATCCAGAGTACCTGGCGTACAAACGACCTCATGATAACCCGCTATACCCGCCAGTCAGATACTCGAGAGTCATTAGATGTGGACGACGGAGAACTAACCTTTGACAAGACCGCCAGTGAGCCATTCCATCTGTTTGCCTGCTTGTACGAGCAGACAGCCTGGTGGGATTTTGACTTGCATCTTCTTGCCAGAATTACGTGCCCAGATATGCACTACCCTATATTGTCAGCGACGATTCAGGGAGCAGTTTGAGCCGGAGGACGTACATCCAGGGTACCGAGACTGGCCATGGATAGTCAAAAAGTTCAGATCCGTATGGAACCCAGCATAGATCCTGTCTCCCAGCTCCTTATCAGCTCGTGTATCGAACGTACGGTAGAATGGCTTACGTGCTGAGTTGGCCGTATTTCTGAAGGTCGGTAGCAATTGGCGCAAGGAGATGGTTACTATCGCCCCATGAGCATCCCACACCAAAGATAGGGGACAGGGAAACATACCCGAACTGGCCAGCTTCCAAGAATGCCCCTTCTTCCAATCCCAACCCCTTTGCCGCCATCCTCGATACCCCTTCAACGCTGTATTGTCTCTATCAGCTCCTAATTCCAGATAGTTGCCATACAAGGAGATGAGACAAGACGACGAACGCTTCTTTCATATGCGTCCCCCACTCCTTCACCCTTCCTTTCCACGTCCCCTCAAAAGCCCTGGGCGTCACATTCGGTGCGTCCAGGTTTGGAAACGCAGATCTATACGGCGGGTCTTCCGACATCCTATGGAAGAAGCTGGTCACCCGATCCATCAGCTTCATGTACCTTCATGACAACCGGGAGAGGGGGTTAAGGGGGGCTTACCGGCACTTGGGATCCGCGCTGTACCCTTCAAGGTCTTCTGGTCTTTCGGAAGGATGCAGGGAAGCTATGACTGCTTTACACCCTTCATCAGAGGAACATTTAGGTTTCTCAGTGTTCTCCAGGGTCACGCCCTACACATCCATCAGCTCTTTATCCACTTATCACCATCCGCCGCCTTGTCGCCGCCCTCACGCCTATCTATGGTAGATATCAGAAGCACTCACAACCTGAAACCCCAGCTCCGGCCTCTCATCTTCTTTCAGCACCTCATCATCCTGTGCGAAATAGTCTTCAAACAGGTCCAGAAACCTGTCATTGGCCTCTTTCGGCGCTCTGCTATCTCTCACGATCAGCGCGCCAGTCAAGACGAGGGACTCGGCGGCGAGACGGGCTTGTTTCAAGGCGTCGGGAGAGGAGGGGTCGAGGAGGAATGTATCCAGAGAGACGGTGGCGATTTCGGTGGACATTGGGGGGGTATGGAGTGGCGGGTGGAAGGAAAGTGGACAGTGACAAAAGACGATTCGCGGTTGGCCGCAGATAAAAAACAACAACACAGAAATGTACGCGACGCGTCTGGTCTCTGTGTGATTGGTCGCACCAGTGTCCGCATAAGCAGCACACTGAGGCCCTGGTTGGACCTTGCTTATCACTGCATAACGGTGCTCCGGGTGCGATTCAAAAGTCCATGAAAAGCCAGTTCATAATTCTACCTTGGCTATTGTAATGAGAGTTTAGACACAAACGATTCCACGGACACCGGAAAATGAAAAGACAAATGAGAGGTATATATGTCTTCTGTCATATATAGATATATAAATAAAGAGCGTGAATCTAATTGCAGAATTTATGGGTAGGTTATACAGAAGAATACAACGGCCAGATGGTTTTAGCAACCATCTTAAACTCGCTCGCCAGTACCAATGGTGACGACCTTGAAACCAATGTCGGTGAGCTCCTTTCGGTTGAGGATAAGTCGACCGTCAAAGACGAAAGCGGGTCGGGGGCAGTTGGCGTAGACTGCGCGACATATCAGCATATTGCTCATGAATGGATGGCAGGAGACGCACTCTTCTTCCAGTCAAGAGTCTTGAACTCGTCCCACTCGGTGCAGATGACAATAGCCTCGGCACCAGCACAAGCCTCCTCAACAGACTTGACAATGTTGACGTGGGGCTTGATGGGCTCGGCGGGGATGTCTCCGTACTCGGTCAAGTCGAGCCAGATCTGAGACTCGGTAACCTGGGGGTCGTAGATAGACACACGGGCCTTCTCGGAGAGGAAGTGGTTGGCGATGGAGATGGAGGGGGACTCTCGGGCTGAGTAGGCCGTTAGCTGGTGCTACAAATGAGATCGAAGATCGACTTACTGTCACCAGTGTCCTTCTTGAAGGCCCAACCGAGGAGAGCAATCTTCTTGCCGGTGATGGTGTTGAAAAGAGTCTCGACGACCTTCTTGGAGAATCGGTCCTTCTGGTACTCGTTCATCTCAACGACAGCCCTCCAGTACTTGGCGACCTCGGGCAAGTGGAGAGACTCGGAGAGGTAGACCAAGTTGAGGATGTCCTTCTGGAAACAAGAACCACCGAAACCGACGGAAGCCTTGAGGAACTTGGCACCCATTCGGGAGTCCTTGCCGACGGCGAAAGCGACTTCGTCAATGTTGGCGCCGGTGGCCTCACAGATGGCAGAGAGGGCGTTGACGGAAGAGATACGCTGGGCCAACATGGCGTTGGCAGCGAGCTTGGAGAGCTCGGAAGACCAGAGGCCGACGGTGAGGATCTGCTCCCTGGGAACCCAGTTGGCGTAGACGTTGGCAAGAGCCTGGCAAGCGTCAAGACCCTGCTCGGTCTGGAGGGAACCGATGAGGACACGGTCAGGGGCGAAGAGATCGGCAATGGCGGTACCCTCGGCCAAGAACTCGGGGTTGGAGAGAATGTCAAAGTGGCATCCGGGCTTGGAGTTGGCCTCGAGGATGGTTCGCATAGACTCGGCGGTTCGGCAAGGAACGGTAGACTTCTCGACGACGATCTTGGAGGAGTTGGCGACCTCGGCAATTCGTCGGGTAGCGAGCTGAAGGAACCTAGGACGGGTCAGTACTGTCTGGGGCGATCAGAAGGTGAACTCACTTCAAGTCGGCGGCGTAACCGGCTCCGACACCAGACTTCTTGGTGGGGGTGTTCACGGAGACAAAGATGAGGCTATCACACGTTAGTTCTGTACCTCGCCTGATGACAAACGACTTACTCAGCCTCCTCGATGGCCTTGTCGACATCAGTGCTGAAGAAGAGGTTCTTGCCTCGGGCGGCCTTGACGACCTCGTCGAGCCCAGGCTCGTAGATAGGGAGCTGGTCAGAGTTCCAGGCGTCGATTCGCTGCTGGTTAAGGTCGACGATGGTGACAATGATGTTGGGGCTGCCCACATGGGTCAGCGGTGTTCTCATGCATAGTTTCGAATCAGTGGGGAAAGTAAGAAGGGGATAGAGTTGACAGAGGGACGATAACATGGCAACATGCGGGGATAAACACAAGGTTGGGAAGGATGTTTAACGAGACATCGGGCAGGAACGCGAAGAGGCAAAATGGACTAGTACTCACCACTTGTTGGCACTGTTATCGCACACGAAAAAGAGGGCGAACGCGTCAGTAAGTCAGCTGTATGGGAAGAGGAGAAGCAGGCGCACATGACAGCACAAGTGGGGCCACCTGAGAGGGAAAGGAGGTCAGCCAAGAACGCGTCTACTGCGGTAGGAAAAGCGCGACTCACCAACGTAACCGGCGCCGACTGGAGGGGAGAAGAGGCGTGGTCAGCGTGTATTTACAAGAAGGACGTAGAATGACGGCAGCAGGAGATAGGTGATGCGATAGAGCGGGAGGCGAGGCCATGTTGATTCAACATGGACACGGGAAGAGATAGGAGGTGGGTGAAGAGGGAGCTGTGGGACGCGCCCGTTCTTGGGGAAGGGTACTCACTGCAGCAGATCTTCTTGACGGTGATGGGGGCCATGGTGGAGATGGAGAGGTGATGGCGAGTGAGAGGGGGGTGTTGGGAGCGAGGAGAAAGAAAGAAAGAAAGAGGAGATGGAAATGCGATGTGCGATGCTGGGGGCCTGCTGAGAGGCGGAGGGGGCCGGCTGCACGCCAGCGGCCAGAGTTAGGCGCAGGGCCCAGAAATTCGCCCTAGTGGGGGCTCAGCAGGTGGCACCACGTGGCACCCCAGGCGTACCGCAAGAGGCTCAGGGCACATCTGGACCTGCCGCCTGCCGTGCCCAACCTTTTTTTGTCTGCCTAAAATCGCCGGGACGAATCGACTTGCCGCTTTCGGCGCTGCATGCTGGTGACTGCCCTCAGGAGTGACTCAGAGATCAGAGATGTTTCCAGAGTTGGGTTCCTGTCCTTCGTGCACGATCGATGTGGCAAGCGCAACAGCTTTGCTCGAGGTTCGAGTCTACTCGCTCGTACCTCTCGTGAAGATCTGCTACATAGCCCCAAAGCATCTCTTCCTGGGATTTTCAGCCTTACGAGACAGGGGCAAGGTTTTTCTTCAGGCCCGAGGTCCAAGATCTTCCGATTAGTCTGTAATGTGTCGTTCCATAGGTCATAAATATCAGAATATATTTCATAGAACTGCGACTACTTGTACACTTCACGCTCTGTGAACTCTACCCCCTGGGCGCTTTGAGAGCATGAACCAAGGATAAGATTGTGACACTCGCAGGTGCATGAGGTACCACCTTGAGCAGCCAAACAGAGATCCATGGCACGACGCGTACGACGCGCCTGGCAGTACCGATGATGACGAGAGGCCGGGGTTTGTGCGGGGCATGACGCTTGTGGCGGAAATCACTCCAGCAGCCGCGTTGATCGTTGATTGATTGTTGTTTCTAAACATGGGAGGCATGTGCACGATAAGATAAGATGCAGGGTAATATTCATGTTTGCGTTCTTTGCTTTGCAATTTGCGAGTCTGAATGCATACATACGCATCGCCAGATCATTATTGTGTGCGGCGCTCGGAGGCAGTCTCGTCAGACATCGGCATTTGATCCTGCTCAAACAAGCTTGCAAATGCAAAAGACGGATCCACATCTTGATCACCATTCCAGGAATCAAACCGCAGATCCCACAGCATCTCGGTCCCGGCAGGATCCAGCCTGGGCTTGGTGCTGACGAGAAGACGAAGCCTGCGCATCATGAATGTACAAGTACGGCTCTTACACCTTTCACCAGCCAGTCCCCGACACCTCCTCAACGACGTGGCAGGGCGATCAGCTGGCATCACGGTGGTCAGGGGGGTTCAGTACGTGACCCTGCTGAAAAGTAGAACGCATACATGATGCATAAGGGCGGTGGTGGACAAACATACATGCAAGTGACTTACGTAAGGTCGGCCTGCCGGATACAGCCGCCGCCGCCGAATTGATGAAAGGAGCATTTGAATCGACGTCGTATTCCTCTCTTTCATCTCAACAATACCTCTTATTTCTTACCTCGACCATGTTCTAAGCATCCACACAACCCAGAATGATCATACGGTTACCCCCCTCACCCCTTCCACTGCCGCCACCATGAGTACACTGTCCATCATGCCCTCGTCCCTTGTCGGGCCCACCGATATCCCCCGCCGCCCCTCTCCATGGCACGATATCGCCCACTCCCTGTCCGCCGCTTCTCTCCCACCATCTCGCCGCGATTCTACACCATCCATCCCATCTCCTCCGTCCACCGCGTCCAACCCCTCCACGCCCCCCAACATCTCTTCTCTCGCTTTACGCGAATGGGAACAGCGCCTCTCCCATCCGGCCTCCTCCGCTACTCGACATCAACTTGTGCACCCTCGTCGATCCCCTACGCCAAAGCTCGCGGCGGAGCGCGATAAGATGGGGTTTATAGAGTACAAGCTGAAGCTTATCGATCCGACGACCGAGAGGTTTGAGAGGCTGGTGACGCAGATGATGTGGAGGCTGAAGCAGGGCAAGAATGAGGCGATATACGAATTTGGGCTGGCTGGTGAGTCGTCTCGCATGGTTTGGGTTTTGGTGCTGATGAGGTCAGATGACGGTACTGTGGTGGGGCTGACGCGAGTCGAGATGGATTCCTCCTTGCGGACTCTCGAGCTCATGGCTTCAGAAGTCGGCGCCACAGTCATCATCCTCAAAGAGATTGTCCTCTCTGCCGCCTCCATCTCGTCTCGATCTGCCACCGCCATCGAGTCCATCTCCCTTCCACCTTCCAGAGGCCTTCCTGCCGAATGGATCGCTCGTCGGCCCGATCTCGATGAGAACGGCCAGCCTCGCAAGGGCAACAAGGACTACGATCAGGGGCCGAAGGGTCGACGTGCAAAGAAGGAGGAGAAGCAGCTCCGACACGATAGGAAGAAGGAAAAGCTGAAAGAGAAGGGAAGCGGCTCAAGCGACACCGATTCGTCCTTTTTCGACATGAACGACCCGGGCCCGCAGTACTCGCCTCCCAGCTCTGCGCCGGCTGCCAAGAAGGGCGTCAACCAGCCATCGCCAGAGGTGTCCGACAAGAAGCGACGTCGGTCTGCTGCCAGGCAGGAGAAGCGTCGGCTAGACCTCTTACGAGGCGACGGTACCAACCCCTTGTTCTCTGACGAATCGTTCAAGATTGTCATACCACACCAGCCTGCCCGTCCTTCGTCATTACGACTCGCCACCCCCGCAGAGATGCCAGAAGACTCGTTCGGCGATGACCTGCTCCATATCCCCCTCGACTCTTTGTCCCTCTCTTTCGCCGACGTCCGCACCGTTGCCTCGCCAACGCCTTCTTCCTCAGCGTCTTTACCACGTGCGCTTTCGCCTTTGTCGGCAGCGTCCAATGCAGAGACGGTGCTGCCATTGGACGACCCGGCATTGGCGTCGAGCACAATTGTGCCCCCGCCAGTAGGCGAGGAGTTGATTTGTGTTGAGGCGCTCGTGGTGAGGAAGGTCCAGCATGGGCATGGGGGAGAGGGGGAGGATGAGGATGGAGAAGGGGATGACAGTGAAGAGTGGGGGTATGGAGGGGAGGAAGATGTATGGGGTTTCGGATTGGAAGATGATTAGGAGTGCATTGTACTGAAACACGCAAACAGCATTGGTTGTAAAGCAAAAAAGAGAACTCGTAGACGAATCAGAAAGAGTGGTCGGTTGTGTTTGTACTAGCATTGATCACATGCAGAATTTGTTGCTATAGACATGACTCAGGTTTATGCCACTGCAATTACATCGATCATCACTGGCATCAGAAATTGAAATCCTCCTCAATCGTCTCCCTGATATCCACGCTCGACGCTCCAACAAGCACCTGATACTCGTCCTTTTCCAGTTTCCACTGTCCACCCCTTCTCCCCGTAATATGCGAAAGCCTTTTGATCGAGACGGATGCTGACCACTTGACTTTCCCCGGGCTGGAGAGCTTTGTCTTTACGAACCATCGAAGTTCTCGTGACGGACGAGAGATAGAAGAGAGGAGAGCCGATACGTATGTCTGGATAATCTCTCGTCCGGGGGTAGAGCCGATGTTGGTGATAGTGCACCGCAAGATCGTGTTGGAGTTGGATGACATGACGCTTTGGCGTATCTGACAAGATGTATAGGAAAAGTCCGAGTAGCTGGAGCGAACAGACATCAGTACGAGTACTGTACGAGTATCACCAACTGCACCAAGAAATTGAACAACATGTGGACAGATCCGTTTCTCACCATTCCCGGAATGGCAACCGCAAATCATGTGTTGTGGAAAGAGACAGCAACTCTATTTGCATCATCATAATCACAAAGTCAAGACACCCCTCAAGATAGACTTTTCCTCATCCGTCAACCCCTCTACCATCTCGTGCATCCCGTTCGCGTTGGACGAGTAGGCATGTCGAAGAACGTCAGTCAGATGTTGCTGTAGATCACACGTCAGAAACCTGCCGCTTCTGAGAGCCACATGAACTTACACCGAGGTCGATCTGAGCGAGGGGATCGGATTTGAGATCCTCGTCGTCATCTTGCGCGTCGTTTTCGTTACCGCCGCCTGCCTCGAGCCACGCTAGACACAAATGTCAGTCGGGTGCTAAGCTCGGCCAAAGCACGGGACTTACAAGACAAGAACTCGAATTCGTCGTCGCCGCCAAAGAGATCATCATCATCATCCCAATCTTCATCCTACACAAACAGATCAGCAACGTGTTCAGCAGTCAGGAGATCAAAGCATACTCCATCGTCCTCGGGGATCTCCAAATCCACAGTCTTGCCCTTACCCTTCCCCTTGCCTTTACCGCTTGTCTCAGACTGGACGTCTTTGAGGATGAGTTTGAGTGCTTTGAGTGGGAAAGGCGTTTGTGTGTACTGGTTGGGGTCTACGATATAGAAGTGAGCTACTGAGTGTCAAGTTGGTGGCAGATCACGTACGGGCCTTGGTTCGGGATCGGGTCATGATCGCTGACACATCCGAATCAACACCAACACCAACTGCTGCAGCGAGAAACTCACTGTCCCGGTTGGTCTCATCGACAATCAAATCCCCCTTCACCATAACCTCCCTCAATCTCTGATCCCCACCGAGCACAAACAGCTTGCTCAACCCCATGTCGCTCACTCGGATATTCCAGCTCCCACTAACAGTCTCGGACGTTTCTGACCACGCATTGAGGACAATGTCCAGCGCAGACCGAGGGGCAGAGAGGGTGGGGAAGGCTGTAGTGGATTCCGAGGGGGGAGTGATGGACATTTGGGAGAGGAGGTCGATTGTGGTGGAAGTGTATTCAGTGGAGAAGAGGTAGGCGAAGGGAAGGACGAGGGTCTAGACCTTGGTCAACTTGTAAATCACACGAGGTAGTTGAAGGACAAACCTGGATGAAAGATGCCATCTTGGCGTATTTTAGTCTCTCAACGACGGCCCTCAGCAAGTCGGGCAGGACGGGACCGATCGCTTCGCCTGCCTTGCGAAACAGGTGCATGATGAGCTCGCCGACAAAGATGCCACCAGACTCGGAAAATTCTGGGGCGAGGAAGCGGGCAAGGAGGGCGAAAATGGCGTTGATCCCATTCTGGCCTTGCGCGTCATGCCTATCAAACATCAGCACCGGCACCAAGCCAAAAAAAAAAAGGAAAAAAACAGGCCTACCACTGAACAAGTTTCTCGCAATCCTTCCGCACAACCAAAGTCAAATGAATCATCCCATGCTGAATAACATCCATATCATCCGTCACCCTCAACACCTCCACCACACTCCTCGTCACCGTCGCAACCAACTCCCCCTCCAGCGGCCCGCCGCGGACGCGCAGCAAGCTGTTGGCAAGCTGGACGGCTTCGCCCGGGATGTGGACGGTTTCGTCCGTGACGGGGGACGAGATGGTGGCCGCGAGTTTGGGGGAGAGGGCGGTGATCAGGATGGAGACGACGGAGGGGTTGGGGTGGAGGGAGATGGATTCGATGTTTTCTTCGATAATGGCAGTCGTCACGGGGTCTGAAGAGGCGTTAGCTCCTTTCCCCTTTACATTCCTTCTGGAAGCCGAAAGACTTGCCGTCACTGCACCTCAGCCAGACGTCAAACAACACATCAACGACCGTCCGTGTCGTCTGCTCATCCAGCAGATCATCATCCATCGACGTAATCGCGCGCAACGTCTCGAGCACAAGGTAGAGCGTCTCGGAAGAAGCTTGGGGGAGTAGAGGAAGGATAAGATGAAGCGTCTTGGTTGAGAATGGTTTGAGGACGAATGGGTCAACGTGACGGCAGAAGCTAGATACCATTCAGTGCTCGGTATATTGGGAATGAAGATGGGGCAACTCTTACTTTTTGATAGTCTTGACAGCCGAAATCTTGACAGGCACCGAAACGTCACTCGCCTCCAACACTTGTACCGCCGCACTCAAATACTGTCCCGCGAGCTGCTGGTTCAGCATGGACGAAAACTGGCTCGCAAAGACAAACGCGCGACCTTGCAAGAATGGAGTTTCTACATCCAAAATGTCAGCTTTGAAGTCAAGGTGGTGGAGCGTATTGACTGACCGTTCTGCCCAAGAAGGCCGGGGATGACATTGTCGAATAAGAAACCGATGTTGATAGCGGGAGGACGTTTTTCTTCTTGGTCCTCCTCAAGCATGTCGCGGACATCATCTGCGATACCACCAATAAGGGCCAAGACGGACTCCAAGGGCTTCCACCTATAGCTCAGTCAGTCAATGCAGTTTGTCAAGTGTAGATGAAGTACATACCAGTCAATACTGCCTGATTGCTTGGCCGAGGCGGCATCTTGCACCTTTTCCTCAACAATCTTCTGAAGGACAGAAGCGACAGGCCTCGTCCACTTGTCAATCAATGACTAATGGGCCATCAGCACCACCCTCTCACCCAGAACAACCTGACTTACCCCCACAAGATCATACCCACACGTCCTAACACTATACTGCTCATTATCATCATCCTCATCCACCACAAACGCATTCGGATCTTCCATCCACTCCTCCGTATTCTCCTTTGTCACCTGCGTCCACTCTTGCACCACCTTGACCAGCTGCTCCAACACTTCAGTGGGAGCCTCGGAGCCTTCAGAGCCGGAGATGAGGGAGAGGAGTGCGGATTTGGTACGGACGACGGGGGTGAGGAGGTCGAATATGGCCGAAGTGAGTTCCGGCAAACCGGTCTTGTCCTCCATCATGCCCACATCCGAAGTCGGGGAAGGCGGTTCAGGCGCATCGTCCTCGGACGACAGATAGAATGCCCTGAAGAGGGGTAAGAGCGATTGCAGATTATGGAGCGCGAGCTGGATCAGCTCGGGGATATGCGGTGCGATGAGCGTCTTGAAAGCGTTCTGATAAAGAGAGAGCGTCCGGAAGATTTCGACGCGGACGTTGATAGACGTCCAGTTGGCTTGGATTTCGGTGGCAGCGTCTTGTGCGAGCAGCTGCTTGAACGCATCGAGCCACACGGCGCTGAGAGAGTCGATAGCGGATTTAGCAGCTTCGGGGTGTTCCTCCCGGATCGTCTCGAGCATACGCAAAACTTGGCGGAAGACGTGCACTGTAGACGCCCTCGTAGTGGGCGAGTGCGAGGCGGGGTTGCCGAGAATGCCGAGTACGGCGGGGAGCAGCTCTTGCACGACGGGCAGGAGCTGGTCCTCTGAAAGATCGTTTCGGACAAAGTCCTGGATGACGCGCATGGAGCCGTGGATGGAGGTGGGGGAGCCGTTGTTGAGGAGTTGGATAAGGGAGGGGAGGAGGGTGGGATAGTCTTCGGGCCAGTCGAAGCGGGCGATGGCGGAGAGAGAGTATGCCTGGAATGAGCGAGTCAGTATACGCATCTCCACTGAAAGACTTTGAGGGATGCCACTCACGCTAGCCGTTCGAATCTTGCCTTCACCATCACTCAGCCCCCCAAATACAAGGTCCCTGATCTCCCCCTTCACTTCAATAGGAGTAGCTGGGGCCTCAAAGTTTGCCGAGACAGGCGACCAGTGCTTGTCGACATACTTTTGCAACAACAGCCCTGCAGCGTAGATACCAAGTCAGCCGTGGTTCTCGTATAGAAGCGATAGACTCATCTGTCGCTGGTAGAGCTCTACTTGCTGCGAAGTGAGCAACTTGGCGAGAGTCAGACCACCCTCTACAAAGTGTCAGTGCCATCGCGCACGTCTCCACAGCGCTGTGCACTCACGGGGGTGACTGAAGAGCTGCCTGAGCTGGTCCTCGGCCTGTGTCCTGACTGTGTGGTCCGGTTCGAGGGTTGCCTGTAGACACTGTATGACCTGACCCTCCATTCTGCCGTGCATACACTAATAGTAGACGCGCTGGAAATTTCAGCTGAGGACAACAACAAGTGGAGGTCGCCGCCCCTCGGATCACCTCCCGCTGCCATGCGACGGCGTCATCGCGCTACTCTCCTCTTACATCTCCATCTATCTGCGATGCCCCTCAAAGACCTCCTCAGGGCCCGCTTCACCTCCGCCATCCAGTCCATCCCCCAGGGATGGAAGATCCTCGTCACAGACTACCACTCTCAGGCCCTCCTAGACACCGTCTACAAGCAGTTCGACATCCTCCTGCAGAATGTCACCTGTACGTCTTCAGTAACTGGTGCGGGCGGCGCTCACTCGGGAGACAGCTGTGGAACCACTTCACTCTCCTCGGCAGCAGATGTCAGTCGACGCCATCTATCTCTTGACACCGACGCTGCAGAACGTCGACAGGATCATTGCCGACTTTAGCTTTGGGCGCACGACCTACAAGTCGGCCCATGTTTATTTCATCGATGGTATGTGCGGGAACGACCAGCCTCTCAATATAAAGCTGACCCAGCTTAGGCGTCGACGATGGGCTGGCTCAGAGGCTGACCGAGGGGATGCCGCCTGGGATTCTACAGGCTTTCGTCGAGCTGTACTGCAACTTTCAGGGTACATTCCTATAACTAGCTGAAGGCAAGCACTGACCTGTCTCAGCTATCGAGGACAGAGTCTTCTCCCTCAATGCTCCGTGGTCCATGTTTACCATGTTCGGCAACCCCGGCGGTATCTCGTCGTCCGACCTGTCCAAGGAAGCCTTTGAAGACGACGTCAAGGTGGCCGGGAGATCCGTACGTCCCCAACAACTAGCGTAGGCCCAGCTGACTTGTAACAGATCCTCAATGTTCTAGCAACCATCAACGAAAACCCCCACATCCGCTATTACCAACCCTCCCACCACGCGCCTCTCGGTCCCCTAGCTTCCACCGCCCACCAGCCAGGCGCACCCTCCTCTTCGGCGCCTCAAAGACAGCCCCAAGGCGCTAGTCTCAGATGGCGTTCAGCAATGGGCGGCTCGAGCTCCAAGAGCCCGGGTGGCGTGCAAGGGGAGTACTTGAGTAAGAAGATTGCCATGCAGGTGCAAAGTGATCTAGACGAGTACCTGCAAAATAATCCCGAGTTTCCCGTATGTCTCAGCTTTGTCCGCCCCTTGAACCGCCAACTGACGTTCTCACAGCCTGCTTCGGGCAGACCACGCGCGGTGCTGTTCGTGCTCGACCGCTCCGTCGACCCCGCCGCCCCGCTCCTGCACGAATTCTGGTACCAAGCCATGGCCAACGACCTCTTGAAAATCACCGACGGCGTCCACTACAAATACAAATACACCAACACCGTCGGGGGGCAAGAGGAAAAAGTAGCGAATCTGGACGAGGAAGACCCGGTGTGGTGCTCGGTTAGGCATTTGCATATGAAGGATGCGATTGATACGTTGATGACGGATTTCGGCAAGTTTGCGCAGGAGCATGCGGGGTTTAGAGGGTGAGTCATTGTCATTATGAACAAGTACAGGCACTGATGGAAGTAGGGGAGGGAACGTGAATGTGAACGACCTGAAAGACATGCTCGCGAGCTTGCCGCAATTTCAGACACAAAGAGAACAGTTTTCATTACATCTCGACCTCGCGCAAGAGTGTATGAACTTGTTTGAGAAGAAAAAGCTCAGTCAGGTGGCCAGTGTTGAGCAGGTGTGTTCATCCCCCTCCATGCAGGCTTGGAGGATGGCTGACTGGTAGAGCAGTGTTGTGCGACGGGACATACGGCGGAGGGAAAGACACCCAAGACCGTGGTCGAAGAGATGGTGCCCCTCCTGGACGACCGTCTCAACGTCACGTACGTCTCCAGTCTTCCTCCTTGTCTTCAAACTGACCCGAGGCACAGCTCGTTGGACAAGGTCCGAATCATCGCCCTGTATATCATGTTCCGGGAAGGCGTCGCGGACGAGGACAGGCGCCGGTTGTACCAACACGCTAGATTGTCCATTTCAGAGCAGGACATGGTCAACAATATGGTCAACCTCGGTGTCAAAATTATCAAGGTGAGCCCCTTTCTCCATACTTTTGTCGGTGGAATCCCTATTGATGTGGCGACAGGACAACACCAGGACCGGCAAAGGCCGCATCAGGCAAAAAGCCGCCGTATCAGAGGGCGAATACGAACTCTCCCGATACAAACCCGCCGTCCAAATCATCCTCGAAGACCAAAAAGCAAACCGCCTAGACGTCGCCCAATTCCCATTCACAAAAGACCCACCTGCCGAGCTCCTCCCTTCTTCCTCGAGCGTCGGCGGTGGTGGTTCGCTACGTTCTGGCGGTGGGCATGGAACGCAGGCATCGCATTTGCAAGTGTCCAATAACCCCTCGGGGAGTTTGAGGTCTGCCAGACCGACGTGGCATAAAGCTGCGAGTCAGCGGGCGACGAATACCGAGGGCAAGCAGCGATTTGTAATCTTTATCGCCGGAGGGATGACGTACAGTGAGATGAGGTGTGCGTATACCGTCGGGCAAGCGTTGGGGAAAGACGTTTACATCGGTGAGTCTGGCTCTTTCGTGCATTGGGAAGAATGCTAATGGGGTGTAGGTTCCACACATGTATTGACGCCAGAGATCTTCTGTACCCAACTAAGAGCACTCGGGCGAGGAGGCGTGGGCGCAAACCCGCCGCAGCCAATTCCCCTTCATCCAGAAGGCCCTGCCCGTATCAATCGCGCTGAGCCTGGTGGAGCTGCCACATATCAAGAGTACGTCCAAGTCTCTTCAAAGCCAACTTTCAACTGACGGGAATGTAGAATCTTGAATCATCGCCACTGGCGTCCCCCCATTGGTCCCCCGCCTCTCGCACCCCCACCCCAACCCGCCTCCACCGGATCCAACTCTAAACTCAGCTCCAAAAAATCCGGCCAGTCGAATCTGTCAAACGACATGTCTCAGCTTTCTCTCCAATCTGGCTCTGAATACGCCGGTAGTTTAACGGGAGGGGGGAAGAAGGATAAGAAGGATGGGGAGAAGAAGAAGAAGAAGCTGTTCGGGATCAAGTTGTAAAACAGGGCATGCAAGTGAAGGAAGGATGGGAAGGGACAAATCGTGTTGTTGAAGAGATCTGTGGTGTATATATACGTAGTCGAGACGACAAGTCGTCCAAATATTACCTGTACATACATGCCTATTCATATTCAGATGCTTGTAGCAGGGATGTGGGCGAGTGGTATGCAATAGAGCACGAGTGTAGAGGACACTGGTGGTTAAAACACATATGGCCTGAAACCGTTAACTCAATATATCAATGCCCAATGCTCTAATTTCATGTCCAATCTTCGATAGTACAGGGGTTAGTATATCCGCTTTTCAAGTGTATAACTGGTTTCAACCCTGGTTCTTGGTTTTCGCGGACGACCCGGGTTCGAATCCCGGTCGGAGAAGATTACTTTTTGTCCTTTTTTTTGTTTGCCATTGAGAATGAGATCCGTTCTCAAACGGCAGAGATAATGACTTGCTTAATTATTAGTATGCATTTGGTAGACACATCCAAAAGTTACTATTTAGATTGCATGCATCGTCGACAACAACACAGGCATGAAAGCCCGCCGCCGACAGGGACAAAACGCCTCAATTCCTTACTGCTACATACACCCAAGTGGGTAGGTGTTCAAGTACAACTGAACCTATGATAGGCTTCAAATCATCTTCTCCTTTTAGATCTTCCCTGAACACAATATCAGATCATGTCCGAAGAGATTGACAAGCGTCTACATACCTTTTCCGCTGTCTTGCCCCGTTCTCTCGACGGCCTCTCGAGTTCCTCCTCCTCCTCCTCCTCGTCTTCCTCTATCGCAAGCGAGTCCCTATCCTTTCTCTTCTTTCCTTCCGCTATTGATACTGTACTACCTCTTCTTCGTTTTGTTGGCCCCGTCGTCCGCGACCGACTGACTCCTTTCCTCCCGGCATCCTCTTCCCCATCTTCAGAAGGGGAGCTCACATCCTCGTCCGGAATTATCCCGCCCCACGGCTCATCCGTCCCATCAGGAGCGATAGCTCTCGGATATATGATCCCTTCCCAAGCCATCTCATCCTGCCCATCAAGCTCAAACTCAAAAACCCCATCATCAGACTCTTCCTCGCTATCGTCTTCTTTGTCATCTGCCTCACCATCTTTCTCTTCTTCCTCCTCGTCCGTTGCCTCTTCTTCGCTTTCATGTATTTGTTTTATCCGAAAGTATGGCAGGTCGAAAACGTGCTTGAAATGGCGAGAGTTGAGCACTCGGGCGGATTTGGAAATTGGAACTTTTCTGTTCTTGCCCTGAGGTGCAGGGTGTGATGGAGAAGAGATATCGGAGAGGGGAGAGTTGGAAGAGAATCGGGGTGGCGAGGGTTCACGAGGCGAAAGACCTATTGGAGATGGAGGTAGTGAATTTGACCCCTCGGATGCCTGTTAGACATGTCAGACAAAGTCGTCCGTCCTGAAAGCACATACCAGCTCGTCCAGGCCTTCCAAGTCATACAGTTCGTCCAGTCTTTCCCACAGCGAATCCACAGTGAGCCATATTCCGAGGCGCCTGTGTATAGCACCCTGTAGACGTATGATGAGGAAATGCTTATGCCGGCCAACTGTAAAGAACATTAGCACGATGTCGGAATCGAGGGATGAAGAACGGATAGAACATACGGGGTCTTGCTTCGCCCAGACAGCCTAGTAGCGCAATCTCTCTGATACCGTATCAACGTATCATCCGGTATGCGCCTCTGAGCCATGCCTGATGCCGAGGGCGCTTCGAGCAGGTCTTGAAGGCGAGCGGAGAAGAGTCTTGATGTACTCACATTTCTAGCTCCGTGGGCGCGTCTGAATGTGCCATGGCAGATTCGGATGTCATCCTAATCGAGACCGATCTGTAACGCGAAGACTGGGTTATATACAGTATATTCACAAGTATGGTAAAATCGATCTCGAAGCCCGATCCGACTTTCTGGTATCGCGAGTTTCTTCGTTCTTCGGCGGCCCGGTGCCCACAACCGGGGCCACAACGGTGGGCTTGGTGGCGGCGGCGGTGACCGACTAGCTGCGCTGCGGCCCGCGTACGAGTATGGATGACTTCATGCCTTGAAGATGACCACTAGATAGTGCATGAGGAAAGAGCGAACCTCAAGACCAGACCAAATGAGAGACGCATCATATAATACAACTCTATTACGAACGAACCGATCAAGTGCCCAGAGAGTAAACAATGTAAACCACCCAAGCCGTGATGACCAACCCCACCAGCTCGCCTCCAACGACCCTGGTCGTAAGCTTGCTAATTCTCCAGCCTTCGTGGTCCAAATTGTATTCCTTCTTCTCCACAAGCTTTTCGAGTCGCTTCTTCTCAGAGAGACGGAGAGAGCCTCCCAACCAGATGCGATCGAGGTAGAAGTATAGGGGACCGAGGCAGACTTGGAGGGCTTTGATGGCGATTATGAGGTAGAGGACCCTGTCGTAAGATCCCCCGGGAGTTCGATCTTGCTAATCACGGTGTCAGAGACTAGCCTTCATCATTCGCTAGAAAGGTACTTACGATAGCGCCAGAAGCAACGTCGAGCAGGCTGTCCCTGTGTCATGATGTAGGACGTACACTTCACCCAGTCGAGCCCTCACAGGGTGTGATCTTGGAAGAGCATCGGTGTGGTAGGGGAGATGCATGGACTAGGCGGTGCCGTATTTCCACAATGCAATCATGTATTGGCCCTCGCGAAAGAGACTGTGCCTTGGTGAGTTCCAAGATCTGAGGGAGAGAGATGCCGGAGCTCATCTGTTCGTATTTTGCTTGAAACCACCATCCTTGACAAGTCTTCCAAGCACCTCAATGTCTTGTGGAGAAGTGTGCTGGCCTTCCAGCTGCTACTGTATGAGTGCTTCCATCTCGGAAGACGTCTCGACGAGATTCCAGATCTGGTCTCTGGCCTTGGTTTTGAACAGTCGAAGGGCATGTTTCTGCGGAGCAGCGATGGCGTTCGGAAGGAGATCGTAGGTGAGCCTGTGTGTAGGGAATTCATATGGCATGGAGAGGCTGGAGAAGTAGTCAGCGGAAGTGCTAGCTGATCGATGGCACGACTTGCTTGTCAAACCCACTTTTGAGGTCGTCGGGCCATGGGGCCTCGTTCGTTGGTCAAGGGCCTTGGGAAGTACCGGTTGCCGGCCATGATCGGTGTCGGACTGGTTGCCGGACTAAAGACAGAATGCGAAAGGAGAAAGAAAGCCGAAACCTGGTCGGAACAGCGAGAGTTGAGCGAGAGTCTTGGCGAGAGTCAGAACGCTGTCATGCGGGACGCGGAGTGACAGCGGTCTCCGCGTCGGGTACAGAGGCGAGCCCTGGCCCCTGGGTCAAGCAAGCTGTACACCCATATGATAGGAGACTGAAGGCGAGGGTATTCGACTGATTTAGAGATCGCAAGAACAGTGGCAGCCGGTCAATGTACGACACAGAGGTCCACCATGTAGGACAATCACAGATCCATGGTATCTGCTTGATAGAGCAAGAGGGCACGGAATATGAATTTACAGTCAATCAAACAACCTTTTCCCTTTAAGCTTCTCAATCTCGCACATCCAAGTCTGTGGCCCAACCTCCGCCCATTCTCTTCCGCCCATAGGATCCGGCACCCTCCTCTGTCTTTCCTGCGCCATGAAAAGCTCATCGTCGGCACCTTGCAACACATCCACTTGTTGCTGCCAGAGAGTCTTCAGGGTATCAATCCTCGGTTGGAGCGTTGTCAACACGATGGAAGCGTCAGAGACGGTTGCCAATAGACGAGTGCCTGTGGACAGTCTGAGCAGATACAAAGATGAGAAATAGATGTCGTGGCTTACAGCTGTTCTTCACAGGATTGACCGAGGTGTATTCTCGCAAATGCCAACTAAAGTAGGCGCTCATGAACGCTAGTAGGGTCAATGTGGACCTCCGGAAATCGCTTTTGGCCGATTTTGAGAGCTGAATGCAAGCCGCGGAAATGTTGGACCACAGCTTTGCCTCGCTGACAAACGGTATTAGCATCTTTGCCGCAACAGTGGGTCCCACTTACAGAGAGCCGGCTCCACTATTAACCCATTCAAAGGTGAAGCGCGAGCTGTAGTGGTACGGAAGCAGCTCAGCCCAGGCGTCAATGTAAGTAGAGAGAGCAGCTCTGATGTTCTTGGCCCGGTAAAGACTAGAATGGTCAGTTCGACCTGTCTCGGAAAGCGCAGCACTTACTCGGTCCCTTCCTCCTTCTTTGCCACTGCAGCGTTGAGCCTCGCGCCCCAAGGATGACTCGTGACGGATCGCTCCCTCTGACTTCTCATGACATGCTCGAATGCCTCTCCTGACACGTCATCTCGACAAGCCCGGAAGATCACTTCGTACACCTCTCGCTTGGCCCGGCATATATGTCGCGTTTCGTAAACCCGGCCGATAGGCATGTTGTCGTAGCAGAAACGAAATTCGGGATAGTCGTCAGCAGATTGGCGGTACCTATTCGGGGAGATTAGTCGAGTCCTGGATAGTTGCGACGGACGTACTCGAGAGGCTCTGTTGGCACTGGGACATTTTCTGTCCAAATTGCCCAAAGCTCTTCTTCTGTGAGGGTTCTCGGCTGATTCCTTTCTCGCCTCGCCTCTAGTACCGGATCCTTGTTGACATGTACTGTATAATAATGTTAGTGGAATAGATGCGTACTCGAGACACGACATACCCAAGCCGTGTGTTGTACCCCAACAAAAGGGACCCATAGCCCAATAGTCATCAAAAGAAGGCCAAGGGATTTTCTTGTCCGGGGACAAATCCTTGAACATGGTATCCTTGTTGACATTCTCCAGAATCTTCGCTTGAACAGCGTAGTAAGCGCACATAGCTTCGATATTGGCGGCGGTGACGTTCGGACTGGGGGTGACCGCAAAAAGTTTACGGATCAAGCTCAGAGACCGTTTAGCTAGCCATATATCAGCAACCAATGGACAGATAGTTAGAAAAAAAAACACACCTGAGCTGTATACAGTCCTGACTTTGGCGAATTCGCGCAAGTCAAGGGCCACCCATGACGTCTTGAAAGCTGCGTCCATGTAAAAGTTACCGAAGTCGTTTCGTCCATACTTTTTGGCCTCCTCAGATATCTTCACAAGGCATGCGGATATGTTGTTGAAGAGAGAAGCCTCGCTGTGATGTTCCACGTCAGTTGGCCGAGGTGAGATCACCTTCTACGATTAGGACGCACGCTTCGCCCAGCTTGGGTCGCAGGGGATTTGTGCTCGGGAAAGCATCAACATGCCAGGGGAGAAACATTGACCAATTGGTCACGTATTTCCATACTGCGGTCATGTAATCGCCTTCGCGAAATATCCTGCTTTTGGTTAGATTGTAGTCTTGGGCAGAAGGAAAGTAGCTAGAGCTCACCTATTCGCGTCTTGCCTCATACCGTCGAAATCTAGAAGCTCTTCCAGCCCTGTGATATCTGAAGGGAGTCTGCGCTGGTTTTCCAGTTGCATCTTGGCGAATGATTCCATCTCTGGGCCCATCTGGACGAGATTCCAGACTTGCTCCCTGATAGAGACTTTGAACAGTCTCAGGCCGTGTCTCTCAGCTGTCTGGCTGTATGGGAAAAGGTCATATGTGAGTCGTTGTGCGGGGTATTGAGATGGCGTAGAGAAGCTAGAGTTGTGATTAGCGGAGGTGATATGATGGCGAATTGTGGGACTTGCTCGTCGAATCTACTTTTGAGGTACTCGGGCACAGGGGCCTCGTAGCCCGCCCACATTTCCTCGCTGCTGAGAGGTCGTGGGCTCGTAGAATTGTCCGCCATAATGATGTGTGTTTGGGTTAATGGGAGTCCGTTGACGTAAGGTGGGGAAAAGAAAAGAATAGTGTGGTCGTCTTCGCAGAGAGCAGGCAGAGAGCTGGCAGAGAGACACCGCCGCGGAGTGCTGGGGATCTCCGCGTCAGACGGAGAGACTCAACTGTCTCACGGAGTAGCAAAGATCTCCGCGCGCCCAAGTAACAGTCAAGTAACAGCGAGCTGACTTCCGAGTTCTGGCCGTCTACGTATGTCTGTCTTCGGACTGTCTTCCACTGACGCGCGATACTGATTATTCAGTAGTATGCGGGTATACCATAAGGTAACGTGCAGATAGGTGTCTGGTCATAGAGCAAAAAGATACAAAAAGAATCTTCTCCGACCGGGATTCGAACCCGGGTCGTCCGCGAAAACCAAGAACCGGGGTTGAAACCAGTTAGACACTTGAAAAGCGGATATACTAACCCCTGTACTATCGAAGATTGGATGAATTCCTGTATGATGTAACGTTAAGGGATCGTGATACCATTCGTATGAACCCGAAGGATAGATGTTGAGGCATAGGCTCGACACAAGCCCCTCGCTCCGACGACGCCAGGAGGAGCGGTTGAGGCATATCTTTCTAAATAAAGCCACAAATAATCGCTTTCGGCAAAACTCACACCCATGTTTGATTCGCAAAAACGGTCCATTCGTTGTTCTATATGTGGCTCCGGCTTCTATGCCATTCACCGTGCTCAATCATGGGGAAAGGAAACCTCACCTGATGTCTGTCCCGGTAAGGGTATCATTACAACAGTACTGGACCAGAACACACAAGTGTGCCAGTACAGTTCACCTGTCAACTCGAATCTTCTTGCTTCCACATATCGCCGCAGCAGCCCCCGGCGGCCGAGCACCTTATCGTGATTACTGATTACCGTGGCTCCGAACAGATCCGATGACATTTGTTTTTGTGACGTTTTTGATTGTGCGCTGCTAGTATTTGTGCTAGATCTCTTACCCCGGCTTCAGTCTTCCCTGGCCCGGGTAGTAGACGGCCATGATGCCATGTTCTAAAAAGAGCTCAAGTCGTGCACAGATGTTGCTCATGCATCTCGTTTCGACCGAAAGCTTCGACTTGGGCCATGCCGTTGCTCTACTGTGTCCCCAGAGATACGCATGAGCTGAAATGTCGCGGCTCGTTCATCCGGTTGGACGAGTCGATGTTGTCATCTCAGGCATGACCTAAGGTACATGGGAAAGCCGCCTGCCGCAGCGGCACGGCCTATAGCCTCAAAATAGGCTTGTTCTTTTTATACATTAATCTAATCAAGAAGATCTCCCTCTCCTGTCTGCGCGGGGGCGCCCACCTCTGCCCTGGGCCCCAGAAGGGACAAGTATACGTACTCTGCGTACCAATAGAATCACCGAACATCGCTTCTGATCACTCATTCGACCACCTCTCAAGAGTTCGGGTGAGATTGATGTTGCATGGTGCCGAGAGAAGACAAATAGCATGGGAACTCGCCACTTTCGACCGAAGCCATACCCTTTGAACACTGCGTGCTTTGCCGAGTCCACCTCATGCTGGCCGGAGGAGGCGAGAGGCTGCTCGTGCCGAAGTCATGTCACCATTGCGGGGTGGGTGCCCCAATCTTCATCTCCTTCGTAATTCGAATACTGAGTACCGTATTCGAGTACGTATTGGCCGAGACATGAAGGAAGAGAGGCCAATGAAACTAATCCAGAGTTAGGTTCAGCAGTTTCTACTAGCTGATATATATCAAGTCTGGTCCACATCCTTGTGCCCCAGATAGCTGTACAGACCTTTCGCCGTCTCACAGGTATACACCTTACCACAATTGTCGACAAGAGTCATGAGCTCCGATCAGCATCACTCCCCGGCCCCATCCTCCGTCACCTATTTTAACCCCTCCTCTCCGCTCGCCAACAACAAAGACATCACATCGTCCCCCCAAATGACTGGTACCGAGGACGACAGCCAGAATCCATTCTACCTCGAGAAAGACGCCACGGGGCCATACGACACTGTCGGCGGAGAGTATCTCAAGTATGCTGGGCTGGCTTGGAGAGGCGGGGGCGAGGCGGAGAAGGATGCCATGAGTGCCAATGGTATTCCGACTCGAGAAGGCAACGGCTGGGTGGATAGCGATTCCGCCGGTAGTGATTTATGGGAGGGTGAGCCTACCAAAGACGACATCCCGCTCAAATACAAGATTGGCGCGTTCTGTCTGATCTTGTTCTTTGCCACGGGCAAGGATTTTATCAAGGGTGTCGGGAGTCCACTCAAATCTACTTACAAGAAGCAGCTGGACATCACGAGTGAGTCGTCTTGCCTACATACACCTTCGTGTACTGACAGGGGGACAGATGCGCAGTACGGGACAATCTCGAGCGCTTCCGGCTTGGTCAATACCATCATCCCCATCCTCGGCGGTATCTGCATGGACTATTGGGGTTCTACTTAGTGAGACTACCGCGTTTGGTCTTTTGGACTGGGCTGACCCTGTCTATAGCACTGCCGTCATCGCCGGGCTTTTTGTCTTTGTCGGCAACATTGTGGCTGCCGCTGTACGCCTCTTTCTCCTACACCATTGGCCCAGACTCACCTGAATATCAGTGTTCTAACACCGACGAGTATGGCCTCCTCGTTGGCGGACTTATCATCATGGGTTTCGGGTCTTCCGGTGCGTCCTCCTTCCATCATCTTTCGCGCCACAAACTGATCGATATGCGTCAGTGGTCGAATCGGTCCAGTCCAAGCTCTACACCCATTGGTTCTCCGGCTCCTCCCTCGCTCTCATGTTTGCCCTCGATATCGCCTGGAACCGGATCGTCTTTGTTGTCTCCAAAGTTACGGCTGTACCCATGACAGAGATCAACGGCTTCTGGGGCTGGGCGCTCTGGATCCCCGCCATCATCTCGGGTGTCAACTGGGGGATTATCTTGGCGTATTGGTTCTACGAAGGCAAAGTGGTACCCAAGGTATACAGACCTGGTGTCGTCAAGGGCAAGAAGGGAAAGAGGATCGGCTGGGCCACGATCTTTGGAAGTACGGGGACCTTGAGGAGGTTGCCAAAATTCTTTTGGATCTTCTGCGGCTCTCGTAAGTCTATCGTTCCACTGTAGGTTTCCGTCTGACAGTTAGGCAGAGCTATTCCAGAATGCCGCCGTCGACGTGTACTCCACCAACCTCGCAGACATTCAAACCGTAACCAGAGGGACTTCAAAGCTTGCTGCTGGCTACAACTCTGCAATCTCTCAGGTCATCCCTATCGTTTTAACGCCTCTTACCGGGTTCTTCTATGACAAATTTGGATACAGGATGGCTTTCGGTAAGTCATCAGCTGCCTCTACTCTTACCAGACTCGCCGACGCTGACACCTGCAATCAACAGTATCCTTCACGGCCATCCTGTACATCATCGTCTTTGCCCTCATCGGCCTTACCCAAGTCGCACCTCTTTGTCCTGTCATCATCTCTTCCTTCGCCCTCACCACCAACGTAATCACCTTCCTCTCCGCCATTCCCATTCTCGTCGGCGACGACAGACTTCTCGGTACGGCATTCGGCGTTTGGAAGGCGTTCAGTAACTGCAACTCTATCGTACTCGACGTCGCTGCCGGTGCTATCGTACGTCTCTCCCTCTCTCTATCTGATCACCAGCTCATATAGTCGTTAGCAAGACGACTCCTCCACCGGCTCATACGACGGCATGATCTACTTTATCATCGCCATCAAAGCCGTCGAAGTCGTGCTCGGGCCCATCTACTTTTACCTCGACCGTATCTGGCTCGGCTCTTCCCTCCGAGTCCCCGAGAAGAAGCGTGTTCAGATCCGAATGGATGCTGTGCGAGCGGCGGTGGAGAGGGGTCAAGGTGAGGAAGGTGTTGGGGCAAAGGGGTCTGGGTATGAGGGGTGGAAGATTAGTAAGGCGACTACTTGGGTGGTCGGGGCCGAGTTGGTGGGGTTGATCATTGTGGCGTGGGTCATGTTCTTTGTTTATACTATTGGTTAGGTATGCGTGTATGCGGAAATTGTTGCTAGACGTATAATGTTGGCTGGCCAGTAGAACTGAAGTGTATATATAGAAAAGTTGAATAGAAGAATAAGAAGTCTGATCGTAGAACCCATGTATCGTTTCTCCCGTCTCCAACTAGACTCTCTCGACCTCACGCAAGCTTTGACCGTCAACAGGTGACTGTCTAGATGCATCTTGTATTTTCGATAAATCTTGTTCCTTTCGACTTCTTTATCCCCTATCTTCTATATACAAATAATACTTGCGAGCCGATGTCTACTTTCGAGCCAACCTCTCCTCATAAGCCTTCCAGCCCTCAGTCCTGTATCGCTCCGCCTCATCCCTCACAGCCTGCTCTCCACCCTGGATACCATAGATCCCTCGGCCAACAATGATAACATCCGCACCGGCCTCCAGCACGACCTCGCGAGGCGTTCGGTACTGCTGCCCAAGCTTGTCTCCCTTGGCCGCAAGCCCGACACCAGGAGACATGATCAACCAATCCCCCTCCTGACCTTCATCCACCCTACCCTGGGCGATAAAGCCGACGACAAAGTCCCGCCCGGCATCGCTCGCCATCTTCATAGTCTGCTTGGTGTAGTCGCCGACAGCGAGAGAGCCCTTGGAGGACATCTCTGCGAGGAGCAAGAGACCGCGGCCGAGGGGCTGGCCGACGGCGGCGAGGCCGGTGATGATGCCGGGACCGGGGACGGCGTGGGCGTTGGTAAGGTGGGACCAGGAGGCAATTTTGTGGACGCCGGAAGAGTATTGGAGGGAGACGGTGTTGCCTGTAAAAAGCGGTTAACCTGGTCGACAACAGTGAGAGATGGGCGTACCGATGTCGGCAAACTTGCGGTCCTCAAAGATGACAAACTCGAGCTCTTCAGATAGAGCAGTGAGCTTCTTGACAAAGTCTTCTGAAAAGTCCTCAATGATGTCGCAGTGCGTCTACGACTTGTCAGAAATGTCCTCTTTCCAGCTGAAAGACTCACCTTGACCATACAGACACTCTGGCCGACCCTCCTGACGACCTCCAAAGCATCCTCCGCCTTTGTCACGTCCACGCTGACAGCCAGGTTGGTCTTCTTCTTGTCCATGATTTCGAGGATCCTGCGGGCGGTGGGGTTGGTGTGGAGGTCGATGCGCTCGGCATAGGGCTTGAGGGTGGTGGGGTGGACGGACATGGTGGTGGCGTAGAAGTAAAGGGCAGTGAAGAGGAGGGCGAGGAAGGGGATGGGGAGGAAGCGTTTTTGCATGTAAAGGTAGAAAGGAGAAAGAGAAAGAAAGAAGACAAAGAAGATTCATTTAAGTGAAACATTACGGCGGAGAACGTGTTCCTGGGCTATGGATGGAGCACCCGCCTATCTTCTCTTTCATTTGGTATTGCCCCATGCGTGCACTAGAAAAATGCCCCAGGACGATCGCCATGACGAGCTCCAAGCCGCATTTTCTCGCTTGCCAAATTTTGCGACGATCAATGTGTAGCTGTCCTTTTCAAGGAACATACCCGGGCCAGGGAAGACTGAAGCCCGGTATAGGCTCGGCGGTCAATGCCATGTGATACAGACCATACCTTGCGTAAGCTCCATCTCGCAGGGTTGAGAAAGATAGACGGCATGGAACCACAGTCTGCATCGATAAAAGCAAGCAGAACTCATAGTAGCAGGCCATGGAACAAGACGGCATCTTTCATTCATCTCTGTAATCTCTCTCGTTCATGGGGCTCGGTCTTCTCGCTTCGTTTCTCGATTCCTCTCGCCAAAGGATCCGAGCCTTGGATACTACTAGTCCGAAAGCACAACTCCATTTAGAACAGTATTGAGGTACGCGGTAGGAAGGTTCATATGAACGTGTGTACGCAAAGTCTCTCGTCGCAAGCACAATTGTCGAACCAAACAACGAAAGCAAGACGGCGTATCCTATACCCGGCGGTTTGTCATAGAGCAGTCTAATAATTACAATACATGTCTCTGCCTTGCTCTATCTACTCCATTCAATCCGAGTCATCGATCTCAATCACATCATCCCCCTCCCATCCAGACCCTTCATCCTCATCCTCATCTTCCTCTCCTTCATACATGAAATCATCCTCATCCAACATCGTAGCATCAATAACCTCCTGCCTGGTCTTCTGCTTGACCGGCTCAGGCGCAGGCGCCTTGGTCGCTTTGAGAGTGTTTCCTCCACCAAGCTTGGCCCATGGGTCCGGCTTCTCCTCCGTATCTTCTTCCTTCTCCTTCGCTTTGCCCTTTCCCTTATCTCCAACGGTTTTTCCACTCTTGAGTTTGTTGCCAGACCCACCGAATGGTTGGTCAGGCTCGGAAGTGGCAGAGGGCTTTTTGGCCGCTTTGGAGGGGTCGTAAGGGGTGTATCTGAAGCCGAAGAAGAATTTGCCGGGAGGGAGGGTGAGGGCGGCGGGGATGACTCTGTCGGCGTCTGCAAGAGTTTCGGAAGTGATGATCTGCGGGCGACTATTTTGTATGTCAGCTCGACCCAGGCATATAAAGAATGGACATACTCATTACGGTTGATCTTGCTCGAAGGGTCCACCTCCTCAATCTTCCTCGCCAACCCCCGTCCCCTCACCTTCTTCCCACTCAAACTCTGCCCCACCCCCGTAAAACTCTCCAAAGGCGTCTGCCCCCCACTCCCCCCAGTCCTATGACTCATACTCGTCCCCGGGCGGCTCGCCCCAGCGCTATGCGTTTCAGACAGGTTGATATTGAGCTTGTCTGCCATGGTGGGTACGGGTTTGGGCTCGGGGCGGGGAGGCTCGACGTAGCCTTTTGGCGTGGCAAAGTCGACTTCAAGGTCGGTGTCAATGACGGATATACCTGGGCCGGCGGGGGTGACTTCCATGATCAAGAATTCAAATGTGAGGGAGTTGTAGGTGATCTCGATAATGTCGTTAGGGGATAAGACAGAGTATGATCGGAGGGCGGATTCGAGTCTGTCTGATTGTCAGTGCATATAGGTATATGTGGGGGAAGGACGCACACTGCCTTCGGGTCGGCGACTTCCAAAAACATCGTACTCTGCGCCTGTATCTTGGCCATCTTTCCCTTCGGCAACATCGCCCCCGTCAACCTAATTGGATCACCCTCCTCTAAATTCAAAGTCTGCATCATCCACGCCGGCAGGTGCACGATCCCCTCCTCCGCGATGAACTCGAGGACACCAGCGTGCGTGGTATGGGTCGTAGGCGATTTGGGGTTGCGCAGCTGAAATGTCCAAGGAGACGGAAGGTCGAGAGCGGAAAGCTTTGCGAGGGCGGAAGGGGGCATGATGATCTTGCCGCCGTAAAGAAGTTCGGGGCGTTCGCGGCGACCGTTCATCATGGCGACAGAGTAGGCTTTGAAGTAGTCGTCATACGCCCTGCCTCGCTGTCAGCATGCTTCCCGAGATACAACCTCGCCGCTAGGCTGAGCAGGAACGTACGAGGGAGCGGCGTGGCCAAATCCTTGCATACCGCCACCGAGGCCGGCCATGAGATGCTGGAAGATGCCTCCCGGACCACCGTGTGTCGGAATCTGGGGCGGAGCCGCATAGTCATCGTAGTCCTCTACCGGCCCCTGTCAGCTTCATGACCTTGATTCCGCGGGAGATGGAAATACCGTCAGAGTCGTAGCCGTGGTTCATGTTGGCGAATTTGGGGCGAATTAGGGGAGGGTGGAATGAGAAAACAGCTACTCGAGGAATGAGATGCGCGCAAGTGGAGGCCGAGCAAGCGTTGAGTGTTACGTAATACTGACGTCACAACGTCAGCCAACGTTCAGTTCAGCCAACAATCGGGGTTGAGTGGGATGGTAACAGAGGCTTCTTCCTGTGTAGACAGGGTGCGCAACACAAGGGTCTCACCGATATCCATGCAACTCTATGAAGGGGGCCCTTACTCACCGACCAGATACCGTGTCCTCTTCAATCACAACCCCCAGATCAAGCTGAGATGACCCAGAACCTGGTCTCCCCGAGACCCCTCACCGCTGATGAGATGTGGCTGGGGTATGATGCCCCATTTCCCCACTATCTCAGAAGAGGCTTTGACGAGCGAATACCCCTTGATGCGTATCATTTCCCCACTGACCACTGCTCAGCTTCTCAACCAATTCCCAGTATCCTCTTCGGAGACTGACATACGACCGCTTCCCAGCTTGGGTTGTTGCCGAGAAACACGCCCTCAGACTGTTCAAAATCAATGCCCGAGACCAAGTATGGAACTTTGTCGAAATGGGGCCCGAGATGGAATCCTTGGCACATGAGCAGCTGGATCTTCAGCGTTTTCAAGTTCCAGCTATGCAAGATCTGGCTGATCTTTGTGCATTCGATGGTATGAGGCAAGATGAGAACAGGTCAGTATACTTATTTTTAGAAAGTGACATGACAATCTCACAATGGGTAGGCAGTTTCGTGAAGGCGATTACATGACTGCTCTTTGGAAACACGCGACCAACTGGTCCATGTTTCTTCCCTACCATGTTGAGGCTCTTCCAAGGACTCATCATCACTTGCGGGCCAAGCTCGGCAAAGCGTACGTTTCATATATCCCACATTACACCGAAGCCGCTCCCTTCAACAACGTTTCAGCATGCCTCGTCAAGGTGGCCGAGGACTTCAAGGGGCTCGGACAGCACGACTTCGCAAGACTCCTCTTGGACTTGAGGTTTAAGGCAGCGTGGATGGCGCTCGACATGCGGGAGTACGCCAAGGTGAGGACGGTATACAGTTCAGGTATGTCGCTTCTCTTTCACATGTCAAAACTCGCTAAGACTCAAGCAGCAAAACGATCTTTGGCTTTGATTCGCCAGATCATGGCGGACCACCCAGATCAAGTCAGAATGTTGGAGGATGTCGGCAAAGATGTCATCTTCAAACATGTCTCCCCGGACACGAAGGTTCCTTAGCCTGCTTTTGAGGACTATTGGGGCCTTGGTCCCCTGCAATGGAGCACAACTCATGGTCTTGGTACGTCCTTCAACAAATGGCCTATCAATCTCACATTCTACAGGGCAAGTGGTGAAGTATCCAGACATTGAAGCACCGCGAGCAAGGAATAAGGCCAGGCCGCTCAGGGACAACGAACGTCGGGCGATCTGGTCAGAACCTGTACCAGTGAGTTGAATTTGCGAATGCCACAGCCATTTTTACCGAGACGCGTGGCTGACGTTCCGTTAGCGAGCCAGTGCTCTGGTCGACCATATCAGCGACATGTTTAGAGCTCTCAAAAGCTGCTAAAGACGAGAAAATAAGGAAGATTTTGACTCCACTGGGGTTTATGAGCGCCTGAATCAGCTGGCTCCTGCTAGGATGGACCACAGTCGGCACTGTGGGAAAGAGCTGTAAGCTGCTCGGGCTCCCTTTCTCTGAACCCCGCTCAATCATCCCCAAGTAATCGTCTCTTATCAACCGTCCCTGACGCATCCTCACTTACACCAGCCGCTCAATCCAAAATGAATAAGCTCAAAACCCTCTGGCAACAGCAACTGGAGGCGTTGAGAGGTGCCGACAGGACAATGCTTTTGGTGTATGACAAGAAGAGAACGGTGTTGAACCCTACATCAGGGGGAGGCTGGGGGGAGGTCGGGCGGCCGTCGTGGACTGGAGAGCTTGAGGCGATGAAGGGGATGAATCTATTCGGTTGAGCGCCGACCAGACCGTTACATTCTACATCGTTGATCTATAGGCCAGAGGAGCCGTTTATATCGGGGTTATAACACTATGCAATCTCGATACCTGTAATCTATTCTGTGAGGCCCTCCTGTTTCTCCGATGTTCACAGACTCCGATCAGATTCTCCAGTCGCTGATAGCGTTAGTGAGTGCATTCCGAGCGTCTTTGCGATCTCAATGCCCGTCGGGCTGAATTGGGCACTCATGCCTGTTGGGCTTTTGAGCTCAATTACCCGGTGACAGCCCTCGACGATATTGAGAGACTTGGCCCGACGGGACCAGATATCGGGCCAGTATTCACGTCACCACCCCGCCCATTACCTCTTCCACTTGCAACTCCTACACCACTTCGCCATTCCAAGCATGTCCAACCCCTATCTCCCACTATCACCCTCTAACTCAGCCGCACCGACGACTCCCTACTCCATCACCCCCGGTCCATACGCAACCGCCTCCTCAAGCCAAGAACCCACCACCCGCTCGCGCACACTCTTCTACCTTTCCGTCCGCGATTCAAATCCCTTCTCCGAGACATCTGGACGCAATGCTTCAAAGAGGGCAGAGAGGCAGTATGGGCAGCATATTAGCCTGGATGATGGGGAGGAGGAAGAGGGACTGATTGGAGGGAGGGAGGGACATACTGAGGTTGGGATGAAGGGGCTGCCACCGAAATGGTCAGTCGCCGTCCAAAGTCGAGACAGAGCTGATATGGGAACAGGGTTGACATCAGTGAAGAAGTAGAGGAGATCCTCGCTCGTGCCAAGCTGAAAAGTGAGCTCTGAGAACTGGTCAGATGGCGGAGACTGACCGACGGGCATCGCAGTCGCTGCGCTGGACAAGCTGCACGCAAAACACGTCTTACCGGGCTTTACGGATCGTTCAGCAGAAGAGAGGGAAATCGAAAGGCAGACTGTGGATATAACCAAAGTAAGCTCGGCGCGTTTGTAATGGATCTCGAGCTGATTCATATGCGTAGGATTTCCGGCGGTGTACTTCACTGACAGGCTCAGTACGGCCCTCACAAGGAGCACCTAGGGTGCAAGTCCTTACGGCGAAGAATGTGCAACGAGGGTTGGCACAGAAGGTGCAAGAGCTGTCGGGACAGTTCCGGAAGAAGCAGAGGGTGTATATGCAAAGTGAGTCTCAGCCAGCTCGACGTTTGTCTTGGAAGCTAATGTGATTCTGTCTGCCAGAGCTTCAAGGACATGCTATCAAGAACAAAGACCTGATGGTAGCCAGCGGGGCGATCACTTTGAAAGGTAGCGATGTCTTGGATGAGCTGCAAGAGGACGAGCAGGCTGTGGGTGCCTGCGTTGTTCATGGGCCCTGGCTAATCCGTATCCAGTCTCAATCACAACTCCAATCCCAATCTAAGTCGCAAGCGGCTATCTCAATCGACATTGACCAACGATCCTCCGAAATTAGCCAAATCGCCTCTTCCATATCGGAGCTAGCAGAGCTGTTTCGAGATTTGGGAAATATGGTGGTTGAGCAGGGGACAATATTGGATAGCGTGGAGTACAATGTGCTGCAGGCTAATCAGCAGATCACGGAAGGATTAGGAGAACTGAAGGTTGCTCAAAAGTGCGTACCTGGCCTACTTATATCGACAAAGCTGACGAACAAGCAGGTATCAAGCCAGAACAGGAAGACGGAAGTGCATCTTCTTCCTCATCTTGTGTATCTTCGCCCTCATCCTGATTCTCATCTACAAACCACATTCCGACTCTTCCTCTACGCCTTCACCGACTGCCTCAGCTTCCGGAAGCCGGGGGATGACATTCCCTTCACCATCTAGTGGGACTGTAGACGCTGGCGATGGGTATACAGAAGGAGAAGGAGATGATGAGATGGAGGGAATAGTGCTGCCGAGTGGGGTTGAACGAGTCTCACGGGGCGCTGCTTCGCCGACACTGGCGCGCAGATCTCGGGATCGGGCCAAGAGGCCGATCGAGCAGCTTGATTAGACATAGATGGTTAGAGAGGCTGTAAAGTCCTGTACGATACGTGTACAGATGGGGTACGCATGCATAATTGTATGCAAAACCAAACAACGAGGACATGATACTGGTTCATACTCTTCGTCGACCTTTATGAGAGCTAAGTCCTATGATCCCTCGAGCGGCTCTTTTTTCCATGATTTGAAGCCTTTCAAGCGTGTTTGCTCTGGTCACCGGTAACCCGACGATTTGTAGTCGCTGCTTTCCTGTTGTCCCACCAGTATGCCAGACTTCTCACCCAGCAGTACACAGTGTACACGGTATTACCGAGGAGAATGCATATTGGGCCCACGAGGACAGTCATGGTCAACATCTGAACCAGGGCAACAGTTAGACGTTTGACCAAAAAAGGGTTCGGACTACTCACGAAAGAAGCAGAGCCCGTCCCCGCTTCACCCTCAAAGGTCATATACCCTCTGGTGATCTCCCGCCAGTTCCTGATGAGCAGTCCTTCGTATTGAGATATCGTTACCGGAGCTGAAAGATTCCCGACTTTCATGCTATCCCTCATGAGCGATAAGATAACGCCGACGTGTATGAGATGGAGTAATGTGTTTTGTCGGTAAAGCTGGTGGAACTGTAAACATGTGTCAGATGATAGGCATTGCTCGTATCCGCAGAGTATGGCTCACGATCACCCAATTCATGCCGAGTGCTGCTACCATCCACCCTAAAATCGGGATCTGCAGGTTGCGGCCTGCCCCGTAAGATGCGGGGAAGGCGGTTCCAGCGGAAAGAGTCCAGAAGGGTTATTGATTGATGTGGAGGAAGGTAAAGTTGGGCTGACGAAGAGTGTCGCTATCGCAGAAACAGCTACGGGAACAACGAATTAGCAAATCTGCATTTTGCAGACTGATCCATTGCCCGAGGATTGATACTCACCTTCCATCGAAAGATTGACACCCTATTGTTGCGCCGTACCGAATGTTGAATGGCACCGCCTCGTCGACGCGCATCATGTCCGAACGGCCTTCAACTTTAAAACTGCATCTCTGATGCTGGTGCAGGTAGGTACCGCAGTGGCGAGGGAATGGGCACTGAACGCATAGACTGAAGTGATACAGTACTAATCAGCCGGGGAACAGTTGGTGGTGTGGAAGGAACCGGATGGCGAGGGGCGGCATCGATTAAAGCAAGGGTACCAAGACTTACACATCATAGGCTGGAACAGGCTCAACATCATTGCAACTGGAACCGCGATCTGGGAACAACACATGGAATACTCACTCTCTTCCATCTCCGCCATACGTTTCTGGGACGGTGTGGGAAGAGAGCAGGTGGTGGCGGTGGGCTGAGTGACCCAAGAAGTGCGTTTGTCGTTGTCCGGGAGGAGCTGCTGGTGAGTGGCTGCACCGTGTTCTGGCGCCATCTTGAGTTCTTGCTGGAAGCAACCGAGAGTTGAGGGCAAATCGTGCAGATGGAAATCACCTCCAGTCGTTTTGTGCCCCTATTTAGTGAGAAGGACATAAAGAACACGGCCGCGTCACCCAACATCATCACGGGCCCGGGCTCAAAGGAGGTTACGTGGCTGTCTTTGCGCTAGTGGCACCCCCCGCCGGCCATCCACATCACCTTCTCCTCCCCAATTCGCATCTCAATCTCTCCTTTGCATCTCCATCTCCCCCCATTAATCCACCCCCGCCCCTAAAAGACGCCCCGTCGCTGTCCAAAAGTATACCCGTGCGCGTCGTATCTACCATGCCCTCCCCGACCACGACCCCGCCCCCTAATGTCATCCAAAACTCGCACGCCCAGACACTGCCCGAGCCCAGTCACCCCAAGTATGAGCTTCGCGCCTATGGCCTGAGCCTTGCTGGTGAGTCAACTTCCTGCTCAGAACAGTCCGAACGAAGCAACCTCTGACGGTGTTGACAACAGTTACGTCCGATCATTTGGTCAACTTCTTTGCTGCGCATGGTGAGTTCTTTCCCCTTCCCTCTCATCATCCAACCTGCCCATACCCAATACACGGAACGCTGACGATATTTAGCCAAAGTACTCGGCGTTCTGCTCCATCCATCTACCAACGACCGCCTTTGGGCGCAGATCTGGGTCTCTTCCGAGCTCGACGTCCAGAAATGCTTGGAGCTCAAAGGCACTCTGGCGCCTAGCGGCATGTAAGTCTGTATGAGCAGTCCATTGACATTGCCTGACACTCCGTGCAGCACCCTCGTCCAAGCCCAAGCGCCCGAACAAACATCCTTGAAGGCTCCACACTCTTCTTCGCCGAGCCCCGAGTACACCCCCAACGGCTCGTTCGAACTCAAGACCCCGCCCACCCCCCCTCAACCAGAGCCAGAATGCTACAGCAGCATCATGTCTTCTCTCTTCTCGGCATTCCCAGCCGTACCATCCGGCCCACCGGCCTTTGCGCCGCAAGCCAATCAGCATCATCCGCCCGCCTCTGCTCCCTCTACTTCCACCACGAGCTTGGGGTCTTTTGCTGGTAGCCTTACCAGCCAAGTCTCGACCGCCATGGGGGCTCGCGACCCAAGAGACAATGTCGGCCTTGGTTTTCGACATGTTGATCCTCAAGGGCCTTTGCCGAGAAACCTGTATGTGATGGGGTTGCCGCTCGACATGACTCAGTAAGTCTCTTCTACTTTCAGAAATGCCCAGGATGCTGATATAATTGCAGAGTCCAATTCAAGGCGATGTTTACCCCCTTCGGCATGGTTGAGCACTCTACTTTGCTTTCGCAGCTGGACGGGATGGGCAGGCGCCGGTGAGTTTATTCTCAATCCTCTGCAGAGCGCATACTAACTTTTCCGTAGCGGCTTTGTCCTCATGTCTACGCACCAAGAGGCGGTTGAGGCCACTCGAGCTATGAATGGCAGCTGGCACAGCGGTTTCAAGATGGACGTTTCTTGGGCTCTTGTCCAGCGAGAGGCCAAGCACTTTGGACCAGGACGTAAGTGCTCTTCCCAAATCCTGATCGTGCATCATGCTAATGTGTAGTAGACATGATGCCCAACCGCGTCGTCCACCCCCCGACGGCCCCTGCTCTATACGAGCCTCCTGAAGAGTGCACTGTCATGGTGGAAAATTTGGTATGTCGCCACTGCATGTTGATGAGCTTTGCGCTGATGTCTAAACAGGACCCTGGCTACTTTCCCGACTCTGTCACCATCCGAGACATCTTTTCTCATTTCGGACCAGTCGCTCGCGTCAGCGTCCTCTCCCCTCTCCCGCTTCAAGTTCTTGTCCAATTCGACCACTCTGTCTCTGCTACCGCCCTCATTGCCGCCAACGGTTTCAATCTTGGCGGCCGCTCTCTCATCGCTCGGCGTTACGCACCTCGTTTGGTTCCAGTCTCCACGTCCAACCCTACTTCACCTACTACAAGGCTGCCATTCGACCCCTTCGGCCATGGATTTGCCCAGCATGTCTCACGAGTCAACAATCGCGCCCAGCCGGAATTCGTCGGTGGTGGTCCCTTCCATTCTGGTCACGGTAACCCGCCTCTTCCTACTCCTCTTACTACAAGAAGTCAACCTCCTTCCCGACATGCCTCTGATGCCCAACTTTTGACCTCATTTGGTGCCGCCAATCCCAAGCCTATCACCCCCATGCAGATGCGCAACATGCTCGAACCCCAGACCGCCTCTGTCAAGTCACGTGCCCAAGCGTCGTCTCCCTGGACTCCGCTTTCGAATCCTCAGCTCAGTAACGTCAATCAGATTTTCCAACCCAGCAAGATTTCGATCTCGTCTCAAGTCAAAAATCAAGATGTCTCTCCGATCCCAAGCAAGAAGCCTTCCAAGTCGTCTATGGGAGAGGTCCAAGATGAGAACAAGCCTCCTGTGAATGAGAACAAGAGTGACGTTTGGCGAGATGAGGAGAACGGTTTGCGAGGCGTGCTCAAGGCGCAGGATAGGTGGCAGGTGTCTCCCAACTGGTGTAAGTGCTTCTGGAGCTGTCATTTACTGTTGGCTGACTGACACGTAGAGAAGAGCTCAGCTGCACGTTTACAATGCCTTGGCGCTCCATCAATCCTTCTACACTCTTACACATGCCGGTTTGAAGCAGACCCTACAAATATCTCGGCACCTACCCTTACTTTCCGCAATCTCCTTGGTCTTGTGCAATACCTTATACTCCTTATCTCTCCTCACGACAAAAGCAACTTTTTCTTGGTAGACATTTCCAGCCTATAACATCATCATCATGTGCTATATCATCTTTAAAACCATTCTCTGGGAGACTCTTTCCTCTTTGCTACACCGTGTCGGTCTACCTCATGTGCCATACCCCCGTGTCTCTGCGTAGTTACACACTTAACCATATATTGTTTCGAGTATGCACTAGCTACATAGGAAGCATCAGACAATTTCTCCAATGGGGTGCTGACGTGAAGCGTACAGACGACAGGATGATATTGAATTCTAGAGTGCATCGCGTAAGCACACCATCTTTCTGTCTCGCTGCAATCAGAGGGCGAGTGGAACAAGCTATATGGATTCATTGCGTCAGCCACATACTCTGTGAAAAGCAGCATTAACATCCATAGTCAGTATCGAATCTCAAGGGGCTGAGGGGCACACCCCCGGGCTGCGATGGGGCACTTGGATACTTGGATCCTCGCCAGTCCCTGTTTTGCGACGTGTTGACGCGATGTTGGGTGATACCTTTCGCGGCGCAACCTGCCCGAGATGAGCAGGCGACAGACCCTCCTTTCGGGATCTGGATCGATGCTTCTGGCCGTCTCCCAGCATTCGGGGAGTATTTTGCGAGGTATGCACCCCCCCAAATCGCATCTCCATTTCTCTTTCTCTTCTCCATCTTCTCCATCTCCTCCACTCACCCACCAGCACCACCTACCATGGGCGCCCTCGACGTCCTCCCCGCCCACCTCCCCACCGTCCTTCGCGACTCGCCCCCGCTCTACAAAGCGTCAGCCACCCTTATCGTATTCGTCTTGGCGACCTATCTCTGGCTCTTCCCCATCGCCAACGCACGCATCCCCTTCCGCAACCTGCCCGGTACGTCCTCCCTG